TTGGAGTACTATCTTTTAAAGACAAAGACATCTGACTGTCATCCGACTTTTTAACTTGAACGGACAATGCTTCCATCTCATACCTACCCATGAATTCTAACGATTGTTTACACTCAGTTAACAACATTTTGTTTCTTTCATACAGCTGTGACCTTGACACACAAGAATTGGAGGACAGCACTCTAAATGGCCGGACTGACTTATTTGTTTGTCTTTCCAAGAGAATTGCATTCAATTGATTGATTTTTTTCTTCAAAACCATTTTCTGCGACTGGAAATGTTTTGCCTTTTTGATTGCAGATTTATATCTGCACATCAAAGATTTTCTTATGCTTTTCTCATTTTTTAACTTTATGCATGTCTGACAGTTACAAAAATCTTAACATAATAATGTTCACTGTCCCAAACTTCCAGTAGACGTTGATATTGTTTACCTCCCTTTCTTTTAGTTTTATCATGATTGGAAATAAGCTTCTTGAGATATGACTTCTATGTGGGTAACACCTTCTCAATAACAACAAAATGGAATTCAATGTGATGCTTGTCACAGATTGACTCCAAAATCAATGTGCACACGTCTGTTGAAAATGTATTAACTTACATGCACGCCGAACATATTTGGATATGAAAACGATATATTTTTTATTTGACAACTCCGTAGGTGCAAATATGTTTGCTGTAGCACGTTGTAGAGAGACGGGGTACCCAATATCAAGCAATGATTCTATGTTTTGTCAAGCGAGATTGAAATTATTCTTCATTCTCAAATGTGAAACCTCACATATTTATGCAAAATTAGTGAATTCAATTCCTTGATTTCTCTCACTTCCTTTCTTGTGTATTCGTCAAGCTAGTTTCTAATTTTGAATTCATCGGTCAAAACCATTATATGACTGTTATTCTTGCTTAGGGAACGACCATTTCTAAATGTGACATTCGGGGGGGGAGCTGGGATTTTATCGAAAAAAGAAGATTGTCCCAGAAAAAGCTTGAAAATAATGATTATGCTTATAATAATAAAAAATAATTATGAAAATAATAGTTAGTTTATTAAACCTAACTATTATCATGTATAAGTTTTTGCAGCTGTAGCTGAAACAATATCTAGTCTCCATACAAAATCACAGACACCCCACTCCCCTACCCCAGAATAGCAAATGGTCTGTCCCTTATGAGAATGATTGTTGTGGTAGTGGTAGAAGTACAACATACAAATAATACGTGTTTCCAGAAGAAGAAAAGAAATAAGCTTAGATATCACAGTTTAAGTATAAAACAAAAATCTCAAAATCGAAACACATCATTTACCATGGAAGATATCTTATCAATTAAGCCCAGGCCAGATACCACCTTACTGGGGACCGTGGGAACTTACAGTACCTCTGCTTCCTGCAGGACTCCCCAGTAGGATGTATGCGATCACTCAGGGCACCAGTGCAAACCACCAAATCACTAAACCACCAAATCACTAAACCATCAAATCACTAAACAGCCAAATCGCTAAAAACACTAGTCGATATAATGTACATTAATCATAATTCAGAAGTTAAGCTAATTTAACAAGTAACATGTGAAATGTAAACACTTGACTTCTATGCACTCTAATCACTAATTCAGATAGTAACCCCTTTTTAATAGGAATTACACTACCCATTGAAACAGCTGTTTAAATGATCCCTTGGCGGCCAGTCTTTACAGGATTAAGAGGATTAATAAACAGACCATGTAATTACCAGTAGCTTGTACTCGACATTTCGGGGAGTCAATCCAACGATTCACTGATGTATGGTCACATATATGCCCGCTTGTGAATCATGTGGACGACGTGACCGTGATGAAATTTAGTCTTATTGATGAGTGCGGCGTTAAACAGCAAAGAAACAAAAGATTTATCCCATACAATAGATACTCGATGAGGAAGACAGAAGTTAGAAGGAAAGTAACAAAATATGTGATTCAAAATAATTGGTTGGGTTAAATAAGATTGATTTGGTTTAAGTAGTTCCATACGCTTCTTCATCAAATTTGACTTTTCGTAATTACGAAAATTGATGAACAGAGCAAATGTGAAGGAACATTCCTTATAAATTTTAATTCTTTTCCATGTTATGAGAAATTATTAATAACAAAGTACAAACACTAAACGAATATGCAAAGACAGGCCCTGCAAAGTTATAATGAACAGAAATAGTTATGTGTTACATGCAGTTTAACGACTTTCCCTATTCAATTCAATAACTCAGTAATATGCATAGGAGGTATCGGATGTTTCCGAGTGGCACGCTTCTCAATATCACATTATGATATCTGGTTAGTTCTGTGGACAAAGAATTTACTAGTCCATTTTATGGTCAATCACATTATGCCTGTCATTATGCATGGAAAATAAAAAAGTCAGTTTGACATGTTCGAGAATAATTTATTATTATGATTAAATAACAAAGCCATGTGTACAATTGTGGTGTTAAACTTATTCAGTCCGACTAAAATCAATGTCAATGAATATGAAACATACAATCTAAAATTTAATTATTTTTACAGTATAAGATAAAAGACAAGTGGGAGTGTTTCCCAGAAAAAAAAGTTGTTTCTGATATATGTTATAAATTATAAAAAATCAATTATAAAAAAATTCGACCATAACAGTTTGGATAAATAATACAACAGATTTATTGAACGCTGTGATATAAATGAAATACAGTTCAAAACAGCGATAAAACAGTTTCACTCACTGATTTATCTGCATCTAACGAAGAATAGACTGTTTTTCCGTTAATGCAGATGAACGCAATAGAGAGATATGGTAGACACGGGAGCAGCTGCGGAGACAGAGACCAATCCCTTAGTCAGGACACCATGTCTTGACTCTAGACCGCCTTCCACATACATCATACTGCTTCCGTTTCTTCTGAGGCAGAACACCTGGAAAATGACAGGGGATCGGGCTCTCGTCCAAGTTTTCGGACATAAACATGGAAAGAAATGACGATTATTTGACATGTCTTGAAATAGTTATATTCACCATATTGCACATAATATACACATATACATTTTAGTGACTCAATGTGTGACATGTCATGGAACGTATCCCATTAAAACAAACGTTTATTCAGTATATAAATTGTTTTACTTTAATCGTTTGACTGCAGCGATGCATACAATATTTACGAAGTACCTGCAGCTGTGAGGAGGACTTGTAAGAGAGCCTTCCGTCAATGATTGGAGGCACGGAGCCTTCGATCGTAGAGCTTAATGAATTGATCACCAAGATCAACCCTTCCCATGGGTTTACACGTTTACCACAGAAGGAAGGGGTCACATTATGTTTTGTATGTTTGTTTGTTGTTTAACGTTTGTTGTTTGAACTCAACAATGTTCTAGCTATATGATGGTCGTCTGTAAATTATGAGTCTGGACCAGATAATCCAGTGATTGAAATCATGTGCAAGGGTCTCACGCAATTGGGATACGATGACATGCATCAACCAAGTCGGCGAGTCTGACCACCCGATCCTTTCAGTCGCCTCTAACGACAAGCACAGTCGGCTTTTACGGCAAGCATGGGTTGCTGAAGACCTGTTCTCACCCGGATGTTCACGTTTCGACCATATCATGACTCAAATCAGATTCTACATTGAAAATTGTAAAACCCGCGAAATCGGTAAGGAAGGCGTCTGTATATGTTTAAACATAATAAAGATAATCACTTCTAGTGAAATATATAACATGCTGGATACAAACAAAGGACTATAAAGATTATTTTATTATATTAAATTAGGGTACATTTTACACACGCACACACACACGCACACGCACACACAAAATTTACATAAGAATGCCAGCACACATGGTATCCATCAGCTGCAAAGCTAAACAAAAAAGAAAAAGTATTCATAAGTCTATGAGGGAAACGGTTGCTTTGTCAATAGCTGTGACGTAACACATGCAAAAATGATCCAGGCACAATATTGTTATAAACGGCGCAGAGTTTGAATATGTGCATAAATGTGAACTGATATGAATATTCATGCACAGAATCGTGAAGTTTAATACATCACGTGTGTTATATAATAATATTCTATGGACATTATTGAGTGTACGAAAGTGGTAGCCATGCAAAGCAATTTGATAGATACATTTTGATGTACAGCAATGATTGGCTGAGTGAGTTAGGTTTTACGCCGCTTTTAGCAATATTCCAGCGACATCACGGCGGGGGACACCAGAAAAGGGTTCACACATTGTACCCATGTGGGGAATCGAAACCGTGTCTCGGCGTAACGAGCAAACACTTTAACCACGAGGCTACCCCACCGCCCCTGCACAGCAATGATGTTAACGTGCAGTCGTGGTGTTAGTGCTATAACTCGGGGAGCATAAATAATACCACATTGGTATTCACTATTAAAACCTTCTTTCCATATGTTTGCTTTTCATATTTTCATTTAATGAGCGCCATAAATATAATGGAAATACACACAGTTGTTCTCTCATGTGTGTACCAACCATTCCGCCATTACCGATAGTCGATAGAAATATGCAAAACGTGTAACTAAAAATGTTCGTAACGAGGTGAACTTACATATTTTTACATATATATGACTACTTTGATCAGAAAATTTCTTAAGATTTTATCTGAAAGTATTTACGTGTATGTGACATGGGTGCATAATCCAAAATCGCCATCATTCACTTGAAGTTCAAATAAGGGAGATAAAGATCGGTTACCACTTTACCAATCTCACCATTGTGTGCAATCAGCAGCACTGTATAATATGAATGATGCAATGTTAAAGCTGAGATGATTGGGGTGATATATAGATATATATAGATATCGTCCCGTGGCATTAAGAGGACTAATGCTGCTTCTAATAGGGGTTTTTTCCAGGTATATCACGGGGTGTTGGCCTAGGCCACTAACCACATATTGCGTTAATGTGAAATTACTATTTTCGAGAAATGCTTTATGCACAAGACAAATACAACAGAGAAAAATCATAGGATTTTGTAGGAATTTTTTTTCTAATTTAGTGTTCCAAATATCATGTCAGTTTTACAAAATAGCTGCATTGCATATACGTATGTATAAAAAGTAAATACAGAAAATATTATGTTTCCTGAAGAGGTTCAGTAATCAGAATAGTCTTCGCAATTTCACGTCGTCGGTACTTTTTAAATGTATGCAAAGGCATGCCACAGCTCCCACAGCAGAAAACCATAATGTTGCTGAATGTATTCGAAAACATTGGAATTATTCCAAATGTCAGCGCAACAATGTCGAAAATACCAGCTCATAACCATTTTCAAATATCAGAGACGATCGTGTATGCAGGATTTCTTCGCTTTCGACGTTGCCACTATGTTCTATTGTTTCTGAAATGCATGGAATAGCATGCCACAACCTTCACAGCATGGGTCCAAGACACAGTGGACGCACATCCCGTAGAACTTCTTGATACAGCCACAGTTTAGTTCCATGAACTTGAACATTGGCGTGACGATCCAGACGTGTGCGAATGCGACGACGGCAAATTCACAACCCCATCGAGCAGCTATGCAGATTCCATAGAAAAACGCGAGAAGGTTGTAGATGCAACTCTTCCAGCAGTTGAAACACCTGAAGGAGTTGACCCACACACAGTCCAAGCTGTGGATGCCCTCCGGCTCAGCCAATATATCCTCGAAGGTGACCTGGTGTCAGAAAGAAAATATACCACATAAAATATATTGTAGCTTGTGCTTCCTTTTGCTTATATGTACACAATTATCTGATAACAATGTTTTTGCTGTCACAGAACAGCCTTGTGTAGGTTGATAAAAGAACGTTGCTAGATATTCTCGCTTTCATCGATTGTTTTATACAATATGGTTGGACAGTGTTAGTGTCAAGGCGTCTCTATGGTTCAATACGTTTAACTACTTCGGGTCAAAATATTTCTTCGTTAGAGTCACGACAATTTCTTTATCTTCGTATCTCAATGTTAGGAGAGAGACTACGCTTGTATATTGGTAAGCGGATATCCGTAATAAGGCCCCATTCGTTCTCTTTAGATATGAAATATGCTTGCGAGCTGTGCCAAATGTAAATGTTGGTCCGAGATAACTTCTTAAACAGTGTAACTTAAATATACAATAATATTATTCATTCTTATTTATTTCTGGCACTAATAGGTATCGAGTCAGTACGCTAGGTATATTATGGCTATTATCACCAGTACAGGTCTAGAAGTGAGTAAACTGATTTATTTTTTGTTTTAGGATAATGATTAATACCCAACGGGTAAATTTGTATGATGATTATTCAGTCATAGCTCAAATTACCAGGAGAATCGTCTTTCTGTCCGACTGGCAAATGGGGACGAGATGTCATTTTTAAAAGGATAACGAAATAGTACCTGGATATGGTCGTTGATGTTGTTTGGATCCCTGTTTGTCAAATCAATGTCCATGGCTGAGCTAGGTGTGTGGTCAACTCCGACGGTGTGTGGTCAGCTGGTGTCCCTCCTTTGTGACCACAGACCTTTATATGTCCTCGTTAGTAACTGTATCCACGAAAACAACTGTAATCCCTGCCTAGTGACCGCCATGTAAGCATACAGAGGTCCGGGATTATTACATAACTATAACCATGTATTTCTGTCTCAACGGTAGTCGCGCACTCTATGACGACAACAACATTCAATGTATTTGTTTTGCCGGTTTGAAGTGGTTCAGTTATTGTTCTTCCATTTTACCATGTTTGTTTGCAGCAGGAAGTTTCAGCTATGTATTGCTATGTATGGGATTGAATTTTCCAAGAAAATGCTGGAAAAATATATTGGTGTTTCTGATTGTTGAAAAAAGAGATACAATTGTTACCAGTGGAGGGAATTCCTGTACGTGTCAATACCACCTAGACGAAGAGAAACATTTGTCACATTTAACACAAACACATCGGTTCATTCAGTTCATACTGAATCATTTCATTCCCGCATAATTTACCATTAGCAGCAACTTTCATAACTTAATCATATATTTGGTGTTGCCCACAACAAGAATATTCGCACGTGAGCTCGTGCACAACTTACGTGCATCATGCTGGTCATGAAATGGGGATCGGATGGTCAAATGGCTTTTGATCAGGAATGATACATAAGTGTTTTTGTTTGTTTGTTGTTTAACGCCGCATTCATCAATATTCCAGCTATATTACGGCAGTCTGTAACTAACGGAGTCTCGATCAGACAACCCATTGATTGGCATCATGAGCATCGATCTATGCAATTGGGATACGATGACATTCATCAACCAAGTAAGCGAACCTGACCACCCGATCCTGCTAGTCGCTTCTTACGACAAGCATAGTTTGCTCATAGGGCAAGTATGGGTTGCTAAAGACCTATACTCTATTCGGTTTTTCACGTGTAAGTATACCCCCTTCAAGAGCTTATACTTTGTTCAATATTATATCGGTAAAGCCAAACCATTGTCCACTTGTTGTAAAATGTCAAGTCATTTTATATGAGTGGGTTTCATATCACAGGAATATGTAAATCTGATTACAATAATGAAATCGTGTGCCTATTTACAATCAAACAACCCTATATATGTAAACAAGAGGAGTGAAATGCGATAGTACGCTTGTTACCACGTCATGTAACCCTCGGGCTTTAGTGTCATAAACATACATAGGATGAACGGAGTGGACACATGGTTCCTTCTCGACACTGCTGTAAATATTGGAGACACTGTTTCCAAAGCAGTTTATGCAGTGTATCGACGAAAACGAGTATTTAATTTGTGAGCTTGCTCTATTGATTTTACGAAACTTCGACTATATAAACCTTCGAAAAACTACATCGCACTCTATTGTTTTGATCATTGTATTATAGTATAACCTTTATGTGTTCACATTTCATACCTTGTTGTATGAAAGCACATTCCTGAGATGATGTTGAAGATGGCCAGCGGTGGAATAACCTTGTCTCCTTCCTCATCTGGGCGACGGATAGAGCCAGGGCATCCAACACTTTCTGACTGAGACGGTCGCTCATTCATTCATTCATGGGTGAGTGAGTGAGTGAGTGAGTGAGTGAGTGAGTGAGTGAGTGAGTAGCACATATTTGGATGAAGCCAATTGTACAGTACTAATAACAATTAGCACACGGGTATTGAAAGCAGATATACAGCGAGGATAAGGATTAAAAGGGATATACAGTTATGACAAGCCTATTGGGTCCTAATTAAAATTAACTTAACTAGATCTTCATAGGCAGACGCATGTAATACCCTTGATCTCTGTTGTTCAAAGGTTTGTGACGGCGGGTTCCTCAGAAGCGATATGTGCTTGTTATCTGTTACCGTTGTTGTCTATGTGAATCTGCTGCTTATCACAACATGTCATGCATATATATGTGTCGGAGTGTCGGATTAACGAGACTTGACTGTATACCTCTCATCACTTGGTTGTTGTCACTCCAGCTTGATAACGGCATAAGAATCTACATCGAAACGCTATATGCAATAAACCAGAAGTTGGTATCAATAAACTTGTACGTTTTACTTACCCTTTTCATACTTACCAATGAAGAGAAAGAAAAGACATATGCTCAACGCTTTAGTGGCTATTTTCCTCTACAACTTCCACGTGGTGCTATATGATCCATGAGCAATGTCCTTGCAACATTGTGTTAAACTGGCGGCTGCAATATACAAAAAACCTCACCTAGTGTGTACTCAGACTGTTAGGTAGACCCGGAAGCAGTCTAATGTCCGTATCCGCCTCTGTTCTCACAGTCAGCGATACACATGTTTCGACACTGACCAGGGTTATCAGCAGACCTACATTCCGACCTCCTGATCACCGTAACAAATATCAGATATGGAAACTCCCGCTATCGTCAGGGTCATCATTCATCGCCAAACCAGAGGGACCATATAAAAACCGAAAACATGAATATAGTGCATGAGTACAAGGCGACCGTACGCCTGTTTGTACGCCCAGAAAACCTCCGTTACCGGCCCACTTTACGAACATCGAGATAACATTTCTAAACATGGTCCAAATAGTATGGAAACGCTGAAGGGTCACATTTTCACTCAACGGCCATTACTATATTGTCGTCGCGTTAAGGACTGTCTGCCAACCGTCACCTTGCCATGTATGTGCTCGCTTTCATACAGTACTACAATACCTCGTTGCTGGTCCGGATCTCTAACAAATATCTAATAACAAATTCGAGAAGAGCATAACTTCAACAATACGTACAAGCCCCTGTTTAACTACATATATAATAATGATAGTAGTAGAAAGGAGGTTAATTTACACCCCATTTTTCTACTTCCATGTCATCTTTATTGATAGCTATATTCTTCATGTCTTTATGTTGTACCAGATTATCTCTTTGGTTCAGCAGGTTGGATCAGTTTCATGGTTAAACTGTAAGGGTAATGCGGGACACAGGGTAATGCGGGACACAGGGTAATGCGGGACACAGGGTAATGCGGGACACAGGGTAATACGGGACACAGGGTAATACGGGACACAGGGTAATACGGGACACAGGGTAATACGCGACACAGGGTAATACGCGACACAGGGTAATGCGGGACACAGGGTAATACGGGACACAGGGTAATACGGGACACAGGGTAATACGCGACACAGGGTAATACGGGACACAGGGTAATACGCGACACAGGGTAATACGCGACACAGGGTAATACGGGACACAGGGTAATACGTGACACAAGGTAATACGCGACACAGGGTAATACGGGACACAGGGTAATACGGGACACAGGGTAATACGGGACACAGGGTAATACGCGACACAGGGTAATACGCGACACAGGGTAATACGCGACACAGGGTAATACGGGACACAGGGTAATACGGGACACAGGGTAATACGGGACACAGGGTAATACGCGACACAGGGTAATACGGGACACAGGGTAATACGGGACACAGGGTAATACGCGACACAGGGTAATACGGGACACAGGGTAATACGGGACACAGGGTAATACGCGACACAGGGTAATACGCGACACAGGGTAATACGGGACACAGGGTAATACGGGACACAGGGTAATACGTGACACAGGGTAATACGCGACACAGGGTAATACTGGACACAGGGTAATACGCGACACAGGGTAATACGCGACACAGGGTAATACGGGACACAGGGTAATACGGGACACAGGGTAATACGCGACACAGGGTGATACGGGACACAGGGTAATACGCGACACAGGGTAATACGCGACACAGGGTAATACGCGACACAGGGTAATACGGGACACAGGGTAATACGCGACACAGGGTAATACGCGACACAGGGTAATACGGGACACAGGGTAATACGCGACACAGGGTATTACGGGACACAGGGTAATACGCGACACAGGGTAATACGCGACACAGGGTAATACGGGACACAGGGTAATACGCGACACAGGGTAATACGCGACACAGGGTAATACGTGACACAGGGTAATACGCGACACAGGGTAATACGGGACACAGGGTAATACGCGACACAGGGTAATACGGGACACAGGGTAATACGCGACACAGGGTAATACGCGACACAGGGTAATACGGGACACAGGGTAATACGCGACACAGGGTAATACGGGACACAGGGTAATACGTGACAGGGTAATGCGGAACACAGGGTAATACGGGACATAGGGTAATACGGAACACAGGGTAATACGCGACACAGGGTAATACGCGACACAGGGTAATACGGGACACAGGGTAATACGCGACACAGGGTAATACGGGACACAGGGTAATACGGGACACAGGGTTATGCGGAACACAGGGTAATACGGGACACAGGGTAATACGCGACACAGGGTAATACGGGACACAGGGTAATACGGGACACAGGGTAATGCGGAACACAGGGTAATACGGGACACAGGGTAATACGGGACACAGGGTAATACGCGACACAGGGTAATACGCGACACAGGGTAATACGCGACACAGGGTAATGCGGAACACAGGGTAATACGCGACACAGGGTAATACGGGACACAGGGTAATACGGGACACAGGGTAATGCGGGACACAGGATAATACGGGACACAGGGTAATACGGGACACAGGGTAATACGGGACACAGGGTAATACGCGACACAGGGTAATACGGGACACAGGGTAATACGCGACACAGGGTAATGCGGAACACAGGGTAATACGGGACACAAGGTAATATGACACAGCAGTTACCACGCAAACGTTCCTATGACATGACTTTGTTGTTGCAAATGCCACATCATCATAGCAATGTTGTCCGATGATTTATGTACTGGTTTTACGTCGTTAGTTTTGTAAAACGTCATTATAAAAAAACAATATTAATTAGATCAATGTCAGAAGATTAGAACTGCGTTGACAAAAAGACAATACTATATTCGAATACACCGCAAAGACACAAATAAAGAACAAATTATACATGCACATCCCCTATGGAGACTGTTTTTCACTATTCATATTCTTATTTCATACCACATCATTAGAGTACTTGAAACTTTAAAATGACTTCAAATGTTAAGTACAAAAGATTGAACGAGAACAAAAAATAAATTACACATAAATGATTCAATAATTGTCTCTTTTATCAGCCGCTACGTTTGTATTGATTGCATTTTACAAAGAAGGATTTTGTCTGTCATCGTGCAGATTTAGACTTACAATGTGTCCATTCGAAATAGGAACGAGGATAATTGATTATGTATCAATATATATATTATGCACTTAAAAGTGTGGACACACATTCCGCCGATTACAGCATACACGTAGGCTCTGTGTGTTCAAGCAGGAATATACAGGAAATGCTATGTAACAAACATCTGTGTACTAATTACATGTTTGAATGTTATCAGTTATGCGTTCTGAGATAGAGTGATGTAAGTATCTTCCACAATTAACAATTTATGTAGACAGAGACCATATCGGTATATGGTCTCTGATGTAGATGATAAAGTAAAAAAAACCTCTCTGCTGGAATGTATATGGTGCCAATTATTCGATATTGTAAGATTCGTAAAATGTATGAGCAGACGAATCAACTATTCACACTATTCAAAGCTGTCAATAAACTGCCAATCATATTAATAGGCGACAACCAGTTTTAATAATCAAGTGGTAACCAATAGAATATCAACTACAATTTGCTGCATAAAGCTCTCAATAAAAGGACAATTATATCAACAAGAGGCAACCAGTTTTAGTAATCAAGTTGTGTGTGTGTGTTTGTGTGTGTGTGTGTGTGTCTGTCTGTCTGTCTGTCTGTCTGTCTGTCTGTTTAAAGCCTCTTCAGGGAAAGGATAGGTCCCAAGTACCCCTTGCTAAGAGAAGTATTTCTAGATTCTTTAAAAAGTGTACTTGTATTAGAACATGGTTTTGTAATCAGGAAGCCTTTTTAGCAATATATGGTGACTGTTTATCGCAAAATTTAACTTTACAGCGGCGAAGAACTGTGAGCCTTGAAACAGGTGAGGTGAGGTGAGGTGAAATGGGTTTAACGTCGCGTCCAAGATTATTGCACTTATATGTGTGTGTGGCTGTCCGGAATGATGCCGATTTTATAGTGCCAGTCCACTGAGATACCATGTCGCAGTTTAACATGAATATCCCACTCAGACACAGTATATTGACTCCCAGCCGATCAGTCCTTGTTTTAGCCCCTTCAATGCTGAGCGCCAGGCCGGGAAACAACAAGTACCAATTTCTAACGGTTTTTTTTGGTACCTTCCGCTCTCCGGGTGGACGCTCTTCCACTAGACCATGGAGGCGGTCACTACAAGTTAAGAATAGTTCATAAATAATGAATACCCATTAACAAGATATATAAATACATACACAAAACCAAGATAAATAAAATATAAAAATAAATATAGTATCATATACAGACAGACACTAAACAGGATACATACATACATACATACATACATACATACATACATACATACATACATACATACATACATACATACATACATACATACATACATACATACATACATACATACATACATTGTTAACTCATAACTGTTAAATGCATTGCCTAATAGATACATGTACATTAATACACCTACACATATAACCACTGGAGCATGTACCTACATATGCCACACACCCGATATAAACATATATAATCGTATCAAGATACACGTGCACATGTTCCTTGTTCACAATGGGTTAGGTGACTGAACACCTTTCAATTTCAAATTGCGCAGGTATCTGTTACATGCGTCTGTGTCAGACATACATGGAGGGGACACTTTGCTCCTGCCCCCATAACTACATGCGTCTGTGTCAGACATACATGGAGGGGACACTTTGCTCCTGCCCCCATAACTAGATGCGTCTGTGTCAGACATACATGGAGGGGACACTTTGCTCCTGCCCCCATAACTACATGCATATCTTGTATTCACAATACGTAAATACCGAAGGTCAGAACAATCAAACCTGGTTATTTAATTATGATAAACAAACAATATTTGCTCACACATTTAACTTTTACCGCACAGGGCAAAATATGGAAAATCTTTAAAAAATTATTTGCACATGCAAAACGTATCAAGAAGGTAAGTCATCAGTTATAACAAACATTGTTTGTTGGCGCACGTGACCAAACATATAGTGAAACGGTATGTCAAGGTGTAGGAAACTACTTGGATGCACTGACGACAATTGATGTGCGGTACATAACACATTAATTACAAACTAATGCAAGATAATTAGCTGTCTTACTGACCGTCTGTCTGATTGTAATACCGTACAGTGCGTGTATAACGTGCTTGAATGTACAAGGTCTACTGTTATATCACAATGACATTTTAATTTGAATAACATGGGAATTGAAGTATATGTGTCTAATGCAACTGCATATATAACGATCAGTTTTGTAGGAGCACATGCAATGTACTTTATATTAATATTATATCAACGTTAACTGTGTGGCCACACTAATCAGGACTTCCCTCCTTGTATGTACATTGTAGGTGTTTTTTACCAAGTAAATGTACATATACACACATCAACTATACTAAAACAAATGTCAAAGTACTACATTAGTATATGCTAGTCCATGAATGTATACATGTAGTAGATTTGTACAAATGAGAGACACACTGCAAGTTGATCATTAATCAAATATTTATGTTAAATAATATTTAATGATAGCATTATTATAGCAGCAATATTTTACAAACTGGTGTTTACATGTATTTATCAAATGTACCTGCAATCCATTCGCAGCATAGTATCACAGAATAATTTGTATGGAGAGTGTTGCCATGGCCCGCCCCGCGTTGACGGCGTGAAAGTCCCCTAAAACTCCTAATTAGTGCCCTAAAACAATAAAATAGTTTTCGCAGAAATTCGCGGATATCCGCGGATTATTCGGGATTTTGCGAATTATTCGCGAGTTATTCAACTTATCCGCGGAATATCCGATAACAAACTTTTGCGTTGTAGCGTAGAATCCTTTCTACATCCAACCTTCTTGAGAAATAGACCCGAATTTACAACACTATTCCGATTGTTTCTACTACGTTGAATTTACAATCAGATAAGGGTACATGTGGAATTATACATTGCCAGAAGAAATGTCCGTTAAGTATGTCTGTTTCTGTAAAACTATACTGAAACACGACTTCAAACTGATCAAAAGAGAGAAGGGAAGTAACTCTTGTAGTTGCTATTGAAATATATTTTCTTAGCCCTTCTGTCAGTTTATCAAAAGAGTTTCGTAACCTTAGTAATTCAACAACAGGCCTAAAATCATAACATCTCATTACCAGCAGGGGCAGAGGGGGGGCCTCGTGGTTGAAGCGTTCGCTCGTCGATCCACATGGGTACAATGTGTGAAGCCCATTGCTGGTGTCCCCCGCCGTTATAGTGCTGCAATATTGCAAAAAGCGGGGTCACTCACTCACTCACTCACCCACTCACCCACTCGCTCACTCGCTCACTCACTCACTCACTCACTCACTCACAGCTGAAGACATATGTACACCCAACGTAGTACTCGCCGTGTTCAAGGTTCTTATATAACACGCAACAATACCATGCGTTTATTGTGAGATGTGTGTATGAATGAAATCTACACTTTCTATTGCCTGTTGCAGGTCATCTACGATTCTACTTTTATTGGAATAACACTGTGTATCAGATCAACCATAAAACATAAACTGCAACTGACAGGTTACCCCCCATTTATAAGTGTTAGTTATAAAATATTGACGAGCCATCATAAAGATAGGTAGGATAATAAATAATGGTGAAAAGCCTTTGAGGAGATCGTGACATTCGCCTGTACACAAGATGCCACTCCCGGGCAGGTTCAAGATGTGTCCATTTGTCGATGAGAGTAAAATCTTCTGTTGCCGCACACAACGCCCGACCACACTTCTCACCATGTAACATTCTTTGGAAACTCCCCACTTGCAACTCAACCGAAGGCTCCTATAAAGAATCATTTACAAAACCGTAAGAAAGTTAATCTTTGTACATCTTCAGAATGGACGATATTCTAGACCGGGACCCAAACAACATCAACGAACATGTCAAGGTAAGAGACAGAGGTGTCAAAGTTTAACTGAACACACACAGAACAGGTAAAATCATGTCAAACATATGACCTCACTTGTGAGGTGTATCTTTAAATAATTACCAGGAGAAAATTCCTGGTTAACTTCAACGTACCTTACGTAAAACAAATTAAACATCTTGACGTTTGTAAAACGTGATAAATTCAATAAATTCAATAAATTCAAGTATTAAATGCACCCGTTGGGTGAGGACAACGACCTGTTGTAAGTGAAGCCACAACAGTATCTAAGTTTATGTTCATGCATAAAAGATTTATTTACCTGACTTTCTTAATAGGCCAGTGGCGGTCGGGTAGCCTAGTGGTTTAAGCGTTCGCTCGTCACGTCGAAGACCCGGGTTCGATTCCCGACATGGGTACAATGTGTGAAGCCCATTTCTGGTGTCCCCCGCCGTGATAGTGCTAGAATATTGCTAAAAGCGGCGTAAAATCATACTCATTCACTCACTTAATAGGCCATGATATACAATTTATATAAAAAAATGTTGTTTTTTAAACTGTCTTTGTGGTACGCCACAGGAAACGTTACAAACCAGAAATACAAGAGGGCCGCCATTTTATTAAAATGGTCGATAAATTACGTCTAAGATTTGTGAAGATTTTGACAGTTTACAGTAGTGTATGCATTTATGCTTGCTAATTTGTTTCATACCATTGTACTCAGGTATCATTCGAGGACGTCCTAGCAGAGCCCGATGGTTCTCACAGCTACTCCTGTGTGTGGAGCTTCTCCTACCTGTGTTTTGACTGCGGTAAAGGGTGCCTATACAAGCTCCTAACACTGCTTTGTGGTATATGTATTGCCATGGGTTGGGGCTGTGAGTTCGCCTGGGTGACTTTTACCCACATCTGGTTTATAACCCCCTGCTTCAAGGTACTGGAGCTCAACTGTGGCTGCCTACAGAAGATATACGGAGTGTGTGTGCACTGTGCAGTGGGTCCCTGCTGTGAAGCATTTGGCCTTCTCTTCCATGCATTCAGAAAGTGATGGAGCCAGAATTGCCTTTCAAGACTTTTATATGAAGACACTGGGAGTTTCTCGTGGTCTCGATATTAATATGCAGCTGACAATGTACCATTTTGTAAAAATAAAAACGTTTGGGCCTTTCGGCATAAACTCATAGTGCCTCTGTAGATGTTGTTGCTGAAGACCCAATTTGGCAAGTTTCCAAAAAGCCCTTGTTACAAATATAACATTGTTTTCATGCAATTGTTGGGATTTTTTAGATTTAGTCCTCCCAATGAATACCGCCTCTGTGGTCTAGTGGCAGAGCGGAAAGACCGGGGTTCGATCCCCGGTCGCGTCATACCAAAGACGTTAAAAGACGGCACTTGTTGTTACCCTGCCTGGCGCTCGACATTAAGGGGGTAAAACAAGGACTGGGCGTCTCGGAGTCAGTATACAGTATCTGAGTGGGGTATTCATGTTAAACTACGGCATGGTATCTCAGTCGGCTAGCACTATAAAATCACCATTTGCCTTGGCAAGTAGAATCAGAAAAACAGACACGCGCGCATGCATGTCGCTATACAAGTGTCATAATCTTCAACGCGACGTTAAAGCCCATTTCAGCTCACCTCACCTCCCGGTGTTTTGAACACAATAACCTTTCGACATGTGCATACGATTTATCCTGTCATTTAACCATTAATAGCTCCCTTATCTCTCCAACACGATGGTCTATAAACTGGCGGTAAAGTTACGAGCTTGTACACTAGGAACCACTCGAAAAGTATTTGAAACGAAGCCAAATAGATTTAGCATCTACGTGTGTTCAAGTTTCGACATGGTGCGACACTGTTGTTCTATTGCTAAGCTACAGCAAGTACTCGATGCTTCAGCATAGCTTATTGTGTAACTGATTCCTCCAGCAAAGGGCTACAAGCTTCTACCTGAGGGCCACGATGGTTGACGTCCTGAACCGCGATCCCAACAACATCAACGACCATGTTAAGGTAAGCATGCCGGTCGTGTCATGTTTATATGCTGTATATATGCTTATAAGAAATTACGGTTATAACGAAGTATATAACGAAGTATATAAGTTCGTTATAACAGTAGTTAACTGTATTGAAACATGAGATCATGTTGAAGACTTGAAACCTATATGTATTATGTCTCTGTACATCTTTGATACATGGAACCAGTTATTAAAACAGATATCTTTAAAGTCAGTATAAGAATGCTCGATTTTTTGTGAAATGAGTTCATGTGTCCGCATAAAGGTTTCTAAATTTATATTAATTGTCTTTAAACATAAACGCTACCACTTACTTGAAACTTTTTGGTAGCATGTTTGATAATTATTTGTTTGTTTGTTGTTTAACGCCGCACTCAGCAATATTCCAGCTATATGCCGGCGGTCTGTAAATAATCGAGTCTGGACCAGACCATCCACTGATTTACATTATGAGCTTCGATCAATGCAATCGGGATACAATGACATGCATCAACCAAGTCAGCGAGCCTGACCACCCGGTCCCGTTAGTCGCCGCATTTAACAGTTTAACAAGGTCACCCGAACTCAGAAACACTATACTGACTCTAAGCTGACCTGTCGTAGTTTTCTACCCTTAGTGCCAAACGCCAGACAATGATACAAGCACCGTACCGTAATCACATAATCAACCCCCATTTTCAATTTTTGAAACTCCAAAGTACCTTTCAAATACACTTTTACTAGTAATGACATGTTTAAATGTCTAAGTATATATATATATTAGGAAGTGGGCGACCAATTATTCTACTTGGAAAATCGGTAATCTTAGAACATGTATTGTTTATCGTTTTTTATTAGGTTGAGTTCGAAGACATCCTTGCTGAGCCAGACGGAGCTCATAGCTTCGATTGTGTATGGACTGCCTCCAGTCTCTGCTTCAACTGCTGTAAAGGATTCCTGTACAAGCTCCTGACACTGTTGTGTGGCATCTGTATTGCTATGCAGTGGGGCTGTGAGTTTGCCGTCATCGCCTTCAATCACATCTGGATCATCACGCCCTGCTTCAAGGTACTGGAGCTCAACTGTGGCTGCCTGAAGAAGCTATACGGCATGTGTGTGCACTGTGCTCTGGACCCCTGGTGCGAGTCTTGCGGCCTTTTCTTCACGGCTTTTAGGAAATAAGACCAGAAATATTCACCAGTGTTGCTATTCATGCTGTTAATGAAGACATATTTGATAGGACATAATTGATAACGAATTGTGCCTTGTGATATATCTCAGAGGGAAGTCGTATTGTGAGACGTTTACACATTATAGATAAAGCTAAACTCATATAGCATATGTAAATTTATGCTTTTAAATCGTCCTTATTTTTCTTTACTTCGACTGATGTACATTTACATTTAATTGTATTTTTTAAATAAAGATTACGTTGGAATATATACATACTGTCATTTTAGCGTTTTTAAAGTCTTCCGTCACCATGCCGAAGGCCTGGGTTCGATTCATCACAAAGTATGAAAACCCAATTCTGGTGTCCCCAGCCATGACTGAAGTATTGTGCCCGTGAAGATCCGGGTTAGAATAGCTCTTCAGCCATTACATAACAGATTCACTGAGGGTTGTGCTCGCAGCGGGGCGCTTAATGCGCAGTTACAAGCAAGTTATTTCACGAAGGGACCCGTGAAGATCCGGGTTAGAATAGCTCTTCAGCCATTACATAACAGATTCACTGAGGGTTGTGCTCGCAGCGGGGCGCTTAATGCGCAGTTACAAGCAAGTTATTTCACGAAGGGACCCGTGAAGATCCGGGTTAGAATAGCTCTTCAGCCATTACATAACAGATTAACTGAGGGTTGTGCTCGCAGCGGGGCGCTTAATGCGCAGTTACAAGCAAGTTATTTCACGAAGGGACCCGTGAAAATCCGGGTAGAAATGGGTCTTCAGCAAACAATTCTTGCCGTAAAAGGCGACTATGCTTGTCTTAAGAGGTGACTAACGGGATCGGGTGTCCCAGTTGCGTAGATCGATGCTGCAAGGCCTGGATGCCGGTCAAGAAGAAATTGTCTTCAGCCACCCTAAAAAGTCATTCACAGCGGAAATGACGTCATCATTACTAGGAACAAAGGCGACCCGCTAGTTCCTTTTTCATTTTGGAAAACAGGTGGAAGTCTGACGGGGCCCAGTCGGGTGAATAAGGGGGATCGTCAATGAGTTCGAAGCCACAATCATTGATCGCTGACATGGCAACCACCGATTTGTGAACAGGAGTATTGTCTTGGTGGAACAGGACTCCTTTAGCGAGCATTCCCCGTCGCTAAGCTTTGATAGCTTCACGCAACTGTTTCAGTAGGTCAGCATAATATCTTCCATTGATAGTCTGGCCTTTTTCAAGATATTCAATCAGCAGAATACCCTTGGAATCCCAAAAGACTGAAGCCATCACCTTTCCAGCAGAAGTAACCGACTTGGCTTTTGGGGGGCCTGGTGATTCCGGATGCTTCCATTGTTAAGACTGAATTTTGGTTTCTGGTTGAAAGTGATGAATCCAGGTCTCATCCATGGTTACAAATCGGGCCAAAACATCATCGGGATCTGCTTCAAAACGGCATTTGTCACAGGTCGTCAGGAATCTGACACGTTTCTGATCCGCTGTCAAGAGCTTTGGCACCCTTCTTGTAGAAACTTTTGTCATCCCCAACTCGTTGGTGATAATGTGCTCAACCCTCTCATGAGAGATGCCCACAACACTGGCAATATGTCGAGTGGTCAATCGTCGATCAGCCATCACCATGTCATGCACCCGGCCGGGTAATGTTTTCCGAAATGGTTACTGTTGAAGGCCTTCCTGGACGCGGGTCATCGTCAAGGCTCTCTCTGCCACGCTTGAATTCCGCAGCCCACTTCTTTACAGTGGAAAAGGAAGGGGCAGCATCCCCTAAAGTGGAGACCATGTCAGCATGTATCTGTGTTGGAGTTAGCCCTTTCAGTTGCAGGTACTTGATGACTGCCCTATTGCCAGTTTTGTCCATTTCTGGTGATTTCAATGGGTAGGTTCACAAGATGGTCTGGTACAAAGGCAATAATAACACTACAGTTATAGTTCTTATGTCTGTGATTCATTAAATGATTGTACTTGTTGGTGGCAAATGTTTGTATCAATCCGATTGAGATATCCCACTTAGGCTTAGAAATTTTCAGCCAGCCCTTGTAATATCCTCATAAACTATCTCAGTTTTTTTTTCTGGCAATTGTAATATTTTCTCCAGTGGTTTTAAATTGCCGCATATCATTAATGTCTTTGTTTCTTGCAACGAATAACACTGTGGTTATCTGGAGTTAACTGACTCGCTAACAGGACATAAGCTATTAATTAATTTATTATTATATTGAAAAAAGTAATAGTTTACAGTCAGTTGTATTTTGTGTAAGTCAAACGTAGTTTTTCTTAATTTGTTTATACGTTTTTGTCATGTTTGTCAAAGTAAGTATGAGTATGGCCACTCCACTATATTGTACAGAGAGCTTTATAGCACTACTCTAGACGACTTTCATTCCTAATTGTCATCGGTGCCAAAATGTCGATTATCTTGATCATATGGTTAGACATTCATATACGAAGCACCGGTGTAATTTGATTAATTCTATGAAAATAAACTAGCTGTTGACATAAACAAAGTCAGTTATATCGAAAGAAAGATTTTTTAAAACAGATTTTTCATCAAGTCGAAGATATACCTACATTTATTTATTTTAAATATTAAAAGAAGTTATAATTATTCATTGCCTATAATCAGAAACAATATGATTGTAAGTTTTGATATCATGTGATTTGTGTTATATAAAGTTAAACTATTTGAAAACGTGATGTCAAATTCTGTCAATATGTAATACATTGAGCACTGATATTTGTCGAGCAGTTTTCAGGCAACACGCTGCATTTATATAAACAAGTGATTTCGTCAGGTGTATAAGTATTAAATATACAAAAAAAGTCCAGATATTCGTGCTTGTCAAAACTCCTTTATCCACACAAGATCTTTCGTCGTAATGAAAACTTTAACTTACATTGTACGCGACGCACAACAGTTGTATTTGTGGCGTCATAATGCCTTTGACGTAACGGTGACAATGGAGGGAGAAGTAAAACGTAGTTCTAGGCTATATATATGCATAGCGACTGCTGTCAAATCGTTGTTTTCTACTATAGGGAAAGCAGTAGTGTGTACGAGAACAAAGCTACGATGTCGCAGCTAATTAGATCTCATTTATCGGAAAATACTCGGTGGCTACAATTATGTACGTACTCAGACCAATTGCACTTAGGTTTTTGTTTTTGTCGTAAATATAATTACACAGATGATAAACAAATGTTACTATACCTTTCATGATCGTTCATGCTTTGTATACAGCAGGCATTCGCTAACTTCTCGGCAGTCGATAAAACGTTCGCCGTCAGCATAGAAAGTAGGCTACAGGTGTACTCATTGTAACATCTCTTTCAGCAATCCTCGGTAGTATAGTGGTCAGTATCCCCGCCTGTCACGCGGGAGACCCGGGTTCAATTCCCGGCCGGGGAGAACATCTTTTTAAGCTTAGATTTTTCAAGAACTATCCATCTGCCCCTTTCTTCAGATTGTTGTTCGTCAATGACACCAATGCCTGCTTTTATAATGGTTTTCTTGGTAATGGTTTACTCTCCATTTCTGGTGGGATTATGGAAATGTTAACAGTTAGGATGAAACAGTGGCAGCTCTGTAATACAATCAAGATTTTGTCTGACAAAGAAAGTCCAATGATTTGTCATTTGTACGTGACACGTGCAACCGTACACACGTAGCTGTCCCGTATTTCACGCACGTGAAGCACGTGCTTAACGTTCTAGCTATCCGTTTTACAGTAATGATAACTGAGAAATTACAATTTTGAATCCGACTATTGTAATAACAATGTTCAAGAGATGAAACATTTAAGTTATAACATACTTTAAATATGTTACTGTTTGTCAATATGACGAAACGTTAGACAGGGGGGAAAGATGGACGTTACTGCTAGCAACCATCACCAGCAACCCACAAATGTAAACAAACAATTGGAGTGTGCAGCACAGAACATGGTTTATACTACTCAAAGTTCGCTAAGGATCTCCACATTTAAAGGTAATACGTCAAATTGTGTGCATCTTTAGAAATAGCCAAAGACTACAGATGTAGTTCTCATGACCTTCGAATAGAAAAAGGTAGACATTGAGCAATATCAAGGGAAAACAGATTGTGTAAATATTGTACTTGCCAAGAGATAGAAGATGAATACCATTTTTTGCTAGCCCATTGCATGCAAATATCAGAAAAGAATACATTCATACATATTTTTATAAGAATCCTAGAATAGACAAATTTTATATCCTCATGTCATCTCAAAATGAAATAGTCACAAAATATCTTTCAATGTATATATACCATGCAATGAACATCAGATCCTCTGCATTATAGATGTGATATTTAGTTACGATATATGTAATTCCTATTGCACCCATTGCTACTGTATGTGTATATGTACTATAGGCCTATGGCCTTTTCACTACTTGAAATAAAGATTGATATATCCACAATATAGCATGAAGACATGTTTAATGAACAAAAGTCCGTTGTCGTGTACCACACAATGCCAACAAACAACATGTGACTAATAATCAGTCAGATCATCCGTCACAATGAAAGTATCTGACAAAAACTGAAACGTTAAAAAATCAAGAAAATGAAATACATTGTCCAAAAAAACAACTCACAGAAGCGCGTATGTGATCCACGAGATGCGATCACAGCCTGGCTCCGTCGTCTCATGCTCCCAATAAGTGTCTGCATAGTTGCAGGGGCGGTGGGGTAGCCTTGTGGTTAAAGCATTCGCTCGTCACGCAGAAGACACGTGTTCGATTTCGCTCATGGGTACAATGTGCGAAGCCCATTTCTGGTGTGATGTTGTTGGAATATTGTTAAATGCGGCGTAAAACAATACTCACTCACTCTGGATCGTTGCCAAGAGAAGATTGTTCCACTCTTCAGTAACAACATTGCCGATTTCCTGTAGATGAAAACTTGATCCTTAGAAAACTTTGAGTAGAATTATATTAACGCCGTGTTGTAGACACAGGCAAGTGCTTTAGGTTGAACCCTGCTTTGAACTGTATTTAAGTAATTACAAAGTTAGATTTGTTTAAATTGATTTTATGACTTAAGTGTTGCAACATCAATGGCAACACACACAAACGCAGTGACACGAGTACACTGCTGACCCGGGATTTGTTTAAGTTGTTTTTTATGACTTGAATGTTGCAACATGGATGGAAACTCACGCTGACAACATAGTGTTGTCAAATATCCTGTCCAATTTGTTATCTGTCCTTGGCAGTGGTTATCGCAGTGTATGTATATGTTAATCTATTTTACTTGATCGCCACTGCCGTGTGTGTTGTACGTATGTGTACTCGATATCTCGCGGGTCCGCGAGATCAAGCGTTACTACCCTGAGTTTAGGGGCATCACCATAGCTAACCAGCTATCCAATCATTTGTTATATGTTTGCTTTGAAGTGTATTAAAGGTGTAGGACTTTTACATTTTGTTCGTGCGATTTAAATTTCATACAAAGAAACATATTTCAGAATGCAGGTAAATTTAAGAAAAATCGCAAGTTTAACCTCCGCTGACGTAAACGTTCAATCTAAACGGATCGTGACGAAAACCCGTGCCCACGTCATAAATGTGACGCAGCGCATATACTGCCCAAACGTGTCCTAAAATGCACCCTTCAAATATAGTCCACTGGCTTAAAAGAATCTGAAAGAATTTATTTTACATTATATATTTATCAATTAGAATGTACGTGTGAGTGAGTGGGTGAGTGATTGGTTGAACAGTTTTCCAATTATATCACGGCAAGTCAGCCTGGATACGGGAGGAAAGCCCAAAGTGATGTAGAGCCCTTCAAAACATAATCACGGCGCACCGTATCAAAGGTCAAAGGTTTGACGCGCAAGGGACGCAACTCTGCTCAGCGAATTGCGGCGACATAAGAGTGAGTTAGTGAGTGAGTTGGGTTTAACGCCGCTTTTAACAGTATTCCAGTTATATCGCGGCGTGTCAGCTTAATGTGGGAGGAAAGCCCAAAGTGATGCAGGTCTTAGACGTTAACCACTTCAGTGAAACCCACGAGCACGGGTGTGGTGCTGACAAACATAATCGGGGCGAACCGGGATTCGAACCCACAATCATAGGTTTCTGGCGTGCCCAAGGGGCGCAACTCTGCATAGCGAATTGCGGCGACATAAGAAGGAGAAGGGAAAGGAGAAGAAGTAGTCAACTTATAATGTGTGAAATTCCACTCAGTGCATACTCATAGCTATATTGTATTATTACTCCGGATAATGGATCGAGTTTCATTCTCAAGTCTCAAGAAGGTATAGGCACTTGGACGACTTGGCCAAGAATCTGAGAATAAGTCCTGAGTAACTTACCTTTAATGTGGTCTTGTGGTAGAGCGTCCGTCCGGAGAGCGGAAGGTCCGGGGTTTTGTCATACCAAAAGACGTTAAAAGATGGTACTTGTTGTTACCCTGTCTGGCGCTCGGCATTAAGGATCCAAACAAGGACATGCACGTCGCTATAAAAGTGCAATCATCTTGGACGCGACATTTAACCCCATTTCACTTCACCTATAGATCCATCACGTGCTATTCATGCATGATGTGAATTTGCATTGATATAAGAGGATGCGTTCGAATTCAACATCACGGTATTGTAAACGTGCACCTCAACGATAGCTACATTCTAGGAAGTATATATTTAGGGGCGTGGAGACGTTAAGAAACATGTTTTAACAATATATAAGTGCAATAATCTTGGGCGCTACGTTAAACCCAATTTCACCTCACCTCACCTCACCTCACCTCTACCTTTAATGTTTCCAGCTCATGATCGAACTTCTTGATTGATGTGTAACTTATTCTGTCCACAATGCTACCCATGTGGATTACTTTGTCGCAAATAAATCGTTAATATTGATATCGTTCCGCCTTATCGCTCTACTTGTCAGAACTCGTTTAGCCAGACATGGCATAATATGTGTGAAAAGTGTTGAAATACCAGTACATATAACTTCGAGAAGTGAATCTATTCATTTATGACGGGAAGTAGTAACGAAAACTTCAGCCATGGATCTAGTGAACAGAGACCCAAATAACATCAACGACCATTTAAAGGTAACTGATAGTATGTCTGTCGGCAAAATATTGTGTACACTTAATCTTAGCTAAAGGATGTAATTAATATGTAAGAGCAGGTCCTCCGCACGTTCCTTAATGGTTTAAAGATTTAAAAAAGACTTGATATGTGTATTTAAATGAATATTAAACATAATATTACTCAAGTATATACTGAATCGTAGAAGAAACAATGTCGCACTTTCTCCTACGTCGCACGTTCGCGTATTATAGTCACAGTCTCAATAAATATCATCTAATAGATTATACTTCCATCTACATAGATCACACTACTGACTTTGAAGTAGACGATACTTCCATCGACGTATATGATATTATAATCTTCATAGAAGAAAGTATCATCTACTCTCTAATTAGCGTACTTTTGAAACAATATTTTCTCGAGTAACCGACACTAGTTCCGGGTATCTATAACCTCTTGCTTAATTAATAATGATAATAATTTGTTTGACTTTCTACCTTGACATGTATTTATTGAGGTACTATCTAAAGAATAAATAATGTCAACCTTCATTTCCATGTATCGAAGTTACTGAAGAATGACACGCCGCACCCTCTTACAACCGTAGGGGTGGTCGGGTAGCCTAGTGGTTATGGCGTTCGCTCGTCACGTAGAAGACCCCGGTCTGATTTACGACATGGGTACAATGTGTGAAGCCCCCGCCGTGATATTGCTGGAACATTGCTAAAAGCGGCGTAAAACCATTCTAACTCTTGCAACCGTAACAAAGAGAGGAGAGCACGAAATGTTCTCCAAACTACAAACAAACAAACACTCTGCAGGTCATCATTCAATCTTTTTGCGAAATTATGTATCAACCACAACATATTCGCTACAAAATGTTGATTCTCATGATTTCTCAATTACGGAAATTAGGTTTAAGAGGTGAAAGATTAATATGAAGGGGCTGGATCACTCAGACTATAAAAAAAACTATATCAAACCAATTCTCGTCATCACCCTATGAAGGAATTATGCAGTTTGTGTTTTTATTTTAACGCTGATAGTTTTGCAGTTTGAAATGATCTCAGTATGTTATAAAAATATGAAAATAAATGACCAACATGCCTCAAAACATTTAATTAAATTATCAGTAATTAAATAATTACCTTAATTTTAAATATACATGTTTGTATTTACTAGCATACAATATATCCACTTCACAAGACAATATCACTGTCTGAGTAACGATACGTACGTTAAAAATATCACAAACGTAGATGAAAGTATATATGTTAATTGTTTTCAGACTGTGGCGCTAATACGCTTCCATAGATGGTAGATCATACTTACGTAGATTGTAATAATATATACGTATATGCATGTATCTTCTACCTTATATGTGAGTAGTATCATCTCTGTAGAGTAAACTATCATTATACGTAGATGTAAGAATCATCTACGAAGATTACATCTTGTTTAGATGGTGGCACTAAAACGCTTCCATAAAAAAATAAGAGTTGTTACTCATTTCAGACATGCCTTTTCACCCTTTCAACGACACCAGGGGCTGTAGTTTCAGACATTCTAAAGTATGTTCTAAATTACGTCATGCGCTTTCCCCATGCATATAGTCGATGAACGTATAGAAGAGGTTGTTGTAGTATTTTTAGTTCAGTAGTGGGATTTCACCAAGTTCTTTTTACTCATTACCTACCATTTCATAGAAAAGTGTTTTGTGTCGGTAGTAAATTGTAACAATCCATTTACACTTGGAGTTTCGTTTTTTAATGTAATATGAAACAGGAAGAATGGAAAAAGTACTTTGAATACAATAATGAATATAATGGTCCCGGTCTTTGAATTAAAACATCATACGTATCCTTCAGGTGGAGTTTGAAGATGTCTTGGCCGAGCCAGAGGGAGCTCATAGCATCAACTGTGTATGGAGCGCATCCTACACATGCTTCAACTTCTGTGAAGGCTGTCTGTACAAGGTCCTCACACTGTTGTGTGGCATCTGTATTGCTATGCACTGGGGCTGTGAGTTTGCCATGATCTCTTTCAATCACATCTGGATCATCACGCCCTGCTTCAAGGTACTGGAGCTCAACTGTGGCTGCCTGAAGAAGCTATACGGCATGTGTGTGCACTGCGCCCTGGACCCATGTTGTGAGGCATGTGGGATGCTGTTCCATGCATTCGGGAAGAAATGAAACGGTTTCCTTGGCAACTATAGTTAAAGGAGAGACATGCACCATGAGTTACATCCGAGTTGTTGAAAATTAATTCCAGATAATTGCCACTTTGCTACATTGCGAAAACAATATACTTGTCCCTTCAACTGTTTACTAGTCTCGGACCAGCGGCCTAGTGGCGCTGTCACTTCTATAGCTAATGAGACAAGAATTGGTTAAACGGACATAATTATACTTCCAATGTTTGTTTTGTCTAATGAAACTGCTAATCATGTTTGTATTTTTATTGATAATCACATTTTGTGGCCTGGTTGTGTTTCCATACACAATATCCTGTAAATGTCGAGAGTCTTTAAACCGATGTCGTTCACATTTTAATCAACTGTTTGTGTATCATATTCTTGTATGCAGTTATTTATAATGTGGAGCTGATGTTTGACGTTTGCATAACGTGTCGAATAAAACGTGTATCGTTTAGTAAGCAAAAATATATGATTTTTAAATGAAAAGGATGAAGTGGTACCAACTTTCCCACACAGTGATGTGATGTTGCTGTTGTGATATACCATGTGCCTAAAAGGCTTTCAGTGAAACTATATCGTCGTGAACCTATATCGGGTTTAACGTCGCGTTCAAGATTGTTTCACATTATCTGCGACGTGAAAGCTCGCGTGTGCTGGGCTGTTTGTTCTAATCCGAACTTTTGTCGATTTTCTAGCCCACTCAGATACCATGCCGAAAGTTAAGACGGATAACTCACTCAGACACAGCATACTTACTCCGCGTAAATAATTATTCTTATAATGCCGGACCGCCTCCGTGGTCTAGAGATAGAGCGTCCGCCCGGAAAGACGTTTACCCTGTCTGGTGCGCTGCATTAAGGGACACACACACACACACACACACACACACACACACACACACACACACACACACACACACACACACACACACACACACACACACACACACACACACGTGCATGCATGTCGCTATATAAGTGCAATAATCTTGGACGCGACGTTAAACCCAATTTCACCTCAAATCTTATAATGCCGTGCGCCAGGCAGGGTAACAGCAAGTATCATCATATTTCGTTTTTAGGTATGACTGGGCAACGACCTTCCGCTGACCGAGGTGGCACTTTATCGTGCAAGTAAAAGTGAAGGCGAAACGGGAAGTTTTTTTATGAGACTATGTGGGCGGGTTGAGTATAACAGTGCTTTGAACAGTATCGTGAATACATCACGAGGGGGGGGGGCTGTTTAATTTAGGGAGCAAATCCCGAGTTGCTGCAGCTGGTCGTGGACGCGTACCACACGAGGACCACAATCAGGACGAATCTCAGAACCGTATCTGTGACCAGCGGATCCTGACGCGAGATGTACAAAGCGAATCCTGACGCGATATGTACACGGCGAATCCGACGCGATATGTACCTAGCGCATCCTGACGCGATATGAACCTAGCGCATCCTGACGCGATATGAACCTAGCGCATTCTGACGCGAGATGAACCTAGCGCATCCAGACGCGATATGTACACAGCGGATACGACGCGAGTTGTACGCGAATGACACTCCAAGAATCTATCTTAATGAGAAGGATTTGGCTCCACGAACGAATGATGTTGATCTGATTGTGGTCTACACCAAGCGAACTGCGACAGCTTAGGACACTAATCAAGCGAATTCCAACAACTTAGAAATCACAAGAATCTTAAACTACCATAAATCAACAAAGTTGACTTTCGTCAGTTTCTCTCTTTAAAACAAATGCTCTACCAAATCGTTTCCAGAAAATATTTCTGCTGAAAATGACTCCCTAAAGGTTTGTGAAATGACGTCCTAACTTAAGCTGATAATACGCTCGTGCCCCACTCTAAGTCTCAGAGGTCTAGTTCGTGAGGTGAGTTAGGGGACAGGGACTACTCTGAGAAAGTGACAACGTCGGAGAGACTTACGATCAAGGTCGTCGGTGCCATGCAACTGTTAAACTGTTAACGTGGTACGAGCGTTGAGACACGTGCTGTTGTAGCAACGCAACACGATATGTTTGTATGGATACATCCCCTCCAAGTGATAGATAAAGTAAGACGTTTTCAGTATACGTAACGATTTTTTATTGATTTTTAACGCCGCCCTGAGTAATATTCCAGCTCAACGATTCGAACCTATAAATAATTCTGGACACCAGACATTCCAGTAATCGATATTTGACAGCAACGAGCCACGTCGTCGGGGTACGATGGCATGCAGTGAACAAGCCACAGAACCTAGCCACCTGACACATTTGCCCGCCGCTTTCAACCAGCATAGCTTGCCAAAGGTCCGTGGTTCTTTCCATACCCAGGCGCGTTGTTTTTGTTGTTGTTTTTTTGGCCTGGTCAAGTCTCGATTATGTCTGTACTCAAGTAAAGACATGTAGCTGAATTCAACATTAATTTATATGCTGGATATAAAATACAACAGCTTTGGTATAGTTGGCATTTCACTGAAGAAATTGTGCTGGAATAACACAGTCACTTACAGGTTAAATAAATCAGAATATATGTACGTCACCCATTTAGTTTGTTAAAACTCCTGATATTTATCACATTAATTTTCCATTAAAATATCTGTAATTAATGTTGACATTTATTCGCTTCCTTTTTATGGACATCTATCGGACATGTGTCGAATTAAATCGTTTGAACATCTTTGCGTGTATGATTTGTGGTACACCAATCGTCATAATTACTTATAAGCGATTCATTAACATGTGTGGTATATTTTAAAAATGTTATTAATTTACCCATGCGTCGGCTTTAATATATATACCTGAAGATCCGTTGAACGGCGAAAGATATTGTGTGGATAAGGGAGTTTTGACAAGCACGACAAGACACCCGACGAAATCACTTGTTTATATATTAAACCTGGCGTATCCTGAAAGATTCCATAAATGAAAAACGCACTTCGTACCATATGTATTGTTCTATGTGGACTTTAAACAGCATTTTTATAACTCAAATGCCAGTTCGTGCTTGACAGGTGCTGCCCGTGCAAAACTGAGCAGGGCGGGTCGAGATAGGAATCACGTACTTCAATCGTATCGTATTATTTCAAAGCCTTGAATTACTCTTTTTCTTAAACTTAAGACGTAAGACTTCCAGTCCCACCCCTACCCCAAACTCCAATATATATATATACAATTAAAAGGATTGAGAGGCCTTGCATTCATGTAAACGTTTTGGGGGGCTGATTCGGATTTTCCGAAAGGTAAAGAGACTGTAAAATCATGCCCTTATTCCATACTTGCTCATATTCTATTTACAGTCACAACCGTACTTGACCTGCGCGTCAGTCGAGATTTTAAACACGCTGGTGCACAGCTATTTGTGGCCGGGTTCACTGACGAGTACGGGGTCGTTGGCATTATAAACATGCAGAACACAAGCATATTGTAACCGCGTGACGGCAATTTGTTGCTGCTATGTTTAGCGTTATAAGCCCCTGTGGACAACATCGCACATCTGTCAGCCCACCTGCATCCAGTCTTAAAGCTACACATACTGAGGATCTATGCAAACGTATATCAAAATATATGTTAAATTTCTTGGACGTTGATTGCAGTGATACTAAAATGAAGTTAAAACTGGCATACACCCCCACAAATGTGTTATGTCATACCCGTCATCCCCTGAACGTACTTGGACTTAACTGCTCATGCATCTATCGGGCTCAACAGTCAAATAGGTTATGGTTTGCTTTTTATTTCGTCGTTTATCCGGAATTTTCTATGCACAATCAAACAGGTGTCTGATCAATGAGTGGGGTCATTGTTGCGATTACTTAGTATTTGGATATTTCTAGTAAAATAAGGTGATAATATATCATGAAGTAGCAGAGCAACAACCTCCGTCTGTTTTGATACATATAAATATAAATATGATATTCGCATTGCGAACATGAGATGAGAACATGAAATTCATTTTACACCTCTTTGATTAAAAAAAATCTTTACCTGAACAAATAAGGATATGCACGTATTAGCGTGATGCCTGGGGCTTTTTTCTTAAAGCTTTAGTAACACTGAATATACTTGCGTATTTTCCATGTACAGCTACAAAAACAGATATATTTCAATTTAAAACTATGCTGGCTGTGAGGACCTGGGGTGCCGAGGAGTGCTGGCTGTGAGGGCCTGGGGTGGTGATCAGTGATGGTTGTGAGGGCCTGGGGTGGTGATGAGTGCCGGTTGTGGGGACCTGGGGTGGTGATCAGTGCTGGTTGTGAGGACCTTGGGTGGTGATGAGTGCTGGTTGCAAGGACCTGGGGTGGTGATCAGTGCTGGTTGTGAGGACCTGGGCTGGTGATCAGTGCTGGTTGTGAGGGCCTGGGGTGCCGAGGAATGATGGTTGTGGGGACCTGGGGTGGTGATGAGTGCTGGTTGTGAGGACCTGGGTTGGTGATCAGTGCTGGTTGTGAGGACCTGGGTTGGTGATCAGTGCTGGTTGTGAGGACCTGGGGTGGTGATCAGTGCTGGTTGTGAGGACCTGGGGTGGTGATCAGTGCTGGTTGTGAGGACCTGGGTTGGTGCGGAGTGCTGGTTGCAAGGACCTGGGGTGGTGAGGAGTGCTGGTTGTTAGGACCTAGGGTGGTGCGGAGTGCTGGATGTCGGGACCTGGGCTGGTGAGGAGTGCTGGTTGTGAGGACCTGGGGTGCCGAGGAATGATGGTTGTGGGGACCTGGGGTGGTGATGACTGCTGGTTGTGAGGACCTGGGGTGGTGATGACTGCTGGTTGTGAGGACCTGGGCTGGTGTTCAGTGCTGGTTGTGAGGACCTGGGGTGGTGATGACTGCTGGTTGTGAGGACCTGGGCTGGTGTTCAGTGCTGGTTGTGAGGACCTGGGGTGGTGATCAGTGCTGGTTGTGGGGACCTGGGCTGGTGCGGAGTGCTGGTTGTGAGGACCTGGGGTGGTGATCGGTTTTGGTTGTGGGGACCTGGGCTGGTGAGGAGTGCTGGTTGTGAGGACCTGGGGTGCCGAGGAATGATGGTTGTGGGGACCTGGGGTGGTGATGAGTGCTGGTTGTGAGGACCTGGGGTGCCGAGGAATGATGGTTGTTGGGACCTGGGGTGGTGATGAGTGCTGGTTGTGAGGACCAGGGTTGGTGATCAGTGCTGGTTGTGAGGACCTGGGTTGGTGATCAGTGCTGGTTGTGAGGACCTGGGCTGGTGATCAGTGCTGGTTGTGAGGGCCTGGGGTGGCGATCAGTGCTGGTTGTGAGGACCTGGGCTGGTGATCAGTGCTGGTTGTGAGGGCCTGGGGTGGTGTTCAGTGCTGGTTGTGAGGACCTGGGGAGGTGATCAGTGCTGGTCGCGAGGGCCTGGGGTGGTGTTCAGTGCTGGTTGTGAGGACCTGGGGTGGTGATCAGTGCTGGTTGTGAGGGCCTGGGGTGGTGATCAGTGCTGGTTGTGAGGACCTGGGGTGGTGATCAGTGCTGGTTGTGAGGGCCTGGGGTGGTGATCAGTGCTGGTTGTGAGGACCTGGGGTGGTGATCAGTGCTGGTTGTGAGGACCTGGGGTGGTGATCAGTGCTGGTTGTGAGGACCTAGGGTGGTGATCAGTGCTGGTTGTGGGGACCTGGGGTGGTGATCAGTGCTGATTGTGAGGACCTGGGGTGGTGATCAGTGCTGGTTGTGAGGGCCTGGGGTGGTGTTCAGTGCTGGTTGTGAGGACCTGGGGAGGTGATCAGTGCTGGTCGCGAGGGCCTGGGGTGGTGTTCAGTGCTGGTTGTGAGGACCTGGGGTGGTGATCAGTGCTGGTTGTGAGGGCCTGGGGTGGTGATCAGTGCTGGTTGTGAGGACCTGGGGTGGTGATCAGTGCTGGTTGTGAGGGCCTGGGGTGGTGATCAGTGCTGGTTGTGAGGACCTGGGGTGGTGATCAGTGCTGGTTGTGAGGACCTGGGGTGGTGATCAGTGCTGGTTGTGAGGACCTAGGGTGGTGATCAGTGCTGGTTGTGGGGACCTGGGGTGGTGATCAGTGCTGATTGTGAGGACCTGGGGTGGTGATCAGTGCTGGTTGTGAGGACCTGGGGTGGTGATCAGTGCTGGTTGTGGGGACCTGGGTTGGTGCCGAGTGCTGGTTGCAATGACCTGGGCTGGTGAGGAGTGCTGGTTGTGAGGACCTGGGGTGGTGATCAGTGCTGGTTGTGGGGACCTGGGTTGGTGTGGAGTGCTGGTTGTGAGGACCTGGGTTGGTGCGGAGTGCTGGTTGCAATGACCTGGGTTGGTGAGGAGTGCTGGTTGTGAGGACCTGGGGTGGTGATCAGTGCTGGTTGTGAGGACCTAGGGTGGTGATCAGTGCTGGTTGTGGGGACCTGGGTTGTTGCCGAGTGCTAGTTGCAATGACCTGGGCTGGTGAGGAGTGCTGGTTGTGAGGACCTGGGTTGGTGCGGAGTGCTGGCTGCAATGACCTGGGGTGGTGAGGAGTGCTGGTTGTGAGGACCTGGGGTGGTGAGGAGTGCTGGTTGTGAGGACCTGGGTTGGTGAGGAGTGCTGGTTGTGGGGACCTGGGCTGGTGAGGAGTGCTGGTTGTGAGGACCTGGGGTGGTGATCAGTGCTGGTTGTGGGGACCTGGGTTGGTGTGGAGTGCTGGTTGTGAGGACCTGGGTTGGTGCGGAGTGCTGGTTGCAATGACCTGGGTTGGTGAGGAGTGCTGGTTGTGAGGACCTGGGGTGGTGATCAGTGCTGGTTGTGAGGACCTAGGGTGGTGATCAGTGCTGGTTGTGGGGACCTGGGTTGTTGCCGAGTGCTGGTTGCAATGACCTGGGCTGGTGAGGAGTGCTGGTTGTGAGGACCTGGGTTGGTGCGGAGTGCTGGCTGCAATGACCTGGGGTGGTGAGGAGTGCTGGTTGTGAGGACCTGGGGTGGTGAGGAGTGCTGGTTGTGAGGACCTGGGTTGGTGAGGAGTGCTGGTTGTGGGGACCTGGGCTGGTGAGGAGTGCTGGTTGTGAGGACCTGGGGTGGTGATCAGTGCTGGTTGTGAGGGCCTAGGGGGGTGAGGAGTGTTGGTTGTGAGGACCTGGGCTGGTGAGGAGTGCTGGTTGTAAGGACTTTGGGTCGTGAGGAGTGCTGGTTGTAGGGACCTGGGGTTGTGAAATATGGCGTATCTCTCATCTCGTGACTCGGAAGACAAAGATATTTTCACGAGTGACGCATGAAAGATCATATATTTATTATATAACAGTTAACTGTTAACAGTGAGTTTTTTAACAAATACTCCCTACCATACACATTCCTGCACGAAAACAAGAGATATTGCCAATGTAGAAAAATAATAATAATAATAATAATAATAATAATAAACTTTACAAAATACTTGAATTAATTTTATTTCATTTACCTCCTGCTGAGACTGTATTTCACACCTGAATTAATTAATTCAGGGAGGCGCGATCGCTTAGCAATGCATTTGAAGCATTGCTGTTAAAAAAAGGACGAGTTTCAAACAAATTGCCGGAAGAAGAATCTTTAACTGAATGTAAATCATGTTCATTGTCAACAAAGACATGTAAGCGTTCCGAAGACCGGCTACTGCTGCTTGATACAGGCGCACTGGCGTGTAACTTCCTTACCGCTAGTTGCGGCAAAGTGTTATTTTCAGTGAACATATCACTTTTCTGTCACTGCTGTGAAAATATCACTTTTCTGAACCTTACAAATCTCAGTCTTTCACACTAAAGTATAAAACAAAACAGTGATATTTTCATATCATTTCATTTTCAAACGATGTGATATTGATTTCTTGTCGATAGCCTAGTTTCAAATGCTTAGGTTTATGTCTTTTGTGTCCTCGATGGCGGCAGGTGTTACAACTATCATTTGCCCTACATATCTATACACCTGATTTCAGCATACTTTGAATGTCATCAGTGTAGAGCAAGATCCTGGGATTTGAAAAAAGAATGGTTCCAGAATATCCTGGACATATATTATTTGAAAAAAACATTAGGCATTCCGGGTATTCAATGTCCAGTACAAATGGTTGCTAAATAGGGGCTGAATTGGTCGGGTGACCTTACTGACTCTAACCGTTGCTGTGCCTGACCAAGACTCAAAGGTGAGGTGAGGTGAAATTGGGTTTAACGTCGCGTCCAAGATTATTGCACTTATATAGCGACGTGGATGTACGTGTGTGTGTTTGTGTGGCTGCTTGTACTAGTCCGGACTGATGCCGATTTATAGTGCTAGCCCACTGAGATACCATGCCGCAGTTAAACACGAATTCCCCACTCAGACACAGTATACTTACTCCGAGCCGACCAGTCCTTGTTTTAGCCTCTAAATGCCGAGCGCCAGACAGGGTAACAACAAGTACCATCTTTTAACGTCTTTTGGTATGACGCGGCCGGGGATCGAACCCCGGACCTTCCGCTCTCCGGGCGGACGCTCTACCACTAGAGGCGGTCCCCAAGACTCAAATATCAATACGTTGCCTTAATATGGGCTTGATATTAAACAACATTCACCATACCGAGTAAACAGTATCCCTCTAGCACCTGAACGAATAACACAGGGGCGGTCGGGTAGCCTAATGGTTTAAGCGTTCGCTCGTCACGCCGAAGACCCGGGTTCCCGACATGGGTACAATGTGTGAAGCCCATTTCTGGTGTCCCCCGCTGTGATATTGCTGGAATATTGCTAAAAGCGGCGTAAAATCAAACTCACTCACTCACTGAACGAATAACAACATCTAAATACTGTGGTGTTGGACCCAGTCACAAACAAACTTCGTGTTGAATATTAATGCTTTATTTTATGCATATGATTTTTTTCTGTTCTTGAACTCAGCACAGTGTGTCCTACCTTTAAGACTTCAGTAAGTGTATCACGTGATGTTTTACGAAATACAAACGGGTAGACGGCATGCAGAAACTTGCATGGTAGGTTGACAAACGAGTTGGAGATCTTCCTGACGTAGCTGGCAACAAGAAAGTTGTCCGAATGACAGTCATCAGTCACATTCCCGTAAAATTCTTTGAGTATGAATTCCATATTACGTGGAACTGGTAGAGACAACTGTTCAAAAGGTCTCCATTGCAATGGGAAGACGTCACTTTTCTTATACAGAAACAAAGGCATTGCTGAAGGATTTACTGACCATATATGGGACACGTCTTTTCTAAAGAAGGAAATATCCAAATATGGAAATGGATCTGGATGGTTAGCTTGATATTCCTTGGAATAAAATTTCCACGGTTTGTTCCCAATCACGTCAGTGCTGAAATGAGGCAAGACCATCAGAGAAGAACGTAATTTCAACCAATCAGATTCGTGTACACAAACATGAGAACTTCCTGTCCATGGAACGAATCCCTGGTGCCGATACAAACCAAGCAAGGTGTCGCCAAACAGGAAGTGACGTATGCCGTTCCTAAGACACACGTCGGCAAACACTTCTAGAGTCTGTATCAGTCTTTTCCTATTCTCGGCGTTCAAAACTGGTTTGTAGAAATTGAAATCTTTGAGATAGTTAAAGAAAATGCCTCTGCTTTGATTGTCAGCGAAATGCATGTTTCCTTTGACAAGAACGGGTGATTTGTCCTCATGAAACACAAGCTCATCAATTCGCCATGGTGTAGAAAATCTGGACACATTCGTCAAAGAAATGCTTTCAAAATTCTCCTCGTTTTGAGGGACGGTTCCGGAGACTTGGTGAAGGTTGAAATTAAGGTGATCAAATCGTGCTCGAATTGCATGGTAGATGTCTTGATTTCTCAATGTTTTATTAACCATGTCTTCTAGTTTCTTGTGTACAGATAGCAATGTTGTGATTGTCACAGAAAACAAAATCAGAATGACTGTTTTCCTCCCAAATAATTTCGTATGAACCTCTGCATTGACGTCAATCTCCCCCATGGTGTCAGCCAGTATAACACCGACTACTTTAACAACCGGACCAGAGCAGCATATCACTGAAATGAAATGAATGCAAAATTCAATTTGAATACACTAAAGAGACCAGCGGTGTCGATGTATCGATACATCGGGAATTTACACCTGACGTTACGATACCTGATACGCCTACCCGCTGTATCAATTCATGGCTTGATTCTGTATCGATTTTCAAAATGTAATATTTACCACTTATGTTTGCAATAACCTGCCTTGTGACCACTGGATCAGCGTCACGGCCTCTCGCGGAACAAGCTGCTAAATCTGATTGCATACCAGCGAGTTCTACAGCATCCTCGTGTTAGCCACACCACGTGGTACAATGGATTTCACGCACAAACAGCGCAAATTAAGTATCGCGACACGTCTCGTCACTCAAGTATTTCTATACGTATTGATACGTGAACTATGGGATGACACCGTACAATGCGCAATATACAGCAGTCACAAATACACTAAGAATGAGATATATTGCTGAACAACTTTAACGAATTTTAAAATATTGTATTGTTAACACTTAAGCATGTCAGTTGTTATCATGAGTTACAAGTTACAATTCTCTGTTTCACATGTAATGCCTGATTTTGCAGAGAGTTACGAATGCATCCATGATTTACAATATTGTTTAATTTATTCCATGCATGCCTGTTGCTAAGGTGACATGTTAGACAAACTAATGTTGTATTATGTTCACGTATTCTCGTAAACTTCGGCTACCGAAACGTGAAAGGAATGTGCCGAGTATGATTCTAATTCTTAAACCTGACACAGGGACGGTAGCTACACGTTGTTTGGGTTCCCAAAACGGAAACGGAAACCTTACGATCCAGCCCAACCGAGTTGGACATCAATTATTGAACATAAATACTCATAAACAGCCATTGAAACTATCTCTAATGATGCTTTCCGGGCTAATGTACTGTTCTCTGCACACAGATAAGGTATATGTAGGTTTGTAGCACTAAATACTACAAATTAATGAATGCATGTGATAAATCGATAATTTTGTTTCATCTGGATTTATATACTTTTGCTTCTTTATAGGAAAACATTAAAATTAAAATGTTCTGTTTTGATTCAGAATTAAATATACAGTAGATTTCTAAGTCAGACTGAGCTGTAAATCTTAACATAGAACGGAAACATCAATGATAAAGAACGGTAGTGAAAGTCGGACATAACAAATAAATTTCAAACGTTCCTTGAAATTTTTCTGTAGCTTACAAAAAGCTAATGCCAGCAAAACAATTTTTAATAAGAAGCGCATTCTCACAGGTCATTGCTATTTGGACTGACAATTCAAGATAAAAACTGAATCACTTCAATTCTGAACATAAGAAATAAACAAATTGTGCTTCTACTCCCTGACATGCGTTCCATTACATACCCAGTGCTAGCAGCACGACGTGTTGGGCATTGAACTCAATGCCATGACGGACTCGCTTTGACAACATTTATGCATATTGTCTCATATTTCCACATATTCGATACTCCCCTATGTATTCTGAATATTCTCATGGATTTTCAATTGTTGCGTAGCAGCGAAACCAGACGGGACTGTACACCGCCTTTGTTACATTGCATTGTGCGTGTGCGCCATTTGTGTAGAAGATGACGAGGATGAAACAGATGTTGGAGTTGATGAGGTGAAATGGGTTTGACGTCGCGTCTAAGATCATTGCACTTATATTACGACGTGCATGCACGCGTGTGTGTGTGGGTGCTTGCACCAGTCCGGACTGATGCCGATTATATACAGAAATAAAGTGCCGCAGTTTAAAATTAATAGCCCACTCAGACACAGTATACTGACTCCAAGCCTACCAGTCCTTGTTTTAGCCCCTTAATGCCGAGCGGCGGGCAGGGTAACAACAAGCATCAATTTTAACTTCTTTTGGTATGACGCTGCCGGGGATCGAACCTCGGACCTTCCCCTCTCACGGAGGTGGTCTGGAGTTGGTGAAGCAATGGACGGGGTTTTAGTTACGTGTTATTGCCTGATATGTTAAGGATTGGCTAATGATTATACTGAGATATGAATCGAAAGAGCGACATGCAAACTGTATGAATCCGAATAATTCCGAGAATTTAGAATGAAAATAATGAAATCTCAGTATCTTTCGCGCCTTCTGTTTTAATTGAACCTTTCTTCCGTTGTTTGTTTGTTGTTTAACGTCGTACTCGGCAATAGGGGCAGCTATATGACGGCGGTCTGTAAATAATCGAGTCTGGACTAGACAATCCAGTGATTGACATCAGGAGCGTCGATCTACACATTAAGAATACCAAGTCAGCGAGCCTGACCACCCGATCTCGTTAGGCGCCACTAACAAGCCTGGGCAGCTGAAGACCAATTCTAAACCGTATATATTAACAGGTTTCTTGTGTTATAATTAAGATAGTATTCTGCAACGGACCACAAATTCGGAGTGGTGTTGTATGTTTGATGTTTTAATATTTTATGAAAGCAAATCGTGTAATTTACAGCTTGCCTCTCGGCATTACATCTACAAATATCTCTGAAAGCTTTACTTTAATGTATATAATTACTTAAGATTAAATAATTGTATTTAATTATCTAATTATAACTATTAAAATAGTTTTATTATCTACATATTCATAACCGTTCAGCATTAATTACATTTTAACTTTCTCGTTCACTATGTCCTACATATTATTTTAGAATAAATATTCACAAAGACAGTGAGAACACCTCATGTGTAAAACCAGGTACCCGGGGGATCCAAGCAGAGGAGAGAGGAACCAGTTGACAGGAACCTTGTGCTTCACAAGCCTGAAGTCAGGTGAGCTACTGTATCGATGCATCCGGGAATGTATCAACTTTAATCCATATGGTAGCAACAATGTCACTGTGTAGATTCATAAAATACGCAAGTCAATAATATATCATATTTATTCAGACTCTCTCTCTCTCTCTCTCTCTCTCTCTCTCTCTCTCTCTCTCTCTCTCTCTCTCTCTCTCTCAAGCGACAGCTTGAATCCAAGTCAGTATCACACCACATGTCCTCATTGTAGACACGCGTTGAATCGATATGTCACATATGACTTCTAGATCTAGATCTCTCTCCCCCTCTCTCTCTCTCTCCCTCTCTCTCTCTCTCTCTCCCCTCTCTCTCTATCTCTCTCTCTCTATATATATATATATATCTCCCTCTCTCTCTCTCTCTCTCTCTCTCTCTCTCTCTCTCTCTCTCTCTCTCTATCTATCTATCTACGCGACAGATTGAATCCAAGTCAGTATCACACCACATGTCCTCATTGTAGACACGCGTTGAATCGATATGTCACATATGACTTCGGACTTCGGGCTTCGGGCTTCGGGCTTTTCAGAAGATTCTTGCAAACACCTAAACAAATTTCCTACATTTGTGTCCTACATTGTAACCATTTCCTACTAATTTGTCTTACATTGTAACCATCCGATACTCATCAGTCGATTCGGACAAGCATAGAATACTCTCGATAACTTTGTCGACGCTACTTGACGAGTCAAATAATACATTAAGGGGATATGCCTGTCATGTTTAGAGATTGTCCGGACGGACTCCCACTCACCTTCGCTGAGAGTAGGGTATCACCCGGAGGACGTTCTCTCACCCTGGCCCTCTCTCACATGACACCACCACGCGGCAGGGCGACAGTGCCTTTGCGTGTCAGTGATGTACTGTAAGGTCGTTGTCTCCTATTGACAATAATGAATTGAATTCTTAAAAATCATTAGATTTCTTCCGGCTCCGTACCCAACACCAGCCTCTCACCATGTTATTGTCCACAAGTACCAACATACACACGAAGAAAGTAACTGTTCCCTTCTTTCTTTACACATAAATACACTTACCAAACAGTCACGCTTCATGTGAATCACATCTGTCGACGTTTGATTTTTAAAGTTTGTTTCAAACATAAAAATATCAATGATTAAAAGACCCGACTCACATCAGTTTTTAATTTGGATGAAAATCTCTTAATTTATTGTAGCAATGTACAACATATCACATTTTGCATGGGTTGCACGTGCATGGCGTCTGCGGTATATTTATGAATGTACGAGACGCGAATAAATGACGATGAGTGAGTATAACATTCATAAACGCCCATAGGGGCAAGACGATTTGGAAACTAAATTGTTTATTTTTTTTCCTTTCTGGCCATTTGCTGCTAAGGAGGTACACGTTTTGGACTTATTCTGATTGGATAAAAATCTGGATTGTTGCGTTCCTGTGCGGTGCGTCCGATCACAAGGTGTGCATGTCATGGTCATGGTCATGCTTGTTTCTGCCTAATACTGCCTTCATATTAACAGTTGCAACAACTTGTATGTGTTTGGACATTGGGTGCTGTTTGTCTACGGAATCTATTAAAGTCTTATCTCTTCAATGTACAGTGATGACACGGTTAAAAGATGCAAGAGCACCAGTGTCCCAGTCATCTAGGGAACCATAATTCGCTGTGAAGGTCCTATGCTCGTGGGTTCGAATCCCGGTTTGCCCTGATTATGTTTCCAGGTCTGTCATCATTATACCCCTGCACGTGGGTTTCACCAATCAATTAAACGTCAAAGACCTTCATGGCTTTGGGTTTTCCACCCACAACTGACATTAGTATAGTTGTAAATTTTCATATTTCTTAATTGTTTGGTGCTGTTGTCGGAAAATAGTCTTGTCAATTTATTGGTATTGGGCAAGTTACAATAATATTCAAGGGTGTATTGAGATCTATAGAGAGCAAAAAAATCACCGATCAATAAAAGACCCCTTCTCTTAATTGACACTGTCAATCAAGCAACAACTTAAACCGATATGTTTATTTTTCGATCTTTCATTGGTCAAGAGAAAAACTGTTGCGTATCTTATTACAAGCCGGGATGCTGACCCTGCTCTCCTCGTTAATGATAAACCGTCATAAGTCAAATGTACCCAACAAATAAGCAAGCCAATATATAACTGAAGCTGAAATATATTAAAGCAGAACAACTTGCCGGCTATCACAACTTGATCCTTCTAAATTTGTCATATTAAACCGAACTCTTGTTACCTTTCTAAAGGTATGATAAGTAGGGTGTGTTAGGATACTAGTATATGGATGGATGACACACTCTATTTATCATCACATGAGAAAGGTAACAAGAGTTCGGTTTCATATGACAAATTTAGCGGGATACATTTTATATTATAGTCATCTAAACACCCAAGTCCACAGCTGTTATCTAGCACTGGAGTAAGCCTGTGATGGATCTCGGATGCTGTACTGTCAAATAACAGTGTATTGCTTTCATAGTTAGTAAAAGTTAATGCTTAAATATTAGTGAGGACGAAGACAATATCGCAAATGAATGTTAATACCGTAGACAAGCACGTCTGTATATTCAATTTTGAGCATTATTTTTCAGTAAAGAATATCATTAATATTTAATTCCTGGTAGCATGCACCATGTATCCTTTATAGGATACTATGCTTCCACGTGTAGGTGGATGGGACCAGGCAAGGCGGCCATACAGACCCTGAAATATAACGATGAAAACAATGCTCGTGCAAGTCTATGATAGAAAAGTCTAGACACCTTCTATCATATTTAAAAGATATTTCGTTGTTCATTTACATTTCAAAGACTCGAGTCTTAATAACCAGCCAAATAGGCCTGACCCAATAACTATGGCCAGTGTAACTGTCGCTCTCATTTTGCCAGTACTTGACTTACTGAAACACTCTAAATCTAGAAAGAGTTAACAGAGTAGTTGCACGTGTTTGACACTTTATGTTTCAAAGTTATAAATCGTATTTTTTGTATTTAAAGGCAGTGATTGCATGATCTGCAATTTGTTTATGTTTGCTGCTATGCCAGTCAATAATGTTTAAGTTGATTCAGTCTCATAAAATCGAGCAGCTATAGAGTTTAATATATAATGTAAAAATAACAACTTCTCATGCGAGATTACAATGAAAATATTATCGTTCTTACTTTTGAGAAATGGCAGTTTGACACTGTTGGCAATAATCATCCCAAATACGAGTACACTAATATCAGCAGACCAGCTTGTAGCCTACCTATGCGTTGTTTCGCTAACTGCTTTATGTGAGTTTTATGTTTGTGTAGGTTGTTTTAGTGTAAATATATCTGTGGTGGTTGTCAGTGGCATAAAAATATGAAAATGCTTGTTGAAACTATGTGTTGTTTGGCCGGCTTCGAACCGCAACAACAGGAAGCTTTCCTTTGATCTACTTGCCAAGTGCGGTTACCTTTTTGGAAATACCAAAGTTGAGCTTCCACCACTTCGAGAATCAAAAACTGATGCCTCTTTCGAGACAATCAAGTCGTCAAGTGCATTTACATGATTTCGTATTTGACCCATGTTATTGCCTTGTATGGTGGCCGAGAGGGGACATCGCTCTATCGCTTTCTCGCTTTATCGCTCTATCGCTTTCTCGCGGTTAAGCAATATCCCCTCTTGACCCCTACAGGAGCTGCATGTGATATCTGCTGCAATTGGGAGGTAATGTTGAACTTTTCTCACTATTTACTTAAAACATAATTTAACTGTACAGACGTAGGTGATTTTAAAACAATCCACCGATTTTTGCGTAAAATGTAATTGATTTAATTATGGTCCTATTCAGTTGTATGTGACCATCACGCCGAAAGCGCGTGGCAGATCATGGCATTACGCTCTAAATAAATCAGGTTAAAATCTAAATATATACTTTTCAAAAGAAGTTAAGAAGACTATGGTTAATTAGTCATGGCTGATTGTTTTGCAAAAATACAATCTTATAATTGTGGGTGTTCTATAACTTGTTTTCGGTAGTATATGATGTTACAGTGTGTCATAAGGTTGTCCGTAAATGTTCTTTTTGACATTTGATGTATGTTTAACTTGAATTGTGTTTCTTGTCTTGTGCAAATCTACAAATATATGTACTTGCATATAGTAATTTAGTAACCACCGCTGTGAGTGTGTGAGTGAGTGAGTGAGAATGGTTTCACGTCGCTTTTTTAACAATAATCCAGTAATATCACGGGTAACACCAGAAATGGTCTTCACACATTGTACCCATGTGGGGAATCGAACTCTGTGTGTGTGTGTGTGTGTGTGTGTGTGTGTGTGTGTGTGTGTGTGTGTGTGTGTGTGTGTGTGTGTGTGTGTGTGTGTCCGACTCATTGTCTGTGTAAAAAGGTAGTAGATAACAACACAACTCACATCAGAACGCACAATTGTTAACCATACAGTTTAAATGGATAGAGAATTGCTACATAAATATGTATATTCCTGCCTGAGCCTATACTATAATTAGATATCTAGTCTCTCCTGGCGGGAAAGTTAAACTTTATTTTACAAGCACTTTAGCATTAAATTTAATTCCCGAAGACAGTTTGATCGAAAGTCATTATAAGAAACGAGTTGTTTTTAAAAAATATTTACAATGCATTTCATTTCTATTATCCAACGAATGGGGTAACGGGTTATTGACGCTCTCGAAAAGTCCTATATGTGACTTAAGGTAGAGACATATATCTAATTCATCTGTATTTTGTAAGGGAAACATAACTGTGTATATGTATGCATAATGTACATGCAACTTAATGAACATAATTGTGATCCCGAAATCGGACGAGTACATATTCGGCTTCAATTCCAAATCTAATTACCAACAAAAATAATTCTTTCGACGTTGAAAACCATACAATCTGGCTAATTAAACTGACATATATGATCTCCTTTTTATCAGTTTTAAGTTTGATTGAGGAATGGGGGGGGGATACTATGAACAAAATGAAAATATGAACAGTGACTATCTGTATTCTTTGAATCTTGTTTATTTATTACACTACAAGAAAATATGCAAGCTAAACGAGAAACGTGTGTATTTTGTTACATATTTATCTACTACGAGATGTTTAAAAAATCTAATCATAAGAGGCAAAATAGCGGTGAGAATTACAGGATCACTAAATATCAGCAAAAACCGTTTTAATGTACGGCATTATGGGAAATATCGCTTTCTCGCTCTATCGCTATCTCGCTTTCTCGCTTTCTCGCTCTGTCGCTTTCTCGCTTTCTCGATTTATCGCTTCCTCTAATGACTAACCATAGTCATATGAAGGAATCGGGTGTTCCTTAACTTCTTTTGAATAGTATGTACTATAAATCTTGAAATTAACGTTCGAGTTAATTATAAATGCAAAAAAAATAAGCGTAGACTTAATTACCGTATTCGACGTAATAAGCGCCCAGGGCGATCTCAAAATTAGAATATTATTTTGGTGAAAAAAAGTTGAGTTGAAAGATTAATTTCGTGGTTTATGCTGACAGTCTGAAATGTTTATGTACGACAGATATATTTTTCCCGAATTTAATTGCCCATAATTAAGTGTGCATATAACGAGTGCGTATTATACGCGAATAAATAAGCCTTGTGTACATTAATCAATCGGAAGGGGTGCTAATTGGGATTGTTCATTAGCCAATATATTAGCAAATATCGCCGTGGCCGTTTATTAGAGCGGTGCGCTTATTACGTCGAATACGGTAATTATACTTTGCATTTATGTCTCAGAAATGACTGAACACGTTGAATAGCGGAACTACCAACTTGAATATAAAACCATTAAACTATCTATTTCCACATTAAGGTTACTGAGAACAATATGTCATCCAAAAACTAGAAATTACATAATGGACATCCGGTAGTATTACCATTGCTTGGGTGAGGACTTCCACTTTGATGACATCTACTCCGCAAACAGAATCAACATTGATATAAGCGTTGTTTTTAGGAAAACACTATTGCTTTTTAGGAAGTATGTACTACTCAGCGCTATTGAGCGGTGTGATTTGCTATTTGTCTTGATAACTTGGCCTGGGGGCGGGGGATCCAATAGCTGAATAGGGCCATAAATCAATCAAACTCTTTTTTACGCAGAAATCGCAGAAATACGTGGATTGTTATAAAAACACATATGTCTGTACTGTTAGATTATGATTGACCCCCCCCCCCCCCCTCTGTAGGTACTTGTTCTGGAAGTACCTGTGTTCTGGAAGTACCTGTTCTGGAAGTACTTGTTCTGGAGGTACTTGTTCTGTAGGTCTGTAGGTACTTGTTCTGGAGGTACTTGTTCTGGAGGTACTTGTTCTTGAGGTACTTGTTCTGGAGGTACCTGTTCTGTAGGTACTTGTTCTGGAGGCACTTGTTCTGTAGGTACTTGTTCTGTAGGTACTTGTTCTGGAGGTACTTGTTCTTGAGGTACTTGTTCTGGAAGTACCTGTTCTGTAGGTACTTGTTCTGAAGGTACTTGTTCTGGAAGTACTTGTTCTGTAGGTACTTGTTCTGGAGGTACTTGTTCTGGAAGTACCTGTTCTGGAAGTACTTGTTCTGGAAGTACTTGTTCTGTAGGTACTTGTTCTGTAGGTACTTGTTCTGGAAGTACCTGTTCTGGAGGTACTTGTTCTGGAAGTACTTGTTCTGGAGGTACTTGTTCTTAAGGTACTTGTTCTGGAGGTACTTGTTCTGTAGGTACTTGTTCTGGAAGTACTTGTTCTGGCAGTACCTGTTCTGGAGGTACTTGTTCTGGAAGTACTTGTTCTGGAGGTACTTGTTCTGGAGGTACTTGTTCTGGAAGTACTTGAGCTGGAAGTACTTGTTCTGGAGGTACTTGTTCTGGAGGTACTTGTTCTGGCAGTACCTGTTCTGGAGGTACTTGTTCTGGAAGTACCTGTTCTGGAAGTACCTGTTCTGGAGGTACTTGTTCTGTAGGTACTTGTTCTGTAGGTACTTGTTCTGTAGGTACTTGTTCTGGAAGTACTTGTTCTTGAGGTACTTGTTCTGGAGGTACTTGTTCTGGAAGTACTTGTTCTGGAAGTACTTGTTCTGAAGGTACTTGTTCTGGAGGTACTTGTTCTGGAAGTACTTGTTCACAGCTTATGTTTTTATGTGCTACATTTTAAATCGTGAGGATCTCTATATGGTCTCTACGCCGAAGACCCGGGTTTGATTCCCGACATGGGTACAATGTGTGAAGCCCATTTCTGGTGTCCCCCGCTGTGATATTGCTGGAATATTGCTAAAAGCAACTCACTCACTATATGGCCTTTGAGGTTTTTCCCAATACGTTAAACTTCAACGCTGCAAATTGTTCTTGAATAGTTTAATCAGTAGCGATTAGCATGAGTGTAATGATCTTTCTTTTCATTCCATAAAAACCAGATTCCACAAATCACACTGTAGTTTAGTATGTCGCTGACTCTTAAAGAATACATTATTTATAGAATAATATCAATTAAGATGAGCATTGACATTGCCATACAAGTAAGTGAGTAAATGTTTCACGCCCCCTTAGCTGTATGTTATCTCATGGTGGCCTGAAAATAACTCTATCGAGATGAGACAAACAATCCAATGAAGATCGCAACCATTAAGAGGCGACTAACGGGATCGGGTGGTCAGGCTCGCTGACTTAGTTGAGGCATGTCATCGGATACCAATTGCGTAGATCGATGCTCATGATGTCAATCACTTGATTGTCGGGACCAGGCTGAATTATTTACAGACAATCGTCATATAGCTAGAATATTGCAGATTGCGGCGTTAAACAACAAACAAACTTGTTGATCAACGCTGTTGAATAACGATTGTCTGTGGATATCCCAGCTACAAAATAGGCTCTCAGTGCCCGTTAGAATCGATAACGGTATCGGCACCATTCGGAATCGGCATCGGTATCTTTCGGTATCGGTATCGATATCGGTATGATTTGGTATTGGTATCGATATCGGTATGATTTGGTATCGGTATCGGCATCGTTATCATTCGGTATTGATATCGATATCGGTATCATTCAGTATCGGTATCGGTATCGGGTGGTCAGGCACTGCCATGACTGATCGTGTGCCGAAGTGTCCCGGTGTCGTGGGTAGTTGCTCATGGTGTTTGAGGGCGCGGTAGGATAGCCTGGTGGTTAAAGCGTTCGCTCGTCAGGCCGAAGACCCAGGTTCGATTCCCGACATGGGTACAATGTGTGAAGCCCATTTCCGGTGTCCCTCGCCGTGATATTGCTGGAATATTGCTAAAAGCGGCGTAAAACCATACTCACTCATTCATGGTGTTTCCAGTTCGCGATGTTGTGGCTCGAATGCAGCTGACTATATTCCCTGGTTTAGACTCGACGCATAATAGTCAGTCTGCAGGCTGCAGTTTGGAAGTGTGTGAGTTTGGTTCTATGCCTATTATTCCAGACATATTATATTAATTGTCCCGAATTGGGGATTCGAACTTGGCATTTCGAGCCAATGCTATAATCACTAAACTACGCCCACACTCCTGGAGAATGTATTTGTTATTGCCCCCATGTTGCAATGGCTCTTCGACGTGTCTAAATCAAAACGTTTATTGTGATTATTACCCATGGGTATAGAAATAAGTAGACCGCCTCCGTGGTCGAGTGGATAGGGTGTCTGCCCGGAGGGCGGAAGGTCTTGGGTTTGATCCCTGACCGCGTCATACCAAAGGACGTTAAAAGATGGTACTTGTTGTTACCCAACCTGGCGCTCGGCATTTTTAGAAGATAAAACTCGGAATCAGTGTCTGAGTGGGGTATTCAGGTTAAACATGCGGCATGGTATCTCAGTGGGCTAACACTTTAAAACCGCCATTAGTCCGGACTAGAACAAGCAGCCACACACACGAGCATGCACGTCGCTATAAACGTGCAATAATCGTGACGTTAACCCCATTTCACCTCACCACATAACAACAATAGAGTTCATAATAATAGTATGTGCCCTAATGCAAATATCACTTCACGCTCATCGGCCTTTTGTTGATGTCATTCCAATCATATTTTGCAGTCAGGCATCTTATTACTGCAACCAACCATTCCTCATATATCTGCAATCAATCATGAAATTGATCATATTCACAATGTGTGAAGCCCCTGTCGACAGCCATATAATCCAAGAGTACTGCTAAAAGCGACGTAAAACCATAATCACGACCACTCACTCACTCAGCCACTGCCATGATCTCCAAGTATATTACAACAAGGGTATGATAAACACTTCATTGTATAAAAGACGGTTTATTGATCACAGAAACGCGGAGAATACGAATATGTACAACGTAATACTTTGTTGTTCTAATGCAGTGTGTCGAGATCAAGTCCCTTTTTCACGAACACAGGAACAGGAACACACGAGTTGTGTCCCTTGTTTCCTTGACAGGAGAAATATTTACAGATTCCTCGACTTCCAAGACGACATGGATGCAAACCCGGGTTGAGAAGGTAAAGATCAAGACGAAAAAACTGACAGAATTCTTTTGACTAGGGTATACCCAATTGCACTGTAAAAACTGTAAATACGCGTGCTTAATGCCCAAAAAGTCAACGAGCAGACGTTGTGATTGTTCTGGAGGGCAGACTAGAACACAACATTTTCCAAAGTTGGGGTAAAGTTCTGTAGGAATATCAGGAGGGTTATAGGTTGTCGCTGAGTTACTGTTTGACTTGTATCCTGCTGAAGAAGGCACCGCAGGACTCGCAGAATGGCGTCAGGCAGCAGTTGAGGCAGATGCTGTATATTTTCCTGAACATGATGCAATTGATTTCGCAAGCTCTGATCTGTGGCGTGTACTGCCAAATGTGAGAACAAGCAAGCATGGCGTACTGCCAACCATAGCAGAGACCGTAGATAGGTCCACACAGGGTCATCAACATGTAGCAGCATTTGAAGGCGCAGTTGAAGCACGTGTTGGTAAACTTCCAGCAGCAGTCAATGCTGTGTGCACCCGCGGGCTCTGCCAAGATGTCTTCGAACTGGACCTGTAACGAATAAAGAGCGTCATGTTAAAAATACCACATAGCCTTAGGATTTATTTCATGTTCATATATTCAGACTTTACGGACATAATTGACCGTAACAAATCACCAGGTATTCTTTTACACATTTCACTACAAGTCTTTGGTGAGTGAACACAATCACGAGGAACATCGGAAGATGTTGACGCATGAATAGCAAGGACATCTGCTTTCAAATTGTTCATTGAAACCTTCGCATGACAAATCTTAGCAGAGATATTCCACAAACCTTCGCATGACAAATCTTAGCAGAGATATTCCAGAAACCTTTCCAATGACAAATCTCGGCAGCTATATTCCAGAAACCTTCGCACGACAAATCGTAGCAGTTTTACACCATAAACCTTCGTACGATAAATCTTCTTAGAAGTTTACTTCCCGGTACGTGTTTATATTTATGGGAACGACAACACTGTATATTTCAGATCATCCAACAAGTCCAGTCTCCAGTGATTTTATATTTGGGGGTGAAACCTGAGAGCTAATTATTTTGTCCAAGAATTTTTGAGGACAGCAAAAGGCTCACCCCCATACCATATTGTTATACATGTACATTGTGTTGTACAGACTATGGTCTGTATGTGATTATCCGATACGAAAACTATCACTAATTCGTGAACAGTCTAAGTGAATAGAATTGTACCAAAAGAGTTTCATACTTTAAGAAATAAACGGCGAGTGGGAGTTGTTACCTTATATAATACACTGAAGGTAGAATACATCCCATCAGTGTTTTGTACGATAAAAACGACCATTATTGCTCATATGAGATATCAACATTATGTACAGCCTCTGTAAATATGTTGACAAAATGCTTATGCTGAACTCGTCGTTTATTTCTTAATAATTGTTCACCCCGGATCAGTTCTGAAAACCACCAATCATAATCATGATGAAAAGGGATCAGAATCCACGGGATTTGAACTGAACGAAGGATGCCACTGTGTGCACCCCCAGGTGAAAAATAATCGTTTTTATTATGTTCCTCGGGGATGACGCTGAGAATCGGAAATGCTTCAGGTCACAAATGACATCTAAGCCTACATATTTTGATTAATGACATTTTCTAAAAGAAGGTTTGCAGCAGAACATTAAATTGGTAATATAGACGCTTTGTTTCTCTTTAATTGGTGTGTCATATTACTAGCTGAGGACATTTATGTCTATCACGTCGTTTTTTCTAAAACAAGCTAGTAGAATAAAACAACCAAAACCTTCACCCTTAATCAATCAATCTACAAATCAATATAGACTAGATTTTTTATAAGTCATTAATATGCACTCTTTGCTTCATTGTATGAACGCATTATTATGATAGAAATGTGTTTGTAACATTTAATTATCTCTCAGGGGTAGCTGAAACGTTGATTTCCTATAACGAATGAAACATTTTTTGCCAAAGCCTACGGTTGTTTAGTTTATGACCACAAGAACAATGTGTGTGACTGTCGGTTGCTTGGTGATTGTTGTCATGCATCAAGAATCGCGTCGTCAATTGCAAACATATCATAACAGCAACACCTCCAGATGTTCTGTCGGATGTTGGAACCGTGAATGATCGATAATGTTTCTGTCTTCAAGAGAAGATAAAGATAAAGAGTTGTTGTCTTTTTAAATATATTTTAATTCAACAATTGCACTTACTTGGCTTTTTGTCGGTTACAAATGTACTTTTCATTTATTTAAAAATTAGAATCATAAATATTTTCTCTGTACTTTGATGCACCTGAAACAACTTTCTTTGACGTGTTCTTAAAATTTTAAATCATCGTACGTTTCTCACATCTGAATTTTTCTTCTTCCAATATTGGATCTGGTCAGGATTTTTTCACTTTGCCAGTATAACCCGATTATAAAGTCAACATTTTAAATGTCCTAACTGAAGATAACAGGTTATTTTCTTACCTTTAAATGGTCGTTGATGTTGTTGGGATCTCGGTTCTCCATATCAATTTCGTCCATTTTTGCTAAGGTACCAGGCGAACTTGGCGCAACGAGTTATGATGCTGGGCAAGATGCTCTTTCAGACAAAGTGGCAGTTGGCCTCTCTGTTCTTTATTAAGTATATGTTTACATAGTAACAGGGTTGTTTTCCCGCTTGGCTATGCTATTTCACAGCGGAAACCCGTCATACGGTTATAATTCCATCGACCGTTAAGATACCAATCGGTGCACGTGCGCACACAACGAAACCGTTTTCTATTGGTCGGATCGGGCCATGTAATTAATTTTAGCAAAAACGTCAGATTCACAGAGTAAGACTAGCATGCACAAGTGGCTCCACTGTGTCGCCGTCCTTTTGGAGTACTATGTTTGTTAGCGTACCCTTGACGACCATTTAACGATTTCCTACTCCAGCGAAAATCATTCACTGTCACCACTGTGGTGCTGTTTCGGTGAATAGCAGATAGTGACTCTACGGGTGCGTCTATTGTAATCTAAGCCGTTAGTTTCGATACTCACTTGAATTCCTTTTCTACTAATACACACATGTGTTTAAGAAAAGAGTTGGCTGTTTTTCAACTGGAGGTGAAAAGAGAGAATGTAATTTGATTTCTCTGAATGTTCACCTGGGTGGGTATCAGAAGTAAGGTCAGTCATAAAGATCGCACAATGGAGTCAGTTCAGCTGGCGCTTAATGTACTGGATGTTAGGGTAAGCCCAAAGCGTCAAATAAAGGTATGCATGTCTCACCAAATTGTGCATGACAAGTAAGTAAGTAGACCAAGCCAGGTTCCGGTATTGGTGTGTGTAGAGTGTGTGCGATGCTTTGCTTACCTCACATAGCAACAGTGTTTACCATTCTAAATATAAGGCTGCTACCCTCCTTTCTAACCAGCATTTCGCTTCTTTCATACATATGTGGATTTTATGTCTAATATATACTGCAGGTATCTGAGCCAGATTTAGATAATTACTGTTTTAAATACGAGAATAAAGCCTAAATATCTTTGAAATTAGTTATGGAAATGACACTATTTGGACAGGCACACTTAAAAAAAGTTTAATCCGGGCAGTTTTAAGTTGATTGTCCTGATTAACAAATTATGGTTTAGAATATTGTCCGTTGTAATATATATCCCTTATATATTGGTCGGAAGGAATGGTTTCCGAACTCACAGGATCCAGTCTAACGAGGTCTCACTGTAGACGATACATTTGACCAACGGTATGTTTTCCTACCATAGTTTTAATCGTAGTATACGTCTTGATTTTAATTGTGTAGCCTCACTTTCAAGCAACCTTCAGTATGGTGTAAATTCTGGTGGGGTACAATGTAGGTAGCAAAGGTACCTCAAGTCCCCAGGTCTGAGGATGGTGGCCTATCTGAGGTTGCTGGTGATCTCTAGCCAGATTATTTTTTAACCTTTGCTAATAGTCTCCAACTAGTTTTAAGTTCATCTGTGATATATGACAAGTGATCACACTGATGACAGAATATTTTTTTAAATGATATTCACTTAAACGTAACTCATTCACACTCATTAGACCAAATGCATGGGCATGACTACTGGTCGAGTTGAGGTCTGTTTTTGAATTTATGTTTATATCTACTGGTGTTACTACGGACGAATATGCTAAACGTTCATCACTGAGGGTTGTTAAAATGTGCTGCGTCGTCATATATCGTTCATCATGCTATAAAACAATGGTTTGTCTGGTTAAGGCAATAATAACAAATGATGGTTATATAGATGACTGCGACATAATTCAACATTTAATTTGTTGTGATCTAAAACACAATTCCTTTTAATGAAGTTGTCGGTGTCGATATTGTGATTATTATGACAACGATGTATTAGAACTGTACATCTTGTTTATTCTCTTTATAACATACAACGTTTGTTGTAAATACTGTTTATTGATCACAGCCATGTGTTAGTTGAGTGTTTATGTGCAGGTTTATGTCCAGGTCTTATATTAAGACAGTATCTTGACACAGACGAACAAAGCGAAATTTGTGTCACCTGATTTTTCCATAGAAAATATTAATATAATCGCGACCCCCAAAATGGAATTATGGATAAATATTTAGTCAAACAGCTCCATAGGTTAATGCTTCTGCAAAGTGGCTGCATCCCGTGGTAGTTATTACTTTTGCCCTGACGTGTGAAGTAACACGCGTGAGTGCTTTTTTAAAGTCTTTTTACAAATCAATGGAAAAATCCGAATATACTGTAACAGTATTCCAAAACTTGTGCCAGCAGATCAGGCAGTTGCAGACATTATTGTTACTGTTTGACTTGTATCCTGCTGAAGAAGGCACCACAGGACTCGCAGAATGGCGTCAGGCAGCAGTTGAGGCAGATGGTGTATATTTTCCTGAACATGATGCAGTCGATCTCGCAAGCTCTGATCTGTGGTGTGTACTGCCAAATATGAGCACAGGCAAGCATGGCGTACTGCCAACCATAGCAGAGACCGTAGATAGGTCCACACAGGGTCATCAACATGTAGCAGCATTTGAAGGCGCAGTTGAAGCATGTGTTGGTAAACTTCCAGCAGCAGTCAATGCTGTGTGCACCTTCGGGCTCTGCCAAGACATCCTCAAACTGGACCTGTGGAATGTAATGCATGTGATGTATCAAGCAAGTCAGGAAATGGATGTAGCTGAGCTTAGAGCTCTGGAAGAGTTCGCCTTTTGTGTTCGGAATATCACTTCATCGTAACTATCAACTATTACTATATAGATCCAAATGCACAGTTAAGATAGTCACATGTTCGTATGTCTATATTGCGTACTTCTGTTTTGAAATCTACATAAAGAATGATAGTTGAGACAGAAGACTTGCTCATTGATAAGATTACTTAATACACTCGTCAGGAGTTTTAATTAAACAAGCGCGGAATGGTGATGATGATTTCATATTTGGGACTTTACACAGAATTTTGTCAGTTATGAAGTCTCAAAAGTAACAATAAATTGGACTGCATATCAGAACCATAACTACAGTATAGCATAGAAGGTCATATCTGTATAAAGGATATAAAATAGTATTCAAATAAATATATAAATATATAAATGTTTTGAACTATGCAAGGCCTATACTTGCCTAAAAAATGCCTATATTACTTGACCCATGCTTGCCGTAAAGCGTTGAACATATGTATAGCTTAAATAGCGACGTGCATGCACGTGCGTCTGTGTCTGCTTGTACTAGTCCGGACTAATGCCGGTTATTTAGTGATTGCCCACTGAGATACCCTGCCGCAATACCCTACTAAGACACAGTATACTGACTCCAAGCCGACCAGTCATTGTTTTAGCCCTTTAATTCCGAGCGCCAGGCAAGGTAACAACAAGTACCGCATTTTAACGTCTTTGGTACATGTATGACGCGGCCGGGGATTGAACACAGGACCTTTCGCTCTCCGGGTGGACACTCTACCACTAGATCACGGAGTCTCACAGCAGCAGCCTGATGTATAATAATACTATACGTGTACATCCAAATATTTGGACCTAAATATCTGTAGGTATTGGGATGGTTCAGTGTTGACATCATATAATTTTTGTTGTGTTTTAAATGAGCGGAGTATGAAACCTACGACTTAATTGGTTGTATTGGTGTGTGTATGGTAACCATATCAACAGCATTGTGTTGCATTCGTAACCATCAAGCGTGATGAGTAAATTGTACACAATGACAGTCAGCCTTTATACAAAGACGGTTCACGTTGCACGCTTCAATTGTTGTCAAATTTACAAATTGATCGTATTGATTTAATGCCATCAGTCTCAGTTCTTGGCAATGCCACAGTCGATGGAAACCACTTCGGGTACACGTAGTGCTCTATTGGACAGTATTAACATGGGATGAGGTTCCCTTCTCTTATTTCATCTACGATTATAATGTCAAAAGAAAACATTTGTGTTATTATTTTATAGCCATTCACATTCTACATTGTGCTTGCCTACCTGATGTTAAGATATCATACTTGTCTATTACAAGATAATCACATGTTCACATATGTGACAGCTTACTACCAAGGTTGTAGGAATTTTATAATTTCATATTCACATTTATGTTTTAATATATAATAGAACTTGAAACAGCTTACCTTCAAATGGTCGTTGATGTTGTTGGGATCTCGGTTCTGCATATCAACTTCAGCCATTTTCACAGCTGAAAATGAAACGTTACGGTCGATACTCCGGAGCAAGTGCTTCTGACACCCTCCAACACGCTGCCACAGATCAACCTCCGCAGCGTCTGTATTGTTTATGAGTTACTAAGTCGAGGACTTCCCTGGAAACAAGACTTTTATTTGATAGGTCTCACATGCGTCTTTTCTATTGGTTGGTCAGGAGCAGTCACGTAACACACGAGCCTCTGTGGATGATATACATATACATACATACATACATATAAATATATATATATATATATATATATATTTGCAGTCGTAATGTCAAGAGAGTTGCTGTATCGTCTGTAATTTGACAGTTCACTTAACTAGCCTCAGCCTTTGAATAGAACTAATCGCTTTATGTTGATCAGGAATACCTCCATTAAGGCCAGCTACTGATAGGTGACGTAGACACGTTGAATAATTCGAGAGCTGCTATGCATAGTGAATTCTTTGCTGTTTGTGGACATGGCACAGGAATGTTGAATACATATGACACTTTCGTCTGTTGATATATTATGATAAATCAACTATTTGTATATTAATAAGCACGGGAATTACACCACAGAGTGAAACCTGTATTTGTTTGTATTGTAGTGTTTTTAAGAATTAAGTTTGAAGTGCGCTTGTAGAAGAATGGATCTCATCATTGATGTACACGCTTCGAAACAAGAAACGCAGAGGTAGATTTTTAGTAAATTTATTGTACCTAATAAAGTCGATCTATTTTATTTTAATATCATAGATACAAATATGAAATGTTGGAGATCGATAGTCACATGTTGTCGTTGTACGAAGGCATTGTAAACTGTTCATTGTCATGTCTCATAAGGCCTCAAGGTGGCGCTGAGCTGAGTATCTCGTGTGACCGCCCCGGGCAGCAATCACGGATCTGCATCTCCTCGGAACTAACTGGATAAGTGTACGAATTCTGTCCTGCGAAATTCCGCGCCATTCTGCTTGTAACGCGTTGACAATTGTGGGAGTGTCTGCGGCAAGTTCAAACCTTGACGTACACGTCGATCGAGTTCATCCCAGAGGTGTTCGATTGGGTTGAGATCTGGAAATCTGGACGGCCAGGGCAAGACGTTGATATGGCATTATGGAGGTAGTCTACCGTGACACGAGCTGTGTGCGGTGGTGCGTTGTCCTGTTGAAACGGCTCCCTCTGGCAGTCAATGATTGGAAGAATGTGAGGTTGAAGAATTGCTGTCAAATTTCCCTGAACCACAACCAAGTCAGATCTTGTGGTGTAGGATGATGTGGTGCGTTTTGACGCACCGCTTGTAGAATATCAGGCCACCAACATTTTCCAATAACATATAAGACTCACGTGAAATCACCAATGGGGGTCAAGTTTGTACTTTGTTTAAGGGTACCACTTTTGCAGCACAGACTGCAAAAGATACGGCTACAATGCAGCATGGTTGTTGATGTGTATTATGGAGTATATGAGTAAATCATTAATCAATCTTATTAAACTTAGGTCATAGTGCTCGCTACCGCTACACAGAGATCTGAGGACTTTCCATAACAGGTCCTGTCAGAACGGTCTTTTATCCCACAAATCAGAGCGGTAATCGAAGTAAAAGTCCGACTGTGTATTCTAATTAGGTCAGCATCTGGCATTCAGAACGACAGTTACGGACTGTACGACCGATTCCAATTGCTAGACGTTGTTTATCTTTCGTTTCAATGGGACAAACATTTGAAATACAAGATACCTTCCACAGCATACTGCCATACAATCCCACCCATCCATTAGACATTACTGACTTTTCTTTTGTTCAGTTTTCAAATTTTGAATCGGCATTTTGTCAACACATATTTCAAAGTGTATCTGGAATGGAAGTCGCCATTTGAAACTAGTGTCGTGAAGCTCGAGATACAAGACAGACATATTCTGGTTACGGGTCAGTTACATTCAGGCACATTCTGGGTACACGTCAGACATACTATGGATACGAGTCAGACAAGTCAGAAGCATCCCGGATACGAGTCAGGCACATCATGGATACAATACAGACATATTCTGGGTTCGTGTCAGACACATCATGGATACAAGACAGACATATTCGTATCAGACACATTCAGACACTTTCTGGGTACGAGTAAGACACAATTCTGAAACATTCTGGATAAAAGACAGATATATTCTTGATACAAGACAAACATATTTTGGGTTCGTGTCAGACACATTCTTTATACAAAACAGACATATTCTGGATACAAGACAGACATATACCCAGACACTCTGGGTACGAGTTAGACACAAGACAAGCATTTTTCTAGAACGAGTCAGACACCTTATGGATTCACGAGTTAGACACATTCTGACATATTCTAGTCACGAATCATACACATATGGCCCGGGGTCAAACATGTTCTATATACACCCGGCGCAATAACAACCGTGTAACATTCTAGGGTATGAGTCAGATGCATTTATTTACCTATTGTACTAGGAGAGAGGTGCGTTTTGGAATCGAGTCCAATGCATTCTTGATAACTAACTTTGATGCATGTTTAACCTGGTCAAACTAAGTGGGGCATGAAAATTAATTTTGATAAAATGGATTTTCGGGCTTTCCGTAATAATTAAGAAAACGGAATTGAGGTTTTAAAAAAAATTCAACCAATTACAGTTTCTTGGGTATTATTTCTACAAATAGACTTGTATGCTCAAAGTCAAGGCTTGTTTATGTCAAGTCAGAAAAGGCACTTCCTCCCATGTGAGAGTTGCGGTAGAAACTGAAATATCGTGCACCACGATTTTTTGCCGAATGTCTTTCTGCTGAAATTCTGCCAAATAGAACCCATTCTATTACACTGCTCTGAGATATAGGGTTAGCATAAATGGGATGTTTTGGAACATTTCCATAAAAGAAATTTAAAATATGTTCTTGGTATTGGAAAGACACTTGTAAATGCTGCTGTTTTAAATGAATGTCTTCCTTGCTATAATTTGTGTATTACGAATTTTTTATCAGATGTTTAAAATATTGGTATATATTATATTAAGGGTAGGTTTCACGGCAGGATAAAGCCAACGGATGAATACGGTATCCTTTGGGGTCATATACGGATAAAAATACGATATCCCTTTGGGTCATATACGGATAAATGCGGTATCCATTTGGGCCATGTACGGATAAATGCGGTATCCCTTGGGGTCCTGGACAGATAAATGCGGTATCCGCAGGGGGCGTGTACGGATGAATACGGTATCCGTTGGGGGCATGTACGGATGAATACGGTATCCGTAGGGGGCATGTACGGATGAATACGGTATCCGTAGGGGGCATGTACGGATGAATACGGTATCCGTTGGGGGCATGTACGGATGAATACGGTATCCGTAGGGGGCATGTACGGATGAATACGGTATCCGTAGGGGGCGTGTACGGATAAATACGATATCCGTTGAGGGCATGTACGGATGAATACGGTATCCGTTGAGGGCATGTACGGATGAATACGATATCCGTTGGGGGCATGTACGGATGAATACGGTATCCGTAGGGGGCATGTACGGATGAATACGGTATCCGTAGGGGGCATGTACGGATGAATACGGTATCCGTAGGGGGCGTGTACGGATGAATACGATATCCGTAGGGGGCGTGTACAGATGAATACGGTATCCGTTTGGGGCATATACGGATAAATACGGTATCCGAAGGGGGCGTGTACAGATGAATACGGTATCCGTTGGGGGCATGTACGGATGAATACGGTATCCGTTGGAGGCATATACGGAGTGTGTGAGTGAGTGCTTGGGTAGATTTGGGTGGGCGAGTGATTGAGTGTTAAATGTATATTTGAACTGGTTTTGTAATTATAGTATGGTGTACCAGCATATTGTTAGAGAACGGCCCAAAGAGGCCTACGAAGATGGGTATGGTGCTGAGATGCCAACGATCATTATCGGGAATTCGAACGCACCAACAACAAAAGACACAATGCTGACAAATCTGTAATTATAATCAGGGAGAATCTGGATTCGAGTAAAAAAAACCAGGGTTCTGACACGCACAAGGGAAACAACTTACAAGGCAATCTGCGGCGCCTTGCCTCACAGGGCTACCCATGCCCCAACACTCATCAAAGATCATCCCCTGTGATCCCATTTACAACCTTTCTTATCTTATGTGGTCATATAGTTTCGTTTGCTTGTTGGTGTGATTAAATAAGTGCACAGTGCACAGCGCACAGAGCACTAATCAGGTGAAGTTAAGCAACGTCGGTCTCGGACAGTAGTTGGATGGGTGACCACGTTGAGCTTGACTCCTGGGTTTTTCTAGGACTTCGGTCCTGCCCCACACTGAAGCACATGTACCACATGTGCAGTCTCCTTAGGCAAGTGACTTTGTTCGAAATGTGCCCAGCAGTGAGTGGGTACCCGGTAGGATGTGAGGGTAATGTGGCTGTTAATCTTCTAGCGCCCCACAGGCAGCTTCGGTTGTATACTCCCCAGGGAGCTGAGAATGAAAATCGAGTGCTCACAGGTCCATTGACCGGGGTAATAATAATGTAGCGCTATGAGCATCCACTTGGTGAATGGAATCTGGCGCATTATAAATGCACTTATTATTATTATTACTTTATACTTTCACCCCAGATATGACCTACCCTTCCTCATATTGCATAATTTTATTGTTATAAGTATCAACTGTTTCTGTTATTGATCTGTATCAAACATCATCATCATGATGATTTCCAAGCGCGAGATACCGACTCCCTGGTGTTAGAGCGTCTGCCCGGAGAGCGGAAGGTCGGGGTTCGATTCCCGGGCGCGTCAAACCAAAAGACGTAAAAAGATGGTACTTGTTGTTACCCTGCCTGGCGCTCGACATTAAGAGGTTAAAGCAAGGACTGGTCGGCAAGGAGTAGGTTTACTGTTCATGAGTAGGGTATTCATGTTAAACTGCAGCATGGTATTTCAGTGTGCTAGCACTATAAAAACCGACAATAGTCCGGACTCGTACAAGCAGACATAGACGCACGTGCATACACCTCGCTATTAAAGCTATATATGTCTTCAACGCGACGTTATAGTTGTAGAAAAGCGTTGCTCCGAATTCTAACATATTCACTTAACTTACACTCACGTTGAAACGATTATCTGATGATCATGTGCTGACTTATAGCCAAACATATGACAGGTCACACACACACACACACACACACACACACACACACACACACACACACACACACACACACACACACACACGCACGCACGCACGCACGCACGCACGCACGCACGCACGCACGCACGCACGCGCGCGCATACACCTCGCTATATAAGTGCAATAATCATGAACGCGACGTTAAACCCCATTTCCCTCACCTCACCTTCAAATTATAACAAATAAATTGGTATATAACAGACAAGTTTATTATCACAGAAGTGCAAAGAATATAGATATGTACAGTTCACGATGTCGTTGCCCTAGTAACGGAATAATGTCGAAATCAAGTTCCTTGTACACAAAGAACAAAGGGAGCATGTGAACGTCGACATGCGAAAGTCCTTAACAGTCCTTAGTGTCCAAGACGAAAGTAAGAATATAGCCCAAGTAGAAAATCTATAAGACAACTGACCAGGCCTCGTCCAGTAACTACATAAATCACATTGTGGACTACGTCATGGAAGACACCATGGGTGTGCTGATGTTAACTGCTGATGTCAAAAACGTGTGAGGTTCGGGTCGGGAAGTCCAGCTAACGCAATTTCTGTCAGAACCGTCCCGCTCATTCTTGCATTACTTCTTAACTTGTATCCTACTAAAGATAGCGCCACAGGACTCGCAGCATGGCGTCAGGCAGCAGTTGAGGCAGATGGTGTATATTTTCCGCATCATGATGCAGTTGATCTCACAAGCTCTGATCTGTGGTGTGTACTGCCACACGTGAGCACAGGCAAGCATGGCGTAACTCCAACCGTAGTAGAGGCCGTAGAGAGGTCCACACAGGGTCATCAACATGTAGCAGCATTTGAAGGCGCAGTTGAAGCATGTGTTGGTAAACTTCCAGCAACAGTCAATGCTGTGGGCACCTTCGGGCTCAGCCAAGACATCCTCAAACTGGACCTGTTGGATTGCGATAGCAGAACGTTAGTTAGGACACATTTGATTCACACCTCATACTTCACTCATGCCTAGATTAATGACAATATAATATCGACACTATTTCAAAAGGTATAGTGCACATGATTGGCACGTTTATTGTAACCAAGAAATTTGAATATCCCCTAATCAGGTACAAACGTACTTAAACATGTTTTGTCTGTAAAAACGATAACCTAACGTGCAAAAACAAAGTCCGTGATAAAGTATGCTGAGGCTAAAGCTGTGAGTACGTGTTTAATCTTTTAATTTGAATATCTTACAAATCTATGTTCTTTTTTCCTTTATCGGGCACGGATAGCGCGTCGCGCGGCATTCGCTGAGTTGGTTGTTTCCCTTCCATGTGCAAGAATCCTATGATCGTGGCTTGACAGTACCAAACCCGTTCTCATGGGTACAAATTCTGCATCATTTACCTCTTACCCCATAAGACTGTTATAACTCACTTACTAACCCCCTCTTTTCATTCGTTTCCTAATATACAAAGGTAGTTAATCCATGAAGATGTATATTTTCCGAAGGGGAACATTAATGAAACATTCTGAAAAAGTAACATCATTTAATATTTTCTCACAGCTCGATCAGGTCACGCTCTGTTTGTTTAGGCACTTCAATCAAATGCCACATACTCAAGAATACAAAAATAAACACAAGAATAACAAGAGTTTGCCACTATCGTGGCTATATCCCCCGCCCCTGTTGCAGAATTTATGACATAAATAAATCTAAACAAACCCTAACCTTTTTTAACCGAGGTGGAATTTGTCATGGAAATTGTAAATAAAAGAAGAGTTTGGAACCTAAGTCCATCTTGTTGACATGGAAACGTAAAAAATAAAAATTTCAAAAAAATTTAAATAGCAAAAGGGCACCAGTTCGGCATGTACCTGACAAACCCGCAAAGTTTGATGAAAAAATATTGAACGGTTTATGAGTAATGCTCCGGAAACGAACCTTTACCTCACAGAACCAAAGTCCATCTTGTTGCCATGGAAACGTAAAAAATAAAAATTTCAAAAAAATTTAAATAGCAAAAGGCACCAGTTCAATATGTACCTGACAGACCTGCAAAGTTTGATGAAAAAATATTGAACGGTTTCTAAGTTATGCTCCGGAAACGAAACGAGACGGACGGACGGACGGAGCCCGTTTCTATATCCCCCGCCAACTTTGTTTGGCGGGGGATAAAAACCAATAACTAATGGAAACTTTAAATCACGCTTTTATAACTTTATGCCCAAAAGTTTACCTTCAAATGGTCGTTGATATTGTTAGGATCACGGTTCTCCAAATCAATTTCAGCCATTTTGACTGCGGAAGGCTTTGGGGCAGCAGATCTTTTTGCCAAAGCTGTTAGAAGCAGAGTGTCGCAAAAACTGTCATGACGTCCATTATGTATATGTTTACATAGTAACAGGGCCTTACACTGCCCTAACTTCAGATTCAGTAAATAAGGCTCTCTGACATTGGTCTAAAGGTGACACGTGGTTCACTGCAGTGAAAACGTCATGAGATCCCTACAGCAGAACGCATTGAAATCTTTATGTCTGTGCCCATAGTGACGACGGAGCACAGTTTGTAGATACTATTAATAACCATTCACTTTACTATGGGAATTGTTATTTCATTGAAGATCCCAGCATGGACTTTTGAATAAATCTGATAGATTCTTTTGTGCTTTTCCGAATAGTGCTTACAATTTCTGTCAGTGAGACTTTGTAAGGCACAGGCCTATCTACCACCCAGCTCAGCTAAAACTGTATAGCATTAGCTAAAACAAGCATGGGACGTTACGCTGCAAGCGTACTCATACAGTAACATATTCGACAAATAATGTCTGAAGATAACAAAGTGACAGTTTGCACTCGCTGCTGTCGAGCCATTCACCAACCTGTTCAAGGTGTTTGAATTTGTTGTGTAATTTGGGCATGCTTAAAAGCTGAGAACTAATTTTAAAAATACTGTGACATTGAATTTGGGTCACTAGATTTGAAAAGAAACCCCAAGTTATAACATTATTAAGAGACATAAGACCACAAAGACCTCAGAGTTATGCGACTTGAAAAGACTGTTTAGGGTTCTAAGGCCGCTCATTTAATATTCGGGGATGTGTGTTGCATTTGCTTTATTGCTGTTGTTGTTGTTGTTGTTGTTCTTGTTCTTGTTGTTTTTCTTGTTCTTGTTCTTGTTCTTGTTTTGGTGTGAGTGTGGGTGTGTGTATGAATGTGTGTGCGTGGTGTTGGTGGTGTGAGTGTATGATGGTCGTGTGTGTGCGTGCGTGTGTGTGTGTGCGTACGTCCGTGCGTGCGTGTGTCTGTGTGTCTGTGTGTGAGCATTTCAAAACATACATATAGTTTCAGTCCAGTCAACATTTCTATTTCAGAACAGAAGGTACTATTCGCTTTTTAGAAAATCCCCAACCTCATTCTACATCGTTAAAAATATACTCAATATTTGAGTTATATTCAATATTCGTACAAAATATGGGTTAAAGATACATGAAAAATACATCATTTATTTATTCAAATAAATAAATTACATCTAATGTAGTTCACTCCTCTTGCACTAAATGTCGTTTTCCATTGTACCTGTGGTATGTGTATGTGTGTCTGTGTATGTCTCTGTGTGTGTGTCTCTGTGTGTATGTGTGTGTCTGTGTATGTATGTGTGCGTGTGTGTGTCTGTCTGTGTGTTTGCGTGTTTATGTGTGTATGTTTGTGAATGTTTGTGTGTTTGTGTTCGGGGGTGTGGGTGTATGTGTTTGTGCGTGTGCGCTGTGTGTGTGTGTGTGTGTGTGTTTGCTTGTGCCTGTGTGCTTATGTATGATTTGTGTGTGTTTGAGTGCGTGACCTCATATCTTGCATATCTTGTAAGAAATAGAAATAGTGTAGAAACTACCAGTTCAAGTCATCTAAAAAACAATAAAAACACTACCGACATAAAAGAAGAGAACTAATGAAATGATAGTGAAGATGTAATGACGATAAATATCTAAATCTTCGGCGTGCAAATCAATATCTTGATGCGTCAATCATGTCGGGCGATATATGCACAAAACCTTGATGACATACTGTTGGTCAACTTGCATATGGTTGCCTTTGGTATTGCCCGCCATTCCGCAAGAAGACCAACCCTAGCCAGGCCACACTGGCGGGTGCTGGGTCTCTGGCGTACGTCCTCTGTCCGAGAACATCCTGCTGATGCTGTATTGGGGACATGTCAAGGGGTTAGCGGACCAGTCCAATGTTCGTATTCCTTCTCATCGGAGATAATCGGTGACAATCTGGATAAGATGTGGTCACGTATAGTCATCATACAGTTCAAAATTTCAGCCGATAATTCTAGCGAGGGGAAGAACGACAGGACGCAAACTTTCGTCAACATATCGCTGACCAGTCAAATATCCATTCGCAATAATTGAATCAGTACGCCTGTCATGTGATCGGAGTTAGTGTACTGTATTTGAGTGGGGTAATCATGTTAAATTGTGGTATTTTATCTCAGTGGGCTAGAACTATTAAAGGGGCACTGATCTAACGCAATTCCCCGGGACTGGTTGTTGCCTTTGTTATTGTTTTTTCCCAGTGAGTACCCGGATGTATAGCAGAAATCTAGACTAGTTCGCGACCTCTGCTGCGCCATTCGTAAACGCATTAGTCACTTTTATGGGTAGTAATAAGGGCGTACGGTCACATTGATCAACAAAATGAAATACAGTTTTCGAGATAATAAGGAAATGTAGGTATCTTTGTGGGTAGCATCGGTAATGGTGACGAAGTTTTGATAAGTCACTTGCTTTGTAATTTTCGCGATTTTCGTTTACACTATTTTGACTTGCAACACAAAGTAAATATTTCACCTGAGTATTGCTTTTTTTTATAGTGTTTATATTTTTTTACTGTCAAATGTGTAACAAATTTATTAAACGTCTAAATATTCAGTTATTGTACAAAGTGACTGAAAAACATTTCCATCTGTATTATTATGATAACGAATTCCAAACATTTTGATGTTTAATGTCATCACCAAGAGACTGAAAATGTTACGTTGAAAAGTACACTTCTATGTTGTTTGGCTTCTAATCCTACATGGTAATCTGTTGTGATGTTTGTAGGCCCTTTTGATCGTCTTAATCAATCTGGACAGATTTTTTAGTCAAAATGACTGAAATATTTACACATTTTATAAATTGCCTGAGTGAATCACACTTTACAAATTGACGGTAATATATACACGCTTACAAAGGAAAAGACCTGTGAAAACAACCTCTATCGCGCATTGAAGAATTTCCCAACCAAGACGTAGAGAAATAAGAACGAATCGGTTCAAATGAAGGAAAACAAAATGCAAATATCATAATTACAACCTACCAAATTTATGTGTATAAATTTTAGGCAGCTTCCTTGTTCAAGGAATGTATCCGTGAATATCCACACAAAGGAACAATATCCCACTCGTCTGCAGCTGTACAAAGAAACTTATTCGATGTCACGTGTCTCAGTAACAATCAAATATTTTAAAAGATATATATCGTTTCGGGATATTATAACCCGTGTTCGTTTCTCAACTGATCACTTGGATTGTTTCAGGTGTTTTACATAGGTGCCAAGTCTCAATGGTCGGCTGAGAAAGCCCACGTGACAACTATTTTCATAACGTCCACGGTTCCTAAAAAATCCATTGAGTGATAGATAACAATGATCAATCAATCAACGTATTATCAGTTAACCCTTTGAACAAAGTATGTTGTTTTTACATCGGCACTTCACGCCATGGTATGAGTGTATTCCCTTTGTTTTAGTAAACCTAGACATGTAAACACTCACTCTTGACATATCCACTGTGCTAGGTAACAGTGATTAATCAATCAACGTATTTTCTGTTAATCCTTTGATGACTAGGAACGATCCGTTGATTTACAACAACAACAAAATCAACTGATCATTCATCTCTTGCTGGGCTGCCACGTGCATATTACATAACACTCATTTCACCTCACTTCAAACCTGGATATAGATTGAATAATTACCCCAGACACAATAAATGCCAAATGGGAACCTTTGTCAGGTAATCTAAGTGGTGCTACCACTAATTGTACCTGTAATAAATTCATTAACTGAGCATCAAGTGAATGACGACAAATACACAAGTGTAGGGTTATAGGAGAAAACGTGGATGACAACAAGGGAGTAGTAATCGTATTATCGACGCAAGCCGAAATACGAAAATGCTTTCACTGCATGGATACTTTTTTTAGTATTAAACTATAACCATCTTGGGTATTTCCAAATGACGACATCCGATGAGCTCCGCTGTTCTTTTTGTCTGTTTGTTTAGGCTGAAGAAATTAATTAACATGCGCCCTTTGTCGAAATCTTTATAGATCACAGTTAACCAATCAGTGTTTATGCAAAAATGCGTAAAACAAATATTGCCTCCAGCCTCCAAGTTTATTTAGCTGTCCTTGCAGACGGTAGCCCAGTCTCTGGTCACGCTCAGTTGCGTTGCGTATCATCCGGGTACTCACGGGGAAAAAAACAATAACAAAGGCAACAACCAGTCCGGGGAATTGCGTTAGATCAGTGCCCCTTTAAATCGGCATTAGTCCGGACTAGTACACACACACACACACACACACACACACACACACACACACACACACACACACACACACACACACACACACACACACACACTAACACTAACACACTAACACACTAACACTAACACACTAACACACACACTAACACATACACTAACACTAACACTAACACACTAACACTAACACACAAACTCGTGCATGCATTTGGCTATACAAGTGAAATCATCTTGGGCGCGTCATTAAACCCCATTTCACCTCACCTATAGGTCCATCACGTGCTATTCATGCATGATGTGAAATTGCATCGTGAACAGATGTTGCATTCAGATGCAACACCACGGTATTGTAAACGTACACCTCAACGATATCTACATTCTAGGAAGTATATATTTTGGGGTAGGAGACGTTAAGAAACATATTTTAACAAACGAAGATGTGTGTAATAGATAATTTATTGTAGCACAATAAAGTGATGATTCTGTTTTCCCCTAGTACATACAGTATATTGAGATCAAACTCCTGCACAAAAACGAAGAAATGAGAGCACATTATGTGTGTTCTTTCCTTCTTCGATGGGCGAAACAAACACAGGATCCTTAATCTCCATGCAGAAAATGCGACAGAAATACTAACATAGAAATGTTTAGATAACTGGCCGATTGGAATTCGAGCGATGCAAATGGAAATTTCACTTAACACTGTGCCTAACATGAAACATATTCGCACTTGGTACTTTATATCCAATACATCTCAAGAAAAGACAATGTGTTGACCTTGAAATAAAGTTTCAGATTCATCAAGAGTACTCTACAATATTGATTTACTTTGTAAAAGAAGATACGGAGAGATCAAGCTTGTCTCTGTGTTACTGTTTGACTTGTATCCTACTGAAGAAGGCACCACAAGACTCGCAGAATGGCGTCAGGCAGCAGTTGAGGCAGATGGTGTATATTTTCCTCATCATGATGCAGTTGATCTCACAGGCTTTGATCTGTGGTGTGTACTGCCAAATGTGATCACAGGCAAGCATGGCGTAACTCCAACCGTAGTAGAGACCGTAGAGAGGTCCACACAGGGTCATCAACATGTAGCAGCATTTGAAGGAGCAGTTGAAGCAAGTGTTGGTAAACTTCCAGCAGCAGTCAATGCTGTGTGCACCTTCGGGCTCAGCCAAGACATCCTCAAACTGGACCTAATGATATTAAGTTGAAACATTTGACACTTTAACAGTTGTCAACATTATTGCAAAATATATTACCGTTTATTACTTACGCATTAAGATATTTGAAACACACGTATTTGTAACGAAAACCTATTGAACATCAATAATGGCACGTTTGCGAAATGTTTTGTAATTGAAAGAGACACACTTTGAACATGGCGAGCGACCACTTTAACCCATGGGCTACCAATCCCACTGAAAAGGATATTCACCTAGGTGTAAATTATATCATCAACTGCTTATTCCTACCCTAGTACTGTCACACGAAGAGACACCATTCTACAAAATGGAAGTCACACAACCTTCAACTAAGCCATAACGATCATGATCACACAAGGTGACTGACAAACGACTGAACATGCCCTTTCCTCGTAGCATACCACTGGTCGCGAGTGGAAAAAGAATTCACTAGAAGTTTTGCCCAATCCAGTAACAGAAAACGTAATTAAAACCCACACAATTATTCAAGTGAGACCAGTATTGATGCTTATGCATTTCTAATTTAGGACATCGTCAAGCACATATTACATGGATTAAACTTACTCCGTAAATATTATCATAACTTTGGGAAGGGAAAAGATGACAACATTATTCCATAAACCGCTTACACAATACAAATAGAGTCACTCGGGCACACATCTATCTGTTCGATAGAAATAAATGCTTTAACAGATTCTTTCATTGAAGATTATATTTGGGGTATAAAGATCCGATGCAGAGTATTCCTTGACATACATCAGTCCATTAATGTCAAATGTACGGTTTGTTTTCCATCGACTTCATATTCCTTTCTCTATTGATGACGGAGAAACCCTGATTCATTTAAATACACTAGCATGAATGTATGGAAATATATAAGCTTACCTTTAAGTGGTCATTGATGTTGTTAGGATCTCGGTTTTCCAGATCAAGTTCGGCCATTTTTCAAAAGTACGCTTTTTGAAACAGTGAATTGCAGTAACGGATTCTACTACTTTCCTGGTACGGTTCCAACCATACAGTTGTGCAAGGGGTGTTACAACACTTGTGTATATGTTTACGTAACTACGGGATTGTCTACATAAGTACATGGCCATACTTGGTAATTAATCTTTCAGAATATTTTCAATGACGTCCGCCTTCTGTTGGTTCAAGTTAGTCACGTGGTTCTTTGCAGTGTCTCGTCTTTACACACCTTTACAGACATTGGAATCCTTACAATTGTGCCTATAGTAAGAAGGTGGGTATTCAGAGCCTCCTTTACATTTGTACTCGCACTTTTCATTGATCTGCATGTTTTCTGACGACTCGTGTGTGAGCCATTGTGTTGCATAACCTTTAAAATTTAGTCATTCAGTTTGCGTTCATGTCGATCTACCCCCGTATATGAAGTGTTTATCATTATGACATTGCCGATATTCTCCTTGTATCAGCTAGGTGCCTGCAAAACTAAATACACCGGAGTCCAATAATAGCTGTTCCCTTATATGTTACCCTTAGTCTCATAGTGTGTAGATATTTATACATAATATTAGTTGATGGAAAGATCAATTTCAGAGACTTGATGGCTATGAATATCCTCTAGCGTAACTGTTATACGAACAGTATATTTCATGTGATAAGGGCTCGCCTGTTGTGTATTACCTACCACCACCATTTCCCTCCACATTCTGAAGAACATGGATGGACCTGCTGAGTTTTGGAATCGTAATGCTTGACTCCAATACACGTGGGGACACATTTGGTCCAGGGAATTAAGGCGCCACACTTCTTTTTACAAAGTTGTGCCTCTTTTCTGTGTCAGGATGCGCTAATCCAGTGTTGGTATCACAGACTGATTTAGTTATTAACCTTGGTCCTTGTGTTGTGACCACCTTTTTTTCTAGAGGAGAAGGTAGCATGTGTATTTAGCTCCTTCTGGTAACATACACCAGTCATCGCACCTGTCTGTTGATTACAAGACTGGTTTCGAATGCTAACCTGAATGTCACCCAACACCATAAACATGCCACCTCCAGAAGTATAATGTATGGGAATGGTCCAGTTAGATTACATACAGTCCTTGTCTTTTGTGCAGTCTATACAATAAGTGGACTCATCTGTGAAGAGGACATTTCACTGTTGATGGTGTACACACAATGGAATGTATTGTACCGACACTGGGGCCTCACCTAGTCTGCATGGGGATCAGTAAACCGTTTGGGTTTTTTAAAATCATTTTACCTTCTCCATGTGGAGGTGTCAATGGAGATATATGTTGCCGGGGTGAACACGTTTCTCTAGATCTGGGTGATGACAGTCATGTAACGAACCTCTGTGGAAGATGTCATTCTTTGTACATGGTCTTTCCGTGGGCAATCAGTTTGGTGTTATGTGTTATCGTCGACGAACATTGTATTGTGTCATGTAATTGTCTGCAAGTAGTAATGAAGTGACCCATAAAGATCAGGGTTAGATCCGGTCTTACCAAGCCATGCCTGCCCTAAAAGGTGACTATGCTTGTCGTAAGAGGCGATTAACGGCACCAGGTGGCCAGGCTCGCTGTTCAGTTAAAGGTTCAGTTCATTTCAGTTCAGTCACACATGTTTGGGTCAAAGTAACCTAATAGCAGTAAAAGGGAAAAGCGTAAAAAATAATATGATCCGAAAATAATTTTGTTCTCAGGTTATACAAATACGATCGTTCACCCGGCATTGTGGTTAATCTGAAAAAATAATGCGGTGTGCGTACCCAGTGAAAAACAAGGTGTATGTCTTGCAGGGCACACTGTAAACAGATTGTGTCCATACATGAACATGTATCTCATGTTTAAACAATTTTGTATCAGATTCACACAGACATCACATAAAGCTTTTCACCAGTATATGCTCTCGATAAAGTGAATAGATAGTAACTTGACAGTGACGTGTAATTGTTATGTATCATGGTGTCACTTCCAAATATTTTGTCATGTCTCCTCACAAATAAAGTCATAATTCCATAACACACAAAAATGTAACAAGCATATGAAGGGCGTTTTATTGATCAGAGGATTGTGGTTATATGAATTTGTTCAATTTAACACACATTTTGTTTACGTCAAATTCTTGTAATTATAAGGACGCGGCGGTGTCTTTTCATTATAACAGTTGAAATATAATGACAGAGTTTCCCCTCTTTGGTTGGACAACTGAGCGGATGTATTTGTCTTCCTACTTTATGTAACATATGTAGGTTGAAATGGGCGCCAGAACATTTCAGCATCTTACACATTTCGCGTATAGACGACATGTAAAATGTGTATTAGGTTCCCCCATATCATTTTTACGTTAATGCTTTATATAGTACAAGCGCGCCTGGGAGGCCAAGATTGTGTCAGTCAAGATTGTGTCAGTGTGTGCTTGAGTCATCCAGATCAGTCTTACGCTGAGGTTTTACTTGGTGTAAGAACACCAGGATACTTCCAGATTGTGTCTTTTTTATTGTTTGACTTGTATCCTGCTGAAGACGGCACCGCAGGACTCGCAGCATGGCGTCAGGCAGCAGTTGAGGCAGATGGTGTATATTTTCCGCATCATGATGCAGTTGATCTCACATGCTTTGATCTGTGGTGTGTACTGCCAAATGTGAGAACAGGCAAGCATGGCGTAACTGCAGCCGTAGTAGAGGCCGTAGAGAGGTCCACACAGGGTCATCAACATGTAGCAGCATTTGAAGGAGCAGTTGAAGCAAGTGTTGGTAAACTTCCAGCAGCAGTCAATGCTGTGTGCACCTTCGGGCTCAGCCAAGACATCCTCAAACTGGACCTAATGATATTAAGTTGAAACATTTGACACTTCGACAGTTGTCAACATTCATGCAAAATATATCACCGTTTATTGCTTATTTTCATTGTATGTGAAGACAAATTAGTATTTATATTTCCCCATGTCCTGTGAAAACACATTTAGATATTTGAAACACACTTATTTGTAACGAAGACTCGATGATATTCAATACTGACATATTTACAAACTGTTTGGTCATTGAAGGAGACACATATTGGACAATGAGGGCGACAACTTGAACCCAGTCGCCACCTTCAGCCTCAGCCAAAACATCCTCAATCGATTGATATCAAGTAGACAACGTTTTACAAAAACAATGTTAAAACCATTATTGCAAATGACATGATTTTATCTATAATACATTATTTTTATGTAAAGAATCATTCAAGCTTATATTCGCTGATGCATAATGGAAGACACTTAATTATTACACGTTATTGGTATGAATACACTAGCTGATCAATAGTGACACCTTTTCAAAATTATTTATAATTAAAAGAGCCACAGACGGGATGTGAGGAGCAAACATTTGAACTTATCGCCACTTATCGGATATCAACGCCTACCCACGCACGGAGGCCACTTCAACCCGATCTTTTGCTGACAAGTCTATGTTAAAACATCCGAGCCTCAGACATATTCCTACCAGTATCTCTGTCACATGACAAGAAACACCTTAAACAATGATTGCAGCTACACATTCACAGACACCTACACTTTCAAATCATTGAATAATGCAATGATTATGCGAGGTGTTTAACAAACGGGGGAGCATGTCCTTTCCTTTCCCTACCACCCGCCTTGACACTGAAAATGTTCAACGACCATCACGATACTGGAGTTCTATTTCTAATCCAGTATTTATACAAGCAATCTTAGCAAAGAATGGGGTTTGCGTACCCCCAAAAAACAATGGGAAAGAGAAGCGTTAAATATATTTCATACAAGATATGTCGAATTTAAAATTGTCAGTTATTCTATAATGTACCTGCTTTTGAAAGAAAGGACCTAATTAACAATTAAGCAATGAATGTGACAGACGCAGTTCCACTGTTCAGTCTCTGTTAACTGCAGCGAGTTTAGTGCGGATTCTGTTTTCTTTTACTATATTCTCTTCTATTCTTCAAAAATATTCAAGAAAGCATTTTTCACTTAAACTTACTTATGCTTATAACAAGATTACCTTCAGATGGTCGTTGATGTTGTTAGGATCTCGGTTTTCCAAATCAAGTTCGGCCATTTTTTCAACAGGATACAACCGGCACAGTCACAAAAGTAAAGTGTCATAGGTGTGTTAAAACGTACATTTTGTATATGTGTACATAACGACAGGTTCGTTTACTTAACAACATCACCAGACACTGTCATTATATCAGCGAGTGTCAGTCATGTTTTCTATTGGCCAAGATTAGTCACGTGGTGACAAAAAAACATCAATTGTCTCCAAAGGTAAATCCTTTATGACTGTAGATATAACAAAGACGGGGCTATTCTTAACCTGTGCATAAAGACATTTATTCCGCGCATTCAACTGCTGATCACTCTTGCGTGAGCCATTGTGTTTTCAACTTTTTAATATCTTTTCAGGAAGCATGTGTTGCCCAGTCGTCTAAGGCGCCATAATTCGCTGTGCAGTTACATCTCTTAGGCTACCAGAAAAATATGGTCGTGGGTTCGAACCCTAGTATGCGCATGCTAGTGGGTTTCACAAAAGTGCTAACCGACCAGCATCACTTGGGTTTAGCCCCACTATTCCCTGACACGCCATGATGTGAGTGAACTATTGTTTAAAGTGGAGCTCACCCACAAAGTCATAACATTTCAGGCTTACACCTGCCGCTCAACCACAACTGCATTGACGGAATACATTATGTGAACTCTTTACAACTTTGGCAAATTATGTGTCATCTGTGTCCAGTAGAAATGGGTCATGTTAACAAACTACGAATAAAGTGTTATAGTCTGGAGTGCCAAATATCGGGTTGCATCCACAAATTGTTTCTTTAGACATAAAGTAGGTAATGGGTGTTCCCTCTGTATTCTGCACATAGTTTGTTGAGTGCCGGACATTACACACACCATCTCGATGGCAGCTTGCTAGCAGCTGGCTAGCAGCCCCATTGCAGATGGATATCGCCCAGATAAAAAGGACGTAAGAGCCTGATAGCAGCCAGATTGCAGTCAGGTAATAGCCGGATGAAAACACTGAAAACTGAGCTAATGATGCCATGAACCTTACTTAAAGTCAGAACAAATGTAAACACAAAATTCAGTTCAAAATCAGGCAAGTTGTTTTGGAGAGGCCAAAATGCCGAGCAAGTTTGCAAGTGAGAGACAAACTCAGACTAGGTTTTCGAAAAAAGAAAGAGCTGTCTCAGTAGCATGTAACAGTGATCGATGTTGCAACTTTCAAGTAAAAGTCAATTTGAGCATCCCCACAAATAAAGCAGAAATCCACGACAAACAAGGAATTGCATTAAGTTAATAAAAACGGTTTATTGATTACAGAAACAACTGAGAACATAGATATGTACAATATTATATTGTGCACTGATTGTTTTGATCCTGATCATGGCACAAATGGAAACATTTAGGCACTAAAAATTTGTCCTTTCTTTCTTCAACAGGAGAAATATAAACTCAGGGTCCTTAATCTCCAAGCCGAAACAAATACCGAAATACTTTGTAGTTAGACAACTAAACGGATGTTCTTCGAGTTTCAGTTCCTAATTTACAGCCACACATGAAGGTTGTGCTCCATATCAGAACATGACAATGCACGATATTTGAAATGTGTGTGAGATGCTTTGCATTGTTGAAGAGCGCCATGGGATTATCTGAGAGTTATTGCTTGACTTGTATCCTGCTGAAGAAGGCACCGCAGGACTCGCAGAAAGGCGTCAGGCAGCAGTTGAGGCAGATGGTGTACACTTTCCTCATCATGGTGCAGTTGATTTCGCAAGCTTTGATCTGTGGTGTGTACTGCCAAATGTGAGCACAGGCAAGCATGGCGTAACTCCAACCGTAGTAGAGACCGTAGAGAGGTCCACACAGGGTCATCAACATGTAGCAGCATTTGAAGGCGCAGTTGAAGCAAGTGTTGGTAAACTTCCAGCAGCAGTCAATGCTGTGTGCACCTTCGGGCTCAGCCAAAACATCCTCAAACTGGACCTGTGGGTTGTAAAATAGGAAACGTCAGTTAGAACGCATTAGGTTATGTGAACTTTTTACATTTGTAAATTATATTTTACAGTTTATTTTAGTCAAAGGAAACGTTTTTAGTTTCTTATTGATAAATTATATAGGTTTAAGCAATGATTCGACACCATTTATCGTAACAAATATTATTGCTATGTACATCCGCTTCATAGTAATATCGGGGGCCACGGAGGATCCAGTCGTCTAATGCGATGCAGTTTGCTGCACAGAGTTGGGTCCCACAAATCTGTGATTATGAGTTCGAATCCCGGTTTGCCCCGATTATGTTATTAGGTTTGTAAGCACCATGCCCGTACTAACGTGGTAAACGTCTGAACCTGCATCATGAAACGCAGGGATGTAACTGGAGTACTCCTCAAAGCGGCGTTAAACCAAACTCACCCGCTTTCTCTCTGTGAGTGAGTGAGTGAGTGACACCCATATCGGAGAGCAACCATGTTCCTTGACATGACAAGTGAATGATTCACACACACACACAACCCACCACCCTTACCCCCGAATAACACCCGGACTCCAACATTGTTCCTTCAACGTTTAAATTTTCTCGCAAGCAGATTATGTACACAGCAGTCGTAAATGAAATTGACATATTGACGACTGAAATTTTTGTTTTTTTCATTGCTTGCCTCTGAAAGTTGAAGTACAACAATTTTTACCTTTTCTCCCCTAAAGCTCAATACTGATAGTATTAAACACTGAATAAGTTCAGTTAACGCTCTTTAATGAAACTGAGGAAAAATATAATATAAATGTATATAATATATAAGGTTTGTTTTAAAAAAAAAGGAATTCCAGCTTCCCAATATCAACTTGCCGGCCCCTAGTGTAAATGTATGCTCAGATTGGCTGTGCTTGGCTTTTAAAGAAAAGGCCTAATTAAAAAAATAATTCAGAGTAAATTTAATGTGACAAATGAACTTTCTTAAAACAGTATTCTAAGGAGATGTACGATCAGCAAAAGCTTGCGACAAATTTTCATAAACTCTTGTACTTTCTTTTGATGAAAGAGATTCGAATAAGAGAAACCTGGATTGAATACGCAAATATCATGGATTAGTATAAATATTGTTACCTTCAAATGGTCGTTGATGTTGTTTGGATCTCGGTTTTCCAAATCAATTCCTGCCATTTTGTAATAGTAGCCTTTCTTAACAGACAGTAATTCCTGCGGTTGCTGCTACGGGCCAAACGGTACCGTCACTAAACCCAAGTGTGACAACCTGTGCTGCGATAAACACCATATACTACCTACCTAACTACAGGGTCAAACACTGTCATACCTGAATACCACACGTGTTTAGGCAAACTTTTTTCCAGCCATTGGAATTGAATTGAATACGATCTATAGTGAAACCGAAAGTAATTCTTAGCTTCGTATACAGAGCCGTTCACTGGTTATGTTGTGTTCTCAGTTCAGTCAGACTTCGTTTATTTCAGGGTACAACTACAAAAACCTACAGTTCTTTCCAATATTACCCATGAAAACCGGCTTTGCTTGTACATTTAAACAATTACACACACGTATATATACTGAACAGCAAAAAAAAAACGTCACCCTAAGTAACATTGCATAAAATGTTGTCATTTAAATATCTGGGTATTTTTTGTCAAAGTTTCTCAAAATTTAACATTACCTTGTCCGGAAAAATGAAATTTTATAAAAACAAAACAAAGCAGATGACAATAAAACCGATCGCCCAAACGCATCACGGCAACGGCCATGGTAACCGATGCACGTGAGTTGAAATGCACATGCGTTCCCCCATTTTTTGTCCTATAAAAATCCACCCAGATCGGATAACATTCATTCGTTATTGAATTGCTACCACATGCCAAAATTGGCAAGAAATCAGCAACACCAAGCCCTTGGACGATTGCAAGCTGGACAAACCGCCCGGCAAGTAGCCAATGCATTTCAAGTCCACGTAAGGACCATATACATGCTCCAGAAACGGTGCCAGACCACCAAACCTACAGATGACCGACCACGTAGTGGAAGACCAAGGGTCACCACCCGAAGTCAGGATCGTCAGATTGTGCGACTGCATCTTCAAGATCGCTTTGTTACTGCTGCGGAAACTTCTCGACAGACCATGGGGACACACCAGCGGCTCATTAGTGCGGACACCGTGCGTCGACGATTGACACCTCGACTGTCACAGGCCACACCGAGGACCCATTCTGACACCACGTCATCGACGGGACCGTCTTCAGTGGACAACACAGCACCAGCATTGGCGCCACCAGCAGTGGAGAAGAGTCCTCTTCTCAGACGAGAGCCGGTACTGTATCTCAACAGCAGATGGCAGAGAGAGAGAGGGTCTGGCGACGCTGTGGGGAACGTTATTCGGATGCTTGTGTTGTTGAGAGAGACTAGTGGGGTGGAATTGGTCTTGCACAAAGGGTCGGCTCTGTGGTCTTCCAGAACATCGGTCCAGGGAGAGGCAATGGTGTCACAGCAGCTCGGTACATTGATCAAGTCTTGAGACCACACGTCATACCTCATTTGGCACGTCATCGCAATCACGAGTTTTCTCATGATAACGCCCGTGTCCACACTGCGAGAGCAACAAGAGGCTTCCTCCAGCAGAATGGCATCAGAACCATGCAGTGGCCTGCCCTCAGTCCCGATTTAAATCCCATAGAACACCTGTGGGACGAGATTCAAAGACGGCTGAATGACGTCCGACCAAGGCCGACAACTGCAGCTGAACTGCGTCAGGCGTTCTTCAGAGTGTTGGCTCAGGTGCCTATGGCCTTCTTCAACCGCCTCATCCATTCCATGTATCGATGTTACACGTCAGTCATCAATGCACATGGCGGACACATGAGATACTGACTTGTGATGCCATTTTCTCAGAGACTAGTGTTGTGTTTCACTTTAAGAACATTTGACACTTTAATTTCAACTTTGATGATCAGTTTTGCCAAGTTTAATCTTTTTAATATGTCTCAAAGTATGTTTACAGTATTTGGACAAATAAGGTTTCTCATATATGTATCCATGGTGATGTTTCTTTTGCGGATCAGTATATAAATAATATATGGATATCATTGTATATATAATGTATAATACGTCCATACCTCCTTGGTGTGTATGTAGAAAAAAAACTCACTTTTGGATATATGTATGTATGTGTGTGTGTGTGTGTGCGTGCGTGCGTGCGTGCGTGCGTGCGTGCGTTCGTGCGTGCGTGCGTGCGTGCGTGCGTGCGTGCGTGCGTGTGTGTGTGTGTGTGTGTGTGTGTGTGTGTGTGTGTGTGTGTGTGTGTGTGTACATGTATGTGTATGTGTATATACTAAGTAAGTAAATATATCATTCCCAAAACTGACGAATGTGGTCTTTTGTCACAGACAAAAGGAACAAATACAGTGACTACAAGTTTGGTTGTCCTCGGGTTTTTGCAGTATTCCAGTCATTTCATAGATATGGTTGAACCTTTGTTGCAATGACCATAATATATTTTCTAAAATCGAGACTAATACTTGATCTGTTATTGCTTTGTTCAATACTAAAAATCTGGAAAGGTTTGTGAGATGAAATAACTGCGAGTGGAAAGTCTTGTATTGTACGCTTCAACATACCTGAGAGCGAGTTAAAGTACAGTAGACTACGGTTATAACGAACTCGATGGGGACCACTAATTTTAGTTCGGAATAACCGTAGTTCGTTATATGCATACATACAGCATATATACAACAAATGATCGGGACTAAAAATAAGTTCGTTATATCCCTCAGTTCGTTATAAGCGTGTTCGTTATTAACGTAGTTCACTCTTTTGAGACAAATGAAAAATAGGATAACAATACTCTTTTCTTGATCATGGCTTTATTTGGGGAAAAGTTGTAAGTTGTTTCATTAAGCCGTCTTTAATTTGTGGACATGTAATATCATGACACGGTCAACACATCGGCTCGAAGAACAAATGCGTGCATCATGCAGTGGGGTGGATGGGTTGGTGTGGAGGATGGAGTGTAAGATGGGGCTCACAGTGTTCATTTATAGAGCCAACTAATTTTATCTATTATATGGACAGATACCAGCACTTGGACCTTGATGTCTGATCATATTGAAATGGATATTTAACATCCTTTTTGCGTTTAGACACCATCCTCGTGCAGCAACCTATAGATATATCACAGTATTAGCACAAACTTCAAATTCATATTTAGCGAACGGGATCGGTATATGATAAGAATAAATTTATTACTTTATCAATATTATTATTTTTGGATATTCTTTTACCATGTCGTTTTTTTATATCCTTTAAAATATTTCTGTACAGTAAAAGTGACAAACACCTGAAAGCAGAGACGATTGTACGATTCCGACTATATCATGAGCATGTGTATATAACTCACTATCAAACAGGGATTATACCAGGTGTTCATGAAAAGGTGAGTTTATCTTGCCCGACAACTTTTCAAAACTTTTCCCAACCGAGTAAGCTCTTTCATACGTCTCTTGTCCAACTTTGTGGACATGTGGAGGACATTTCACCCAAGTCAAAAAATCCTTATTTTGACTTATACCATATATATGTTCCCGTGATTTTCAGGTGGTCAACTGACTTGTTATTGCTAGTGTTTCTGACGGGTGCTACCTGGTATCATCACTATTTGATAGTGATTCATAAACATATTCCTACGCCATAGTCGGAAGCGTACAATGAACTTTTGGCAGAGATTTCTAATAATTTGGGAAATGGTTTGTATAGCTTTTAGATACAGCGCCACGGTTGTTCGTTTTTCTGACAAAAATGTGTCAAAGCTGTTTGTTGTGATGTGTCGTCGTCCATTCAAATCATGTTATGAAGTGAGTGCGCGAGTGCGGTTTTACGCCGCCTTTAGCAATATTACATCAATTTCACGGCGGGGGACACCAGAAATGGGTTCACACATTGTACCCTTGTCGGGAATCGAACCCGGGACTTCGGCGTGACGAGCGAACGCTTTAACCACTAGGCTACCCGATCGCCCCTCATGTTATGAAATACCTGCATTGTGCCTCTTATTGGAGTGAGTGTAAGCAGCGTACTGAAAATGATGGCCATGACGATTGTGTCATCATACATCACTCATCACATTCACTACAATAAACTATATTTTGTCCTTGTTGAATGGGACAAACAAAAGGTCTAAGAAACAGATAACATACCGTATAAAAGATGGTTTATTTATCACAGCAATGCGAACATGCATATATACAATATAATACTGGGATCAAGTTCTTCTTTATCAAACAAAGAAACCAGACCACGAGGATATGTCCCTTGTTTCTTCCACAGGCGAAATATAAACATAAGGCGCTGAATATCCGAGACGAAAGTTAAAAAGAAGATAACCCGAAGAGAGGGGGTTAGACAGTTTAATGGGGGTCTCTCCTCCCGGAACACGCGTACGTTTTTGTGGCGAAATATGTGCGCACATAGTGTTTCTTCACGTAACGTTTCCAGAATAGACAGTTTAACATGTTCCCATTAAAGGCAATGTGTGTTTGAATCATCCAGATCAGTCTTTCTTTGATGTTTAACTTTGTGTAAGAACGCCAGGATACTTCCATATTGTGTCTGTGTTATTGTTTGACTTGTATCCTGCTGAAGACGGCACCACAAGACTCGCAGCATGGCGTCAGGCAGCAGTTGAGGCAGATGGTGTATATTTTCCTGAACATGATGCAATTAATTTCGCAAGCTCTGATCTGTGGTGTGTACTGCCACACGTGAGCACAGGCAAGCATGGCGTAACTCCAACCGTAGTAGAGGCCGTAGAGAGGCCCACAAAGGGTCATCAACATGTAGCAGCATTTGAAGGCGCAGTTGAAGCATGTGTTGGTAAACTTCCAGCAACAGTCAATGCTGTGTGCACCTTCGGGCTCAGCCAAAACATCCTCAAACTGGACCTGTGGGTTGTAAAATAGGAATCGTCAGTTAGAACGCATTAGGTAATGTGATATCTGAATTGTACTGTACGGTATATTTTAGTCAAAGGAGTATTTAGTGATACAGATGGATAGATTGCTTCTTATTTTATTGAACTAAACTGTTAGTACATTGGTACTTGTCATCAGCTTTTTCCAGTCGTTTAAGGCTCCGCAAATTTCAGTGTAGAGTTGCATGCCTTGGGCACGTCAGAAACCTATGATCGTGAGTTCGAATCCCGGTTAGCTCCTATTAAGTTTTTTAGGTTCTTCAGCACCATACCCGTGCTCGTGGATTTCACAAAGTTGGCAAACGCCTGAGACCTGCATCACTTAGTTGCGACCCCAGCTGGATACTAGTTTAAACAAACATTAATATTTCAAATAAAGGTGTTTTCTTAGTTACTGTTAATTAAATTAAATGTTAGGGAGCATGAGATCATTCAAAATGTCAATCAAACACTAAAATAAAAGTGTTTCATTGTTTCATGGGATGATGATGAGTATTGGTTTGATATAGGTTATAAGTTTTCATTGTTTGAGTGATTATGACTCCTTCATATTCAAGTTTAACCTCTAAACCCAATTTCCGTTATGGAGAAATCATATTCGAGTAGAGATTTCTTCGTCTTTAACCATGTTATGGTTGATATATTACCTCGCTAAAATTTTGAATAATAACCTATTGTTCTTTGCTTGTAGTTTGGACAACATTTCGTGCTCTCCTCTCTTTATTACGGCTGTAAGAGAGTGTGTGTCATTCTCAAGTAACTTCAACACATTGAAAGATTTACTTTATGCAATGTTTAGAAAGGTAGAAAGTCAAACGAATCGTCTCCGAAAACACCATCTTCGTAGATTATAGTACCATCTACGTAAAGGTAAGTAACATCGATACGTAGATGAAAGTATTATGTACGTAGATGTTAGTGTTAGACTGTGGCAATAATACGCTTCCATAAATTCCGTATCTTTTCTAACGATGTATGTAATTTGGGGAACATACATCTCAAACAATGATAGGGTACATTTTTACATGTATGAAACACCATTGTCGTGTTTGCATATGTTCACGAGAAATGATATGAAATGAAATATATGAGGTATAAAGATATTAAAGTATTAATATTCAATTAATTTTAAATTAACAGATAAATTTTCACATAATGTGGTGCATACACATAAGCATAGATTCAGTTACCTTCAAATGGTCGTTGATGTTGTTAGGATCTCGGTTCTCCAAATCGATAGTAGATTGTTCTGCCATTGTGAAACAAGATGACTTTCCTGAAGGGCGATACTTTGGAGCAAACGGTTCCTGCTACTCTCTAGCGCACTTCAAGGCAAAGTGTCTCAAACTCACTTCGACCTCCTTATGTATATGTTCACATAGTTACAGGATCATACACTGGCACTGAGTTGATTGGTCCAAAGTAGTCATGTGGTTGACTGCTACAGAGAAGTCTCCCTTATTTTCGGGTATTGAAATCTCAGCGTTTGTTTCTTTATTGATGACGGTGGTTACTGCGTTGCCTCGTAAATAGAGTCACTCTCCACGCGGAATTGCTATTTTATTGAACACCCTGGTATAGGCCTTTGAATAAATCTGACAGATCCTATTGTGCCTATACATTTGGGGTGTCACCTGAATCCGTCAAACTGTGCTTATGTGTTCAAGTAAATCAATGTTACATATTGCTTAGTGATTTCTCTTTTCATAACAATCGAACATTAAAACTAATTGAGAAGAAAGTGTTAAAAGAGGTTTATCTCCAAAGGTTTCACTACGAATTTGATATATTCTGTGCAATGAAGTTGGGGATGTTTTGTATTGAGGTGAAACTACAGGAAAACACATTAATGTCTAGCAATGAAAGTAAGTAATTTATGTGGAAAGAACTTCTTCTTTTTTAAAACAAGATACCAAACAAAACATTGTGACAGTCATGACGCCTCGGACGTGGCGTTGAACAGCAAACCAACCGACCAACCAAGATTACTGTGCTTTTATTTGACTTGACATATTCCCATTAAAGACAATGTGTGCTAGAGTCACCGAGACCCATTTTGCACTGATGTTTCACCATTTGGAATGCCAGGCTTGTTCGAGATTGCGTTGTTGTTTGACTTGGACTTGCCAATGCTGTGGACACCTTCGGGCTCCTCAAAGTCATCCTCAAACAGGCGCTGAGGGTTTTAAAGGAGGAAAAGTTAGTTAGAGCGCACAAGTTATCTAATATGTTCATAACTATTTTATGCAGTATATTTTAGTCAAAGGAAACGAATTGTGTCGTATTATAGTTGTCGTTTTATATAATATGGTGTGCTTTTAATCAATATTGGTTGTCATGATTACACCACAACAAAGGCCATGTCCCAAATTAAGTAAGTGAGTCTTTGGCGTGACCAGCGAACGCTTTAACCACCACCGCCCCTAAAAATACGAAAAACTCTATCGTTTAGGATTATTTCTTAATGTTTTCGTACAAATCATTCGAAACACACTGGATGGAAAAAATAGAATTACCTATCTTTTCAAACGAAGCATATACTTTTCCATCCTGGCGTACACACATCTCGAACAATGATGGGATGCAATATCATATTTACATGTATGATTCAACCATTGTCGTGTGTGTATGTGTTCATGTGTTCATGAGCTTCTCACAAGAAAATGTTCCTATACCAGGTATGAAGATATTAAAGAATACTGCCGGCAAAACTTTAGGGAACTGATGAAATGACAGTGAAGATGTCTCTAAACCTAATTTCGAGCTTGAAGATCAATATCTGGTGTGTCCAGCATGTTGGGAGATACATGCACGACACCTTGTTGGTATAGTGTTGATAGTATTGGTATTGCCCGCCATTGAAGAGCTACCCCAATCTGTGCCACGTTGGCGTGTGCTGGGTCTTCTAGTGAACACACTCCGCATAGAAATACCCCTCAGATGCTCTTTTGGGGATAAGTCAGGCGACTTAGCGGGCCAGTCCAAAGTCCGAATGGCTCCACGTCTGTGATAATCGTTGACGACCTGGCCACGATGTGGTCAGACATTGTCATTTGCAGTTACAAATTTCGGCCGATAACTCTAGCGAACGAAACTTGTGTCACCTTATTTCTGGTTAGTCAACTGTCCATTCAGAAAAACAAGATTGTCATGTGTGATACCACCACACACCAAGAAACTACCGCTTTCAAGATTTTTTGCCCTGGTATAACGTTCGCCGCTACGTCGCCAACAATGTCTTCTGCCATCTGTGAATCGAGGGCAAAACCTTGATTGAACTCTGTACATTGTGTAACGCCATTGGCGCACAGCTGGTCTCTGGTGTTGCCTAGCCCAGCCCAAGCTGTTTAGTGTCACACCTTTCACAGAACGCCAAGATTTCAATCTATTGCGTGGGGCAATTAATGTAATGAGACGACATTGTTTAGGTGTCGTTTTTTTAGGCCTGCCACGCCCAGGTCTAATTGCAGCCTCAACCGTTTGACGATACATGTCCCACCTCCATTTTGTCTGTTCATTGAGATACTGTCTCGGAGGTATTTTTAAGCATGTGCTCAGCTCATTGCATTAGTGATTGCATGCTGTGATTGAGTATGGTTTTTCGCCGCTTTTAGCAATATTCCAGCAATTACACGGCGGAGGACACCGGAAATGGGCTTCACACATTGTACCCATGTGGAGAATCGAACCCAGGCCTTTGGTGTGACGAGGGAACGCTTTAACCACTAGGCTACCCCACTGCCCCTAATCTCGTCTGTTGGCGTATACACTTTGGCTTCTGCATGAACGTGCATACATGATGTGAAATCTCATTGTGATTAGAGAGGCGTTCAGATGCAACGCCATGGTATTTTACATGTCCACCCCAACGATAGCTACATTCAAAACATTAGTTCCCTTAACATTTGTTGGTTTATTTATAATCAATTAATTGCGTTGTTAATTTACAGGTTATCTTTATTCTATTGTAAATATGAGCATATATTCATTTACCTTCACATGGTCGTTGATGTTGTCAGGATCTCGGTTCAACAAATCGATAATAGGTTGTTCTGCCATTTTGAGATTTACCTTCAAGACAAAGTGTCTCAAACTTATTACGACCTGCTTATGTATATGTTTACAAAGTAACAGGATCACAAAATAACACTGAGTTCATTGGTCCAAAGTAGTCATGTGGTTTACTGCTATAAACAAGAGTGTGTGAGTGAATTGGGTTTAACGCCGCTTTTAACAGTATTACAGTTATATCGCGGCGTGTCAGCTTAATGTGGGAGGAAAGCCCGAAGTGATGCAGATCTCAGAAGTTTACCACTTCGGTGAAACCCATGAGCACGGGTATGGTCCTGACAAACCTAGAAACATAATCGAGGTGAACTGGGATTCGAACCCACAATCATAGGTTTCTGTCGTGCCCAAGGGACGCAACTCTGCACAGCGAATCGCACAGACGACTGGGCCACCAGTGCCCCCACATGTCCCAAGAAGTCACTCTTATTTTCGGGCATTGAAATCTCAGTATTAGTCCCTTTGTTGATGACGGTGGTTACTGCGTTGCCTCCTAAATACTTTTAGTCATTCACCTTCCGAACGGAATTGCTTTTTTATTGAAGACCTAAGAATGGGCCTTTGAATAAATCTGACTGATTCTATTATGCCTTTCGAAAAAGGTTTCAAATTCTTCCGTTAAATTGTGTTTAAGTGAGCCGTACGTTCGAGCTCAAGTTAATCAAGGTTACATATCCTTTCGTGAGTTCTACCCATTTCTTAACAATCAAACTTTAAAAAATAAATGATTTTCTTATACAGATTGAAAATGAAATTTGATATTTGAGAAAAACGTTCATAAATAAATAAAGTATAAATTGTTATCGAAAACAACAGTCTTCAGCATCACCACATCACCAGTGGGTCCAGGTTTTTAATCAACTTACTTCAAAAGAAATGTTGCTTTTTTTATTTATTATTTTCTGAAGTAAAGTTTACATACAAAGGTTTCATTCGATTTTAAAAGCGTTAGGATTTAACAAGTACATATGCTTGTGAGTGAGTGAGTGGGTTGGTGAATGGTTTGCGTTTTACGCCTCTTTGAATAATTGCATTGCAGAAATATCAAGCTTGCTACTTGACTCTTTTTACTTTAATTGGCGACACTCACGCTCATGGGGCTAGTGTTATTATTCCACGGATCGAATTAGGTCTGTTATTTGAACCCACAATTGACACAGCAGATGTCGACGTCTCAGACCACTGTGCCTCACACACCCCTATGTGACCAGAAAAAAGGCTCCATTAGGATTGATTGCTTCTATTTTCATTAATGTTGTAACTATATTTATCCTCAGCTTATCCAATTGTACAAGGCTCTGGACATTCGCTGTGCAGAGTCGCGTCCCTTGGCCAGAACAGAAACCTATGATCGTCGGTTTGAATCCCTGTTCACCCTGTTTATGTTTATGTTTCTCAGAACAATATCCATGCTCGTGGGTTTAATCAATGTCGTCAACGTCTGTGACCTGCATCACTTCCGGATTTCCTCTCACCTTAGCTGACACGCCGTGATGGAACTGGAGTATGGTTCAAAGCGGCGTTAAACTCAACTCACTCATGTAAGTTACGTTCTCTGGGCAAACGAGGGTCCGCCTAGAACCACGTAGACATGCATCTCCTTGAGAATTCCTCCCCATTTTAATATCACACACCAAGAAATTCTTCTAAAACAGCTTGACCACGAATTATAATTTTCGTTCCCCTTCACGTTTTCCATGAAACGAATTTAGTGTTGCATCCGGGAAATTAAGTTCTACACAAACGCAGAAAGTGTTATGCTTATCAATGAAGTCATTAAATACTAATTATTATCAACATAATTGTTTATCATAAGATTGTTTGTGCGACACATGTTTACTTGTACGTGTGCCCATACAATAAAAAGATGCCTTTATCAAATGAATTAAAAGTCAAACTAAACAAAGAATTGTATGACAAAAGAAGATTTATTTGTCGCAGAAATACCAGAAGAAATATGTACAATATTATTCGATGTTGTACCACTTGATGAATATTTTTGTTAATAACACACACTTTTGACCTTCTTTGTACCTCGAAAGGCGAAATATACAGCAAGGTTCTTGTATAAACATAACACTTTACATATTTATTTTAATAAGAGAAAGTACTTTTATATGCATACTTTGTGCTCCTAGAATATAGATTACTCTAAGTCAAATTTCTTGTACACAACTGAAGATACCAAACAGGTTAAATATTACACAAGATCCTTAAAATACACAGGAATTGTTCAGAAAACGGAACAGGCATGTTTCCTAGAACAAAGATTACGTTAAGTCAAGTTTCTTGAATACAGCTGAACATATAAGCCCCGTGAAATGCTACACAGTATCCTTAATATACACAGGAATTGTTAAAAAACGGAAGAGGTATGTTTCAAGTTTCACTTCCACAAATGTCACTGCAGCAGATGAAGGTTGTTCTCGATGGCAGAACAAGTTATTGGTTTTAGTATAACATATTCCCATTGAAGCCAGTGTGTCCAAGAGACATCCAGGCCAATCGTATACTGTGTTTTACTCAGTACAAGAACGCCAGGATACTTCCATATTGAGTTATTGTTTGACTTGAATTCTGCTGAAGACGGCTCCGCAGGACTCGCAGCATGGCGTCAGGCAGCAGTTGAGGCAGATGGTGTATATTTTCCTCATCATGACGCAGTTGATCTCGCAAGCTTTGATCTGTGGTGTGTACTGCCACACGTGAGCACAGGCAAGCATGGCGTAACTCCAACCGTAGTAGAGGCCGTAGAGAGGTCCACAAAGGGTCATCAACATGTAGCAGCATTTGAAGGCGCAGTTGAAGCATGTGTTGGTAAACTTCCAGCAGCAATCAATGCTGTGGGCACCTTCGGGCTCCGCCAAAACATCCTCAAACTGGACCTGTGGGTTGTAAAACATGAAACGTCAGTTAGAACGCATTAGGTTATCTGATATGTGAATTCACATCATCTGAAAAAAATGCATGATCATATCATACAGTATATTTAAGTCAAAGGAATTGAATTCTTTCCTATTATAAGTGTCATATTACAAATCACTCGAAACACACTGGGTGGAAAAAATAGAATTACCTATCTTTTCAAGCGAAGTACGTAATTTTCAATCTGGCGTACACATCTCAAACAATGATAGGACACATGCTTACATGAATGATTCAACCATTGTCGTGTTTGCATGTGTTCATGTGTTCATGAGCTTCTCACAAGGAAATGCCCCCATACCAGGCATGAAGATATCAAAGTATACTACCGACAAAAACTAAGTGAAATGATGGAATGACAGTGAAGGTCTAAGAACTGAATGTCCTAAACCTCATTTTGAACTTGAAGATCAATATGGACCTTGATGGCGTAGTGTTGATCAACATGCGTATGATTGCACTTGGTATTGCCCGTCATTCTACATTAAGAGCTACCCCAATCCGTGCCACGTTGGCGGGTGCTGGGTCTCTGGCGTACACGCCCCGCCCGAGAACATCCCCGGATGCTCATTTGGGGACATGTCAGGGGGCTTAGCGGACCAGAACAATGTCCGTATGCCTTCTCGTCTGTGATAATCGGTGACGACCTAGGCACGATGTGGTCAGGCATTGTTATTTTGCAGTTACAAATTTCTGCCGATAACTCTAGCGAATGGAAGAATGGAACATCAACATATCGATGGCCAGTCAATTGTCCATTCACACAAAAAAGTAGTTCGCCTGTCATGTTAAGTAAACCCCTAACCATGACACAACCCCGCTCCCATACCGATCATCGTCAAGAATTGTTGTCCTGCCAATACCGCTCGCGGCTACGTCGCCAACAACGTTTTCTGCATGGTGTGACACCAAACCCCTGTTGCCTAGTCCATCCAAATCCTTGCCGCCCATGGTTAGCTGTTAGGGTCACACCCTTCACAGGACGTCTTATTTTGAGGCGGGCTGCATAGAGCCGGTTTTTTACGGTAGATGTTGAAATTAGCCTTCCTGTTATTGGACGGAAATCTTTAGTGATTGTGAGTAACCCTGAAGGCGGACACACTTTGACTTCTGTGTGAACGTTCATGCATGATGTAAAATTTCATTGTGATAAAACAGTTATTGTAAATATTTAGCTCAACTATATCTCCCTTATTTTTTTGTCGGTATATTGATATACAATTACCTGCTTTTAATTTACAGGTATATATTCACATAATGTGGGCATGAATATGTGCTTAGATTCATTTACCTTCAAATGATCGTTGATGTTGTTAGGATCTCGGTTCTCCAAATCGATAGTAGATTGTTCTGCCATTGTAAAACAAGGTAATTTTGTTAAGGGGCGAACGGTTCCTGCTTCCCTCTCACGCACTTCAAGACAAATTGTCTCAAACTTATTATGACTCCTTATGTATATGTTTACATAGTTACAGAGTCATACATTGGCACTGAGTTCATTGGTCCAAAGTAGTCATGTGGCTTACGGCTTTCAACACGACATGTCCCTGGAAGTCACCTTCATTTTCGGGCATTGAAATCTCAGCGTTTTATTAATTACGGTGGTTACTGCGTTGCCTCGTAAATTGAGTCATTCACCCTCCACGCGGAATTGCTATTTTATTGAACACCCTGGTATAGGCCTTTGAATAAATCTGACAGATCATATTGTTCCTGCCCGAATGGGGTTTCAACTGTATCGGTCAGATTGTGCTTATGTGTTAAAATAAATCAATGTTACATATTGCTCTGTGAGTCTCCCTCTTTCATAACAATCGAACGTCAAAACTAATTGATTTTCTTATATTTATTGAAAATGAAAATTGGATATATGAGAAAAAGTAAATATGCATAAACAAATAAGTTTCAATAACTGTCGGCATCATCACATCTCCAACATGCTTCAAACGTAGTTTTATTTCTGATCAGTTTCTATTTTCACAAGAAAGTGTCAAAAGAGGTTTGTACGCAAAAGTTTCACTACGAATTTGACATATGCTATGCTTAAAAGTAGGGGATATTTTGTATTGAGGTGAAACAAGAGGAAAAACACACTAATGTCTAGCAGTGAAAGTAAGTGATTTATGTGGAGGGACTATTTCCGAAAAAAATCAAGTTACCAAACACAACATTGTGACAGTCATGAAGCACGTGTCCTGGGGCAGCACGTGCAAGGGGTGGTATGCTAGATATATCATTGTCACTCAGATTCGGTTGTGAGCAGGTGCATATTGTTTTCTTCAATCAAACGCTCAAAGACACTTTATTGAACATATTTAATCATTAAGGAAGCAACAACATTGATCATGCGACGCTTGTACGTGCTAAACGTTTACGTGCCACAGGCATGTTGAGGTGGGCACATGCCAGATTATTGTTACCCAAACGTTGACTGTTTTTCAATCTGTCATCAGCAGATTGTGGGTCCGATACCAACAAACACATAACGTCGATGATAGACGCCACTCTGGACGCCCAAGGACAACAACTCCGGCCCAGGACAGATTAGTCTGAACGTTGTCACTAAGAAATCGGTTGCAAACTGCCACTCAGATAAGGGACCGGTTGCAACAGGCAACTGGGGTAAGAGTACATGCCCAGACGGTGCGAAATCGTCTGCACAGATGGCATTTGCGTGCACGACGTCTACGTGTCATCCCACAACTTACTGCAATTCATTTGAATCAGAGGCGACAGTGGTGTAGGGAACGTCAACAATGGGATAATGTCAGGTTTTCTCACAAATGGAGGTTCAATCTCGACCTCCATGGCTGTAGGAATCGGGTTTGGAGACCTCCTAATGAGAGTTGTATGGACGTTAATGTCGTACAGCATGATCGTTTTAGAGATGGGTCCATAATGGTATGGGGAAGTATCATAATGACCTAATGGCCTAACTGCGCTCAATCGTGCCAGGATTGTGACCAACTTCCTCCAACTGCAAAACATCCATGTCATGCCACGGCCAGCACTTAGTCCTGACCTTTTCCCCACTGAACTCCACTGGGACGATGAACACCATAGGCAGACGTGTAGGTCAACGTAAACATCCACCCACTACTGTTGCTCTCACTTATGACTGGAACATCTGAGTCAAGCTGACAATGATTGACTCATCAGAAGCATGCCTCTACGAATCTGTTCATGTCTGACCAACAGAAGTGTTATTACTGATATTAGTGATGTTGGCTGCCAAATGAAAATATTGAATATGACCCGCGACCTCTTTAAAGACCAAATGCCCACCATCTCATCGCTCAAATTATTAGAACCCTTCAGATCTGATCGCCTCACTCACTCACTCACTCACTCACTCACTCACTCACACTTAGTTTTTAGCATAAACCAGGATGTTTTATCACAAATACTCAAGAGGCTCGTTCTGCTTTTATCACGCTCACACGTGTTGCTGTAACTGAATTACTGTTCAAAGCAGCATAAAAGCAGTTGCTATGGAGATTGAGTTGAGGTTAACGCTGCTTTGAACGGTATAGTTATGGCAAACTGAGGATCATAATCAGGACGACCTCAGAATTCGAACCAATGATCCTGTACATAACTCTTCTCAGAAATTGTTGCGCATAACATCTCGAGGTAATCCTTGCCCCCCACTAACTTTGAAAAGTGTTCTTGGGGGGCTCATCTGATTTGACTTCACATCACAAGACATTATTTTCACTGGCGCTAGAATTTGAAAAATCTTGCGTATGGGTTCTCTCTCAAATCGACTAGTGTCTAAACAATATGGTTACCCTGGCTTATATGAAACATGTTGCCAATGACAGTAATAATTCTACATCCAATTTTCATATTATTGTTATTCATAATTCATCTAGGTTGTTTACCCTAAATATCAGTTCATAACAGAATTTATGCTTTGAAATCTGGGCCTGTGCTGTAGATACGAGATAAGGCAAAAAAACTTTGCTCTTCGTATTTATAATTACAGGGCTGGGATTTAGCGTTTCGAATTCTGAATAGCACAAATCGGTGTTTGTCAAGATCACATTGTATATAGTTGTCTCAAGTTGGTTTGACTGTATGTAAGCTGTGAGCTTCAAAGATGTTATGTAAGATTGCTTGGGTCAGGAGTGAAAACATCTATTGTTGTATGAGCTGTGTGATTGAATTCAGTTCAGTCCATACAAATTCCGATCATGGTTGGACGGTTTTGGTTTAGGTGTATCTCCAATCTTGTGGCGTAAGTTACATTCTGTTTAAATATATATATATATATATGTGTGTGTGTGCGTTTGCTTGTGCGTGTGTGTGTGTGTGCGCGCGTGTGTGTGTGTGTGTGTGTGTGTGTATGGGTGGGGGGATGTGCGTGTGTGTGTGTGGTAATAGAATAGTAAACTAGGAACGGAAAGACCTCTCCCAGTATCCCCCCTCCAAAGTTATATATGTATGCATTGCCGCTCAATCCTTTTAATCATATATATATTTGAGGGGGGGATACGGACGGAAGTCTGATCTTGCACATGCTTCATGTATGTTGAATAACCGTGTGTCGTTATTCTGAGGTATTCTGAATAACTATGGGTGTACCATTTTGAGTATATAATACTGAATGTTAGGTGAATGGTTACTAGTTTATAAACTGACGTGTATACGTTTGTTGTACAGTGTCAGGGAACACAGAGGGGCACATGAGGAGGCAGGGACATTCATTTTATGTCCTTGCCTCCTCGACGACACGAGGCCAAGTATATGAGAATGCTAATCTTGACTGGGTAAGACCTGTGTTAGGCTCATAGACGGTGTACAGTGTACAGGATGATGTGGCAGGAGGCGTGAGGAACATGACTTTGTGCATATTATGTACATAATAATGTGTAATGTGAGATAATTGATTGTTGACATGCATGGGTCGATGTAGTGAAGTATTGATGCATTAATGTATTGATGTTGTGCTGTATTCATGTTCTGATGGTGATTCAATGATGTATTGATGAAGGGATTTAGGAGATGGAGTGTTAGTATAATATGAGTGTACTTGTTAGTGTGGTTGAGTAACCTTAAGTGTTTGTTAGAGTGACAGAGTGTATGTGTGAAGTTTGTAAAGTGTATAATTTATTTAATAAATGTATTCTTAGTCCATATTTGGGTTGTATTATAACTGCGTGTTGTGAGAGTCGATTATTTTTCTTGGTTTGTCAGCACTTTACACGTGCTCGTTGGTTTTTTTTATCAAATTGGTAAACGACTGACACCTGTATCACTTCAGGCTTTCCGCCCACATTAAGCTGACACGTCGTGATGTATCACGCAGTTACTCACTCACTGGATAACTGTTCAAAGCGGCGTTAAACTCAACTCACTCACATAAGTTACGTTCTCTGGGCATACAAGGGTCCGCTCAGAACCACGTAGATTTCTACATGTATCTCCTTGGGAATTCCTCCCCATTTTAATATCACACACCAAGAAATTCTTCTAAAAACAGCTTGACCACGAATCATAATTTTCGTTCCCCTTTACGTTTTCCATGAAACGAATTTAGTGTTGCATCCGGGAAATTAAGTTCTACAAAAACGTAGGAAGTGTTATGCTTATTAAGAAGTCATTAATTACTTAATACATCAAGAAAATGCCTTCATTAACTGAATCAAAATAAACAAAGAATTGTAAAACAAAAGAAGATTTATTGGCCGCAGTAATGCCAGTAGAAATATGTACAATATTATTCGATGTTGTTCTCCTTGATGTAGTAGTTAAATCATAAAAAAACAGAACACTTTTGTCTTTCTTTGTATCTCGAAAGGCGAAATATACAGAAAGGTTCCTTTATAGATATAGCACTTTACATAATCTTCTTTAATAAGAGAAAGTACATTTATTTGCATACTTTGTGCTCCTAGAACATAGATTACGTTAAGTCAAGTTTCTTGTACACAACTGAAGATACAAGACACAAGATCCTTAATATAGACAGGAATTGTTCAGAAAACGGAACAGGCATGTTTCAAGTTTCACATCCAGAAATGTCACTGCAGCAGATGAAGGTTGTTCTCGATGGCAGAACATGTTATTGGTTTTAGTATAACATATTCCCATTGAAGCCAGTGTGTCCAAGAGACAGGTCCATCCAGATCAATCTTATACCGTGTTTTACTCAGTACAAGAACGCCAGGATACTTCAAGATTGTGTCTGTGTTATTGTTTGACTTGAATCTTGCTGAAGAAGGCACCACAAGACTCGCAGCATGGCGTCAGGCAGCAGTTGAGGCAGATGGTGTATATTTTCCTCAGCATGATGCAGTTGATCTCACAAGCTCTGATCTGTGGTGTGTACTGCCACACGTGAGCACAGGCAAGCATGGCGTAACTCCAACCGTAGTAGAGACCGTAGAGAGGTCCACAAAGGGTCATCAACATGTAGCAGCATTTGAAGGCGCAGTTGAAGCATGTGTTGGTACACTTCCAGCAGCAGTCAATGCTGTGGGCACCTTCGGGCTCCGCCAAAACATCCTCAAACTGGACCTGTGGGTTGTAAAATAGGAAACGTTAGCGGGAACGCATTAGATTATCTGATATGTGAATTCACATCATCTAGAAATTTGCAATATTATGTTTTACAGTATATTTGAGTCAAAGGAAACACATTCTGTCGTGTTATAAGTGTCGTATTACATTATAAAAGATAGCTACGCGATACATCGCAAAGAACAATGAAGAACAAAGCATGGTTTATTTCACAACTTTTTTCTATCATGGCGTCATTGCTGGATATTCGAAGGCGGAGGAGATATGACAATCGGAATTGGGAAAAAAGGCACGGGTAATCGACGTGAAGATAGTGGGAATATGCGGGAAATACCCACCTGTAAATAACATTGACTTGTCCGACATTGCCAGTATTAGATTTTATTGAGGGAGTCGGGTAAATGTTTTTAAAGCTTGTACAATTTAACATTATCCTTAAAGAGGCTGTACATAATGTGGATATCTCATATACGAAATAAACGCTCGTAGTCGTTGAATATCGTACAATAAAACACTGCATGGAGAATAAACCACTCGGGAGTGTTTTATTGTACGATAAACAACGACCACAAGTCGTTTATTTCTTAAACATAGTATGCTTTTTCAACATCGGTTGTGATCATAACACCACAACAAAGGCTATATCCGAGAGAAAGTGAGTGAGTGAGTTTAGAAATATTTCAGCAGTATCCCAAGAAATGGGATTCACACATTGTTTCCCTACAGGCGCGCACACTTTGACTTCTGTGTGAACGTGCATGCATGATGTGAAATTTCATTGTGATCAGACAATTATTGTACATGTTTAACTCAACTATAGCTCCCTTATTATTTTGTCGGTATATTTAATATCAATTAATTCCTTTTTAATTTACAGGTTAATATTCAAATGATGATATGTATAAATATGAGCATAGATTCATTTACCTTCAAATGGTCGTTGATGTTGTTAGGATCTCGGTTCTCCAAATCTATAGTCGATTGTTCTGCCATTTTGAAACAAGATTACTTTGCTGAGGGGCAATACTTTGGAGCAAACGATTCCTGCTACCCTCTCACGCACTTCAAGACAAAGTGTCTCAAACTTATTATGACTCCTTATGTATATGTTTACATAGTTACAGCATCATACATTGGCACTTATTTCATTGGTCCAAAGTAGTCATGTGGCTTACGGCTTTCAACACGACATGTCCCTAGAAGTCGCCCTTATTTTCGGGCATTGAAATCTTAGTGCTTGTCCCTTTGTTGATGACGGTGGTTACTGCGTTGCCTCGTAAATAGTCATTCACTTTCCACACGGAATTACTATCTTATTGAAAACCCTAGTGTGGGCCTTTGAATAAATCTGATATATCCTTTTATGCCTATCCGTATGAGGGTTCAACTCCATTCGTCAGATGGTGTTTATCTGAGCTGTACGTAGAGCTCACGTAAATCAATGTTACATATTTCTTAGCGAGTTCTCCCCATTTCAACAATTCACTTTTAATCAAATATTCTTTTCCTTCCATTTGGCAGACTCCGCTTAATCAGGCATGTTCTTTAATTTGAGATTTGCATGCAAAGGGATTGATGCCTTAAATTTAAGCATCATTCTAAGACAAACATCAGTTTCTCAAAATGTGCCACAATATTTCAAATTTCAGGAACCACTAACAATTTCATTTACCTATAGGAACACCATTTCATCCATGTTGTTCAATTATAGGAATGTGTTGCAGAACGGGGTTTTGGCAGTTCACTATGTACATGTAGATTCGACTATTTGTGGCTGCCAAGACTCGGCATACTGCTTCGAACCTGTAGGTCATATAATCACAGGTGGCTTCTCTATTGTTGAGAATAGCAACTTTCGTCAGCTATTCAAATATGTACCAAAATATCGTGAGGTGCCTCCTTCCAATTGAGATCACAACTTTAAAATAATTATGGATGCTGTCGAAGCATTTGCCAATAAATGTGCCAAAAGAGAAGAGGAACCTGTTGAATGTCTTTCAGAGTGGGATAAGTCAGTGCGTGATGTCGTCATTGTTAGGGTAACAAAGTGAAAAAGAGGAATCAGAATTGGAATCAACCCATTCTGAACCAGGCAGTTGTCATCCAAAGTCTGGCTTCCCTACAAGGAAGGTTGGTAGTTGTTCCCCCTGACAAGACCTCAAATAACAAAACCATTATATGTTAGCCTCACTACATTAATAGTTTGATCAAAGAACTTGGCAGAAGTGACATATCAAATAATACCACATGTAAGGCCAGTATGTTAACTGAGGAAGAATCTGCCAAATGTCGTCCCGATTGTGTTGTTAGATTTGTGAGAACCATACCCGTGCTCATCGTGTCGAACGTCTGAGGCTTGCATCACTTCGGAGTTTCCTTAAACATTTAGCTGACACGATGTGTTATAACTGGAATATTGTTCAAACTAAACTCACTCACTCAATCACCATAGTTACGTCCTCAGGGCATACCGATTCCCCTCAAAACCACGTCCGTTCACGTAGATTTCTTTTGGGAATTCCACCGCATTTTAATATCACACACCAAGATATCAATGAAATCTGCTAAAAGCAGACTGAACACGAATACATGTGCCCATACATAAATAATATACCTTCATTAAATGAATCAAAAGTCACAATAAACAAAGAATTTATAACAAAAGAAAATTTATTGGTCGCAGAAATGCTAGTAGAAGTATGTACAATATTATTCGTTGTTGTAATACTGTATACATCATGCTTGGATCAAGCTCTTTTTGTAAAAATATAAAAAACACAAAACTTGTCCATTTTAACATCGAAAGGCAATATATACAAAAAAGGTCCTGTATAAACATGACGCTTTACATAATGTTTTTTTTTATAAGCGAAAGTACTATTAATTGCATACTTTGTGCTCCCAGACCCTTAAGTCAAGTTTCTTGTACAAACTGAAGTGACAAGACAGGTTGAATATTACACAAGATCCTTAATATACACAGGAATTGTTTAGAAAACAGAACAGATGGGTTTCAAGTTTCACATCCAGAAATGTCACTGCAGCAGATGAAGGTTGTTCTCGATGGCAGAACAAGTTATTGGTTTTAGCATAACATATTCCCATTGAAGCCAGTGTGTCCAAGAGACATCCAGGCCAATCGTATACTGTGTTTTACTCAGTGCAAGAACGCTAGGATAGTTCCCGATTGAGTCTGTGTTATTGTTTGACTTGAATCCTGCTGAAGACAGCACCACAGGACTCGCAGCATGGCGTCAGGCAGCAGTTGAGGCAGATGGTGTACACTTTCCTCATCATGACGCAGTTGATCTCGCAAGCTTTGATCTGTGGTGTGTACTGCCAAATGTGAGCACAGGCAAGCATAGCGTAACTCCAACCGTAGTAGAGGCCGTAGAGAGGTCCACAAAGGGTCATCAACATGTAGCAGCATTTGAAGGCGCAGTTGAAGCAAGTGTTGGTAAACTTCCAGCAGCAATCAATGCTGTGGGCACCTTCGGGCTCCGCCAAAACATCCTCAAACTGGACCTGTGGGTTGTAAAGTAGGAAATATTAGCTTGGACACGTTAGGTTATCTGATGTGTGAACTGCACATTATCTGGAAACTACACTTATGATCCAAATATTGAAAATATGCATATTACATTATGTTATGTATTTCAGTCAGAGAAATCATGTATGAATGTGATGTATGTACCGCACTCATGCTTCTTTACATTGTGTATACTTTCATAATCATCGACCATCTATCCCAATCATTGTATTTTATTTGACAGGCGCACATTGAAATATATCATACCCTTGGTGTGTTTTTATATATTATTTGTATTTACGTGAGTTGAACATTTTTTAAATAGTAATTGATAAGCTGTAGACGTGTCATAATAAATTCAAAACGTTAACGCCAGAGAATAAGCAATCTCCATGAGGTGTAAAACACAAAATAATGATGACAATTATTTGAATGGATCACTGCTGAAAATCAGTGATGACACCAGGTGTTCGCGAAAAGGGTAAGCATGTCCTTCTCTACCGGTAGTCCCCGCCACTCAAACGCATTTTCAGAAGAAAATGTTAATTAGATGCCAAAGGCCGCACCCAGCAATACTGCAATACTGCAAACAATTGAGGGTGGACCAGACAACCCAGCCATCATCATCATCATCATCATCATCATCATGCGCAATGATCCACGTCTTAGGAGTTCGACGCCACGCTGTCAACCATGTCAAGCATGACCACAGTAAATGATCCATTAAAGTCAGTGCCAGTGAGTAAAGAGAAGTTAAAACTCATCGTTAAAGTCAAAGTACGGGATATCATCACGCATCATGTAGACAAGAAACGTGTCATTATTGACATTCATCTGAAACCTTGATTAAAAAGCTTGACTGTAACAAAAATGTGTCTTATGTGAATTATGAATAGACATTATGTTATTTAAAGGATTTGGTTTTAAGACAATGCCAAAATGCATCCTCAATTATTACAAAAGACACATTCGTTATTACCAAATCTATGGAGACACATTATGGAAGGGTAGGATTTAACTGTCACTTGAAAGCCATACAATGACAATTAAATTGTTTTACGCTGCAGTTAGCGAAATTAAATTAAGCTAGCATAATTGTACCTATGTGGGAATTGAACCCGGCGAGTTTGACAAATGCTTTATCAACTTATTTAATTCATCGCCATCAGAGCAATGCTAAAGACAACGCCTACTCTTGCCAAAGTATTATTTCATTTGTATCATTAAAACATTTTCATTGGTGTTAATATTTATCTGCTAATAAAAAAATCATTTTGTCTTCTATCACCGATCCCAGGCATAACGACATCAACGTGCTACAGAATATAGGATTTCAAATCAATCAGTTAAAGTCGCATTTTATGAACTTCGATGTTTTTACCTTCAAGTGGTCGTTGATGTTGTTGGGATCTCGGTTTTCCAAATCGATGGATGATTCAACAGCAGCTTGTTTAGGCATCTTGGAATTGGAGGACTTTGTTTTCGGGCGTTAACTTGGAGGAAACGGTTCTGCTGCTTATCAACGCTCAAAGTGTAGATACGCTTGTCAGGACTTCAATCTTGTACATGTTTGCGTAGAAACAGGGTCATTCGTTACTCTAACTTCAGAATCAGATATGGTCATTCATTGGTCCAAAGTAGTCATGTGGTGTACCAATAAATAAATATCATAGTATCATAGTGATCCTAGTTTGTTTCGGTTATTGAAGTATCTATGGTTTGTACAAGTCGGTGGTTTCGTTCTCTCATTCACCAGGCTATTCACTTTCCTCGTGGATAGCTATTATATTGAAAACCCTATTTGAATACACCTTACAGATCCTATTGTGCTCGTCTGACCTGGTCTATCCAGATATAATTTAACACTAAGGACCAGTGCTAAACAGAGGTGTTTGAGGTGGTTGCTGGGGTGATTTGCTGAGTTGAATGTATAAAAAAGATCGTGCAAATAATGAAATAATAGCATAACTATATATTAATCATTTAAACAATCTTTATTCTAGGTACTGATGAGGCCAAAGGACTGTAGTACATAGTCGGGGGTGGGGGTGGGGTGGGGTGGGGGGGTGGGGGGGGGGGGGGGTGGGGGGGGTGCTGCATCTTATAATAGTCTCTGCCCACTAATTTCTCTCCACCGTGAACATTTAAGTAAAGCAAGGCATATGTTACTCGGTTTTGCGGTGGTCATGTAACCCGGGAAATAGATTTTTTTTAAAAAGAACTTTTTTTCACTGAACTTGTAGTTACAGTGTACTCAGCATTTTGGTTTAACCGGGTTATCTACGCCCTACCATTTTACTTGTAGAAAGACAAGGACACAATTCGGGTTTATTTTTATATATACTATGCATAAAAAGTAGGGGATAGTGGGAATAATCAAGACGTATCTTCTAATCTATATGGTATTGGCAAATGGAAATGATATTATCATATCTGTTTGGGAACAGGTGGGTGTGTTGAGATGGTGCTCTAGGTCTCTAAAGAGGTCAGAGGTCCAAATTTTTCATTTTGCAGCCGACGTCACTAAGATCGTGTAAAGCCACCTCTTGCCTGACATGCAAGAATTTTTTGAGACATGCTTCTGGTAAGCGTGGCTCATGTTGTTCCAGTCATCAGTGAGAGCAACAGCGAGTTCATTGAGAGTGGTGGCCACGGTATTACATGGCTCTTTTGCTGTTGGATGTATAAGGTCACAATCCTTGCACGATGAGCACGTGCATTATCATCTTGATAGGTGAAATGTTACCCAACACATTGTGCAAATGGCACCACGAGTGGGGCAATGATGTTGTTCCGATAGTATTGACCTGTTACTCTGTCATGGACACTATGGAGCGCAGTTAGGCCAGGCATTGTGATACCAACCCATACTATTATGAACCCACCACCGGAACGATCATGCTGTACGACGTTTACGTCCATAAAACGCTCATTAAGATGTCTCCAAACTCGATTCCTTCGGCCATGAAAGTCGAGAGTGCTCCTCGAGTCGTCAGGAATCATGACATTACGTCCTAACGGCGATTGTCCCAGTGCTGACGTTACTGACACCACTGGCGCTTCTGATTCAAATGAGGTGCAGTTAGTTGTAGGATGACACGTAGACGTCGTGCACGCAAATACCATCTGTGCAGACGATGTCGCACCGTCCGGGCATGTTGCAACCGTCCCTTATTTAAGTGGCAGTTTGCAGCCGATTTCTTTATGTCAACGTTCTGACTAATCTTATCTGTCCTGGATTGGCGTTGTTGCCGTCCTCGATCATCGACGTTATATGTTTGTTAGTATCAGGCTCAAAATCTGCTGATGACAGATAGAGAAACATGCAGTGTTTGGGTAACAATATACTGATGTGTCCACCTGCAAAATGTTTATGATACGTGAACGTTCAGTACGTTGCAAACGTCGCATGATCAATGCTCTTGCTTCCTTAATGATAAAATATGTTTAAAAAGTGTATTTGAAAGACTGGTTCCAAGAAAATATTCATCTGCTCGCAACCGAGTCTGAGCGACAATGGTTAATCTGGCATACCACCCCTTTGTACATGCTGTCCGAGGTCACGTATGAGTGCCACAGTGTTGTTAGTGGGAGCTTCATTTCTTCGGAAATGTTCAAGCCACATAAATCACTTACTTCCCTTGCCAGATATTGGTGTTTTCCCCTGTAGCTTCACCTCAAAACAACATACCCCTACCTTTTTTGTTTAGCATTACCTTAGTACTTTAGCCTAAGAACAACACAAACTGCTGTGGGTTTTAATGCGGGTCATGATACGTGAAGAAAAGTCCTGGTAATGCTGGTTTCTTCTTTCGGCGAGGTTAAGTTAGTGAGTGAGAATACCACTCTTGTTCAAAAGTTGTTTGATCAAGGTTACAGCATTCAAGGCCTCAGTTAAGCTTTCAAAAACTTGCATGGTTGACATGTAGTGGACATTTCCAAACATGACGCATCAGTGACAAAAATGATGTCCGACGTAACTCCCTTTTTTCCCCATGTTTTTCCATGTGAACAATTGACTTAAAGTTTCGTGTGTTTGTGACGTGTGCAGGAATAAGCTCGCCTTTTCAAGAACACCTGTATCATCACTATTTCACAGTGATTCATAAACACATGCTCGTGATAAAGTCGGAATCGTACAATAGAGTCTGCCTTCAGCAGAGATTTCTTACGAATATTTAAAGGGTTTTGTGGCTTTTATTTACGCCACTTCTATTAATATTCCAAGAATGGCGCCGGATATCAATAATAAGCTTCACATATCGGCCTGACGAACGAACACTTTATCCACTCGGCTAACCTTACGTCCCCGAGGTTAAGGACAAATTGCTTAAGGTTTTCTGATACAATTCTCCAAATATATTGAGTTCAATTTCATTTAGACTTATTGAGTTCTGAATATGATAAGGTTAGTCTTGTTGGGGGGTTTTAACATGTCCGCATTCTTCCTCATTCAACATCTGCATTGCACTTGTTGTTCATAAACATTAAGCGAGTAACACCAGTCTATAGTTACATTCCTTCTATCAGGGGTCCATTCATAAAACTTGCACAGCTATTTTGACCTTCACCCCAAATTAATCTGTTTTGGCAGATAATGAAGACTGGATACCCACTTGCATTGAAAATAAATCTTTAGCCATGTAAGAAACCACTGGCCGCGGGTTCAGATCGGCAGCTTACCCATCAACACCAGCGAAATCCGTTCCTAACTGCAAGTGAAAGTGCTCGACAGACCATAGGAACACATAATCGACACATTAGCCGGGACACTGTGATCCGACGTCTCCAACAACCTCAGATGTCGCCGACCAGCACGTCGTCCTGTTCTCCAACTACGGGATCGACAAGCACGACTTCAGTGGGCACAGGGTCATCACAATTGGTGTCATCGTGAGTGGAGGCGTGTCATCATCTCTGATGAAAGTCGCTTTTGTGTCTCCCATGCAGACGGAAGAGTCAGAATTTGGCGGCGTCGAGGTGATCGTTTCGCTGACAGAAACGTTGTGGAAAGGGATCCATGGGGTGGACCTAGCGTCATGATTTGACTTAATGCGAGACTTGGACCCATGTGCTTTCTGAATGTTGGTCAAGGTCGGGGACACTGCGTCACTGCTCAGCGGTATATCGACCAAGTGATCAGACCCCACGTTGTTCCATTTTTTGCACAACATCAACAACTCATTTTCCAGCAGGACAACGCTCTTCCCCATGTTGCCAGAGCTACCATGGCCTTTCTGCAACAACACAACATCCGTGGCCATCCCTCAGCCCTGATCTGAACCCCTTCGAACACTTGTGGGATGAGGTTCAAAGGCGTCTGCACAATGTGCGCCCAGTCCCTACAACTGCTCTGGATGTGTGCAGGAGGATCCCTAGGGCCTTCACAAATCGTCTGATCCACTCAGTGTACAGGAGATGTGTGGCAGTGATCAATGCTAATGGTGGTCACACCAGGCATTGACTGACGTTTTGGGTATTGACCCGAAACTGTGTAAGCCCTTAACATTTGAAAAAACAATTATGTCATCTGCCTTTTAATCCATTAAACTGTCTTCAGTCAAATTTTTGTCATTCTTGACCTACTAGTATTTCTTGTCTTTACTGTTGAAAATAATTAACATGTATACTGCATACTCGACTTGCCTTTCTTATGCGTGTGAGTACATATATATATATATATATATATATATATATATATATATATATATATATATATATATATATATATATATATATATATATATATATATATATATATATATTTCTGTACGCAGCGATGGAGGCGTCATATTCATTAATGAAGTCGCCTTCAAGTAACCCATGCTTGTCATAAGAAGCGACGAACGGGATCGGGTGGTCAGCCTCTCGCTGACTTGGTTGATGCTAGTCATCATATCCCAATTGCGTAGATTGATGCTCATGATGTCGATCACTGGATTGTCTCGTCCAGGTTCGATTATTTACAGACCGCCCTCATATAGTTGTAATATTGCTGAGTGCGGCGTTAAACAACAAAAGGTTTTACTTTCAAACAAAGTAAAAGATCTTCATTAAATAAATCAGTTAGTAAAAACAAACAAAGTATTTTATAAGACGGTTTATTGATCCACGAAATGTGGATACAAATATGTACACTATAATACATGTCCAGGGTACACAAACGAAAATGCAGAACATGGCAATTCTGTTCAGTGTTTCTTCATCAAGTGAAATATATGTATAAACACGCGACTTTGTATGGGAATAACTTTTTCATAATGGTTTAGACAGTTGAATAAATGTTGTTCACGTTTCTAAGAAATACATCACTGTAAGGCTTGAAGACTTCATGTGAAAACATCAGTGTTTAGCATTCCTTCCTGATCCACCAACAGGGCCAATAGTTGACTGTGCTCCGAATACTTATTGCATGGTGAGCTAAAACCATCCGGATTAGACTTACATAATACTTTACTTTGTGTAAGAATGGCATGACAGTTCAATATAGTTTCTGTGTTACTGTTTGACTTGAATCCTGCTGAAGAAGCCACCGCATGATTCGCAGAATGGCGTCAGGCAGCAGCTGAGGCAGATGGTGTATATTTTCCTCAGCATGACACAGTTGATTTCGCAAGCTCTGATCTGTGGTGTGTACTGCCAAATGTGCGAACAAGCAAGCATCGCGTACTGCCAACCATAGCAGAGACCGTAGATAGGTCCACACAGGGTCATCAACATGTAGCAGCATTTGAAGGCGCAGTTGAAGCAAGTGTTGGTAAACTTCCAGCAGCAGTCAATGCTGTGGGCACCTTCGGGCTCCGCCAAGACATCCTCAAACTGGACCTGTGGGTTGTAAAGTAGGAAACATTAGCTTGGACACATTAGGTTGTCTGATGTGTGAACGTCATATTATCTGTGAACTACACTCTTTGATACTGTGAAATACTCTCAGTAAATCATAATTGTCCAGATGAACATATTTGTTAATTTGTCGATATCGTTACGTTATCATGAGTGGGTAAATTTAGTTAGCCCGAGATAAATAATGTACCATAGTGTTACCAAATATCCATTTGTATTGTATTGTATTTTGAATGATGCCTAAAATCGTATAGTTTTGGCATAATGTTTTGAAGGGAGTAGAAGAGGTCACATCAACAAATGAGGAAGATAGAGGTTTCAGGGCGTTTATTTTCATTGTGTTATTATCGAAGTTCTCTTTTGGATAGTTATGATATTATTTTCGTAATGAAAAAGACTTCATGACAATGTTTCGCCCGAAAGAGAAACAACTACTTCATATTGTCTACTGATGCTTGTGTACACCATTTGTACATTCATTTGCGTAATAATTAATTTATCAGTTCTAATTCAAACATTGTCATGTGCACATATTCATTTCTCACAAGGAAATGTTAACGAGTCTTTGCATTAGGACAACATGTTATACAAAGCTTGTCCGATTTCTGTATCCAATTAATTGATCTAACAATCAGTTCGGCAATATCCAAAGGCAGCATGCAGTGATACGTAAACATAAGGATACATAAATAATATACCTTCAAATGGTCGTTGATGTTGTTGGGATCTCGGTTGTCCAAATCGATGGTTGACTGTTCACCCATTTCGAAATCAGGTGACTTTGTTAACGTGCGATGCTGTAGAACAACCACACCAGCTACTCGCCAAGACTGTTAAAGGCACATTGTATCCACGCCTGTCACGGGGATCATTATATACGCGTTTACATGGTTACGGGGAAACATGGTGCATTAATGTCTGTGTCTGGCCTCCACTGGTCAAAAGAAATCACGTGCCTCACTGATGTTATCGTCGGGTATTCCTTGCAGTTCATTTCAACAATTGAAATCTTTATGATTGTACCTGGAGAGACGACGAGAGATATTTCTGAAGCTTCGTATATACATCCAATCAGTCACTTCACAAAATAGCTATTTTATTGAAGCCTATGTGTGCGGATCTGATGAATAGGGAAACGTATTGTTCTGGTTCGTTTAGCGCTATCAACCTCGGACAAGAAGGCTTTATCTTCTCCAGACCTTTAGTTATTACATCGAAAATGATTTGGTGACACGGGTAATTTAAATAGTAATTACTTAGCATATAGTGTTTGAGGATAGATCTAATATAAATAACAACGAAACTATGTTCCTGTCAGTGAGTGAGTGACATCAAAGTGACATGGGCACTGTTTAACCGATAATTAGTGTTTTAATCAGGGGTAACCTATACCAAATGCTTTATTGTGTAACTTTCGTAAATCTGCGAATATGCACATGAGGAAATTTCGTATTTAAACCAAAGTATTAACTGCGTATGAATCTTGACTTCTTTACCCCGAAGAACATGGAGTTTAAATTTAGCGACTATTAACTTGTTTGTTCGAGTCATTTTGAGAATTTTCAATATCATCTTAAAAATAGAGTGAATGGGTGAATGTTTTAGTAATATTACTGACATATCAAGATGTGACTCTGAACCAGACAAGCCAGTGATTGATATCATGATGACACAAATCCTCAAAATAAACAGTAACTGTTATCACCCGATCTCAATTCAGATGTTTCTACCATGCCGAATACTCGATCACATACTCAAGTTCTAGACATCAAATGCTCAGTTACATCAGCGTATTTAAAGATTGCATTTCACCGTATTCCCGCCCTTGAATCTCTCTGTGCCGGGAGATCCTGTTCATATTTAACATATAGCAAGTGATTGGTGAAGTCCTTGTCCTAAACTAAGGGTTAACTTAAAAGCAATGTGTGAAATGCGTGAGCCTACTCGTACCACCAAATCCAAGAGAGACGAAATCAGTATTAATTTAGTCCAAATTTCACATTAAAGGGGTACTGAATATGAACTATTTTATGATAGCTATTTAAGGATTTTTTTAAACTGACAATCGGTACAATGTGTAGGCATTGCCAAACCTACCTTCTGAACGCGTTCCTAGGCAGTAGGTTGTGGTCACGACCTGTAAACAATATGTCAATTGGTTGCACGTTCCCGTTTTCTCGGAAAGAACGCAACTAAATCATATAGTCTTAGTTTACAATGGTCTGCAATGCGTTCTGTGTTGTGAATGGACAAATGTGTTTCATCTCGGTGTCATCTTTTTTGTATAAGCGCAGCAATCGTATTTTAAATGAAAGAACCATTATAAGTTTGAAAACGAATCGCACATCTTATTTCACTCAAAATACACTGTCTGGGGTACGCAAATGATAAGCTGCTTTCACATGTGGATACTATTATGAGATTGGACATTTATGAATGTATTTAAGACTGCTTAAATTGTATAAAGGTTATTCTCATTCTTGAAGCTTGTACATTTCGGGACAATGTGCAATTCAACTTTCTCATTCAGCTGGACGAGAGACTGTGAAAACATGTGACATTGTCTCTATATAATTAGGGTAACTAATCATTGCTGGACATATGCGGTTGATAAAACGTGAATTAACAGAGAAGCAAATGTTTGCATGGCCTGGTTCACACTTGGCATGTACACCCTTTATAGGTGCAGGAAAGGTGGAAAATGTTTCTCATATAAGAAATAGTTTATATGGGAACAGATATAAAGAATATATTAAATGGTGGTTGTTTATCTCATCGCGTGACGTGGTTAATTTATTTTCTCGTGACAACGTATTTGACAACCATTGCAAAAACAGTTTAATACATAAATCAAGCCAATCCTGCTCAGAAGTTGTTTGATCAAGATTACACCATCAAAGGCCTCAGTAAAACTTTCAAAAAGTTTTATGGTAGACATGTTGAGGACATTTTCAAATTTAACGCATCAGTGACAAGAATGACGTTCGATGCAATTCCCTACTTTGACTTGTACCACATGTTCCCGTGTTGTTGTTTTTCAGGTGAACGATTGACTTGCCTTTGCATGTGTTTTTGACGAGTAGGTGGGGCAGGATACGCTCATCTTTTCGCAAACACCTGGTATCATCACTGTTTAATAGCGATTCATCAACACATGCTCTTGATGCAGTCGGAATCCTACAATCGACTTTCGACAATCGAGATTTCTTACGAATATGGAAAGGGTTTTGTCACATTTATTCACTTCTGACACTAAGTGATCGAACCCTCACCCGTCAGGGACCTAGCCACTTCAACCCTGGGTATCATACGAAATAGAAACGGCGAACCTAACCTGAGACACAAAAGAATATCTGATGCAACCAAACTGAAGAGGAATATATTTTTAACATGCTTGAATGGTATTTAATGCATAAGAACATCGAACTATTTAAAATGTACGACGGTCAACGAATAGGAATATTCGTATTGAAATGAAAACAGACGCCACTTACAAGGAGCTGATCAGATCTGATCAGCCGTTCGTAAACGCTCAGCGTGTGTTATCAATAGAAAAAAAACTAAATGAAGAATAACACTTGGCAGACATTGTTTAGGAACATATAAACAGGTTAGACATCGGTCACGTGTTCATAACAATTGTCAAGGTGACATTTCCAGTCGTGATGTTGCAACAGCTCCTCACCGCGATTTGTGGAGCTCTCTGTCGCGGCCACCAATAGTTCCTCACCGCCATTTGCGGAGCTCTCTGTCGCGGCCACCAATAGTTCCTCACCGCGATTTGCGGAGCTCTCTATCGCGGCCACCAATAGTTCCTCACCGCCATTTGTGGAGCTCTCTATCGCGGCCACCAATAGTTCCTCACCGCGATTTGCGGAGCTCTCTATCGCGGCCACCAATAGTTCCTCACCGCCATTTGTGGAGCTCTCTATCGCGGCCACCAATAGTTCCTCACCGCCATTTGCGGAGCTCTCTATCGCGGCCACCAATAGTTCCTCACCGCGATTTGTGGAGCTCTCTATCGCGGCCACCAATAGTTCCTCACCGCGATTTGCGGAGCTCTCTATCGCGGCCACGAACAGTTCCTCACCGCCATTTGTGGAGCTCTCTATCGCGGCCACCAATAGTTCCTCACCGCGATTTGCGGAGCTCTCTATCGCGGCCACGAACAGCTCCTCAACGCGATTTGCGGAGCTCTCTATCGCGGCCACGAACAGCTCCTCACCGCGATTTGCGGAGGTCTCTATCGCGGCCACCAACAGCTCCTCACCGCGATTTGTGGAGCTCTCTATCGCGGCCACCAACAGCTCCTCACCGCGATTTGCGGAGGTCTCTATCGCGGCCACCAACAGCTCCTCACCGCGATTTGCGGAGCTCTCTATCGCGGCCACCAATAGTTCCTCACCGCGATTTGCGGAGCTCTCTATCGCGGCCACCAACAGCTCCCCGCTTTGGTAGGCGGCCTGCACCCATGCATGGAGTAGAACCGACTGACCGTTATGTCTACAAGTGATGACTAGCGTAAGGCCGAATAGTCTTCTCTCAGCTAAATTGTTACGTTTCTGTGCCAATGTGAATATTTCTATTTCATTTCAACTATTATGTAATTACACTCTCCAGAGAAATGTAGGGCATCAATTTGCTGATTTTCTTTATCCACAGTAACACACGTGTAAGCTGCTTTACTGCAGTATTTGTTATCAGATTGGGAATGCCTCGTCAAAGTGATGAAAGCATAAGGGCTATTGGCTTGCTGCAAACTGGTAGAAGTCAGCGAGAGGTTGCCAGTATGTACAATGTGTCTGTGATTTGCAGACTTTGGAACAGGTTTCTGCACACACAAAATGTTCATGACAGGCCCCGCACATGGCGCTGTAGGTCAACAACAAAGGTGCAGGATCGCTTAATCTAAAATCAGGCTTCACGAAATCCAGCCCAAAGAGCTTATCAAATCGCTGTTCACTTGCGCCAGGCCATCGGAGTTCAAACTACTGACCAGACCAGACATCGTCTGTATGCAGTACATCAGCATACTCGGCAACCACGTGTTGTACCGCCGTTAACAAATCGATAGATTCTAGAAAGATGCCAATTGTGTTTAGAGCGTAGAAACTTTAGGGTCCGCTGATGGCCTCGTGCAAGGTTTTCAAATGAGTCCAGATTCACACCGGCTTCTTGAGTTCCTAACGACAGTCATGCGAACGTCAACGTAAGGCAACATAACCGATTTGGGGAATGGTCTGTAATGATATGGGGCGGGATCACTATGACTTCCAGAACACCACTGCATCTTGCCCATGGAAAGGTCGCTGGACAGTGCTACCTAGTCAACATACTGGCGCCAATAGTTGTGCCGTTTGCGGTCCACCTTTTGTCTTTCAAGACAACGTCCGTGTTCACTGTGCACCAGACTGCAAGGGCCAGCCATGAATCTTGGCCTCTTCTACGCAGAGCACGTCTGGGACATGATCTGGAGACGTGTATGCCGACGTCAAAGGCCACCGCTTCGTGAGCCCAACTGTGACAGGCACTGCAAGAGGAGTGGACAAGACTCCCTCAAACTGCCATTGGAGGAGTGATTCGGACCATGCCATGCCGTTTAAACGAATGTTTGACCGATCGTGAGGGCATGACCTGTTATTGGTCCAGTTATCTCAAACGTCAATTGTTATTTAATTCAACCCTTTGCCGTCTGTCTTGGTTGTCTGACCCTGGCAATAAATACACCGCCAACATGTTCTGATGATTGTCATGTTACATCTAGTCCTACCTTTTCCTTATCCATCCATTACAATCACTCGATACCTCATTGTATTTCTGTAATCATACGTTATTTTCGAATTTCCCCCTTTCT